TGAAGATTGTATTTCTTCCTGGTTCGATGTCCTTTCCCTTTCTTCTGAAGGTCTTCTGTCAAAGTGTAGTGGCGTAGGATGACGCTTGTTGCACTCTCTGCATGTGCTTCTCACTCGACATTTTTTGGTCAGATGACCTCTCTTGAGACACCCGTAACACAAGCCCTTTTCTCTTATGAACTTCTTCCTCTCGGACATAGGCTGATTGACAAAGGCTTGACAATCCTCAAGGTGATGATGATTTCTACAGAATATACAGAATGATTTCCGTTCTGGCCTCTTTGTCTCATCTTGGATGGAGCTGGTTCTCATAGTTAACGCTCTCATGGATTTTCCTCTGTCCTGTTTCGGTTTGTCCTCCTTCAGGCTACCAATGGACGTGATTGGGTCACATGCAATGTTACTCTCTTCCTCAATGAATGATGAGAAGGTACCGAATGAAGGAAATGTACCATGTGACCTCCTATGCTCATAGACTCGTCGGCTCCATTTAGTAACAAGCCAATCGGGAAGTTTGGATAGGAGTTTCCTATTCTCACGTTCGTCATCTAACTGTCGGAGGTTGCCGATCTTTTCTATTGCTGTTTGGCATTGTCGTAGGTAATCAGAGAATCTACGCAATCCTCTGGAATCCTTTGTAGGTATCTTTGGCCAGTTATCCAGTCGGTCACGAAATGCATTCGAAATGATGAATGGATCACCATATCTCTGTTCTAGTTCACTCGTAGCTCGATTGTATGCCATATCATTGTGTATCAGAGAAAATCCTTGCACGAGTTCGAGAGGTGGGCCACGTAGATACTTCTTTAAGTAGAAGAATCGATCCCTTGCAGGAATACCTTGATGTTCCATTAAGATGTCGTAGGCCTGTTTCCAACTAGGGTATTGCAGTGGATCCCCAGAAAAGATATCTGGTTCTGGCAGTGGCAAGCGACTAATCTGTAGCTGAGTCAGCAAATTTAACAAGGGTTCTTTAGTCGGCAATTCTGTAGTCGGAACATCTTCAGTTGGCACATCTTTGGTCGGCACATCTTTAGTCGGCACATCATCCTGGCTTTCAAACGAGCATTCATTCACCCATTTTTGACAGGATGATAGTCTTTTCGATGAAACTTTAGATTTTCTTGACGATTCTTGTTCGAGGAGGTGTTCTTGTACTCCTTTCATCAGCTCTGAGTGTTCTTGTTCGATGTTGTCGAGCCTTTCATGGCTGTCATCGTCGATTCCTGCCAACTCCAATAGAATCTGAAGGTCTTCTTGAGCGGATATGGCGTTGTCCATCACCTGCTGCAGAGCGTCCCTACCTTGTCGAATAACTTTGACATCACTGATGTCGCTCAAGGTAGCTCTTAACTTATTCGACGCTCTACGCCAAGCACTAATGGATCTCTTAAATTCCTTCCCTTTTGTTTCAGCTTGATACTGCAGACCTTTCTCAGTGAGTTTGACTTCTCGCTTTGACCTTGTGTCCACAGCTTCAGCAACAGGGTTTTCCTTCTCCTTGTCCCCCATCATGTCCACTTCCGACATCTTGTACCTAATCACGTAATCTGAATCACGACGTCATCGCAGGTTGCAAGTCGTAGTGAAGTGAAGTTTTCACTGAAGAAACAGTCAATGAAAAGTCGTAGTAGGGTTGACTTGCTAATTTATTCTATGTCAACTAATTCCATCACACTTGCTCCGTGAAAACTGTATGAACAAAACATGATAAAGAAAAAGAACAGATTATAAGTAATTGTTCATACAGGCATTTTCGAATACATGTGTATAAATAATATCATCAGTTCGCCTATTAAATGCAGTGATTAATAACAAATGAATTTCTTCTCTTTGTCTCTTATCATTTGTGTATATGCAATTATCTATAAACAATACCTTCACTCAAGTCACGTGACCAATATTCGTGGTAGATAGTTTGAATCACAAAGACTTATTAGCATAACGCACATCAATGACTGCGTCCTTCTTATAGCGGACACGTCATTCGTATCGTTAATATCGTATACCTATTTACGTGCATACAATTAACATTGCCTTACGTAGCACCCTAGCTTACACTCTATATCGTATATATCGTATACCTGTTTTACGTGCATCTAATTTGCATATATATAACGTCCACTACAGCCGTATACGGTATCATACGTGTCCGTGCATACACTAATACTACACACACCATTCATTATCACTTAAGCATATTAGATTACATTCATATCATCATTTCTCATTATTTATACTATTTATACTCGTTATACATTAATATATCGAATTAACGAACCTTCTTGCCTCCTTATTGTTGCAAACGGGTTGGCTTCGTATCAATAACAGGTGTAATTTAGGACAAGATTTCGGTGCGAACATCCAATTCGTTGCTACTGCTATGTCGGAATTAGGAAAGCGTAGATGGCGCTATTTCAGCCCATGACGTAAGTCAGAATACTCCTTTTTGTCAGATAAACTAACTCTCATAAACGATCACATTAACACCTACATCAGAAAAATGGTATCGCCGCAAAATTACTGTTCGCTGTCCCTTTCAATGATTTCTCATCCATTGTTGAATTGTAAAGAGTTGAACAAACGAACACAAACTTGTGTAATTTCATCCGTTTTTCCAACTGAAAAAAAAACAAGCGAAAACACGCACTAGCAAACTTAAAGGCACTACGAACATGACGAACAAAGAAAGCGGACAAAATATACATTTCCTCAGGTAGACAAAGGAACATCCCTTCACTGCTATTATGTAAAAAGGTGAATATGCATGTGACACCTGTTCTACACATTTTTACATAATAGCAGTGAAGGGATGTTCCTTTGTCTACCTGAGGAACTGTATATTTTGTCCGCTTTCTTTGTCACTCATAATGTTCATAGTGAGGGGCACGTTCCCGCCATTGTAGTTATCGCTGCTCTAGTCATCGCCATCTGGTTCCGAATATCGACTTCTAATTTGCATACAGCTGTCAATCAAAGTACGCGCGGCCTGGCCTGCCTTCGTCAAGCCAGCTGATCGCTGCCGATCCTGACGTCACGAAAGTGGGCGGAAACAGCAGCCGAATCTTAGAACCGAACTGCGATTGGTATTACTTCGGCACATTTATGCGATAATCGGCATTGTGCGGGCATTCGGAACATGCCATCTGCGTAAGAGCCGTATTCTGTTGGTGTCAATAGGCAGCTAGCACCGTCCGCCAGCGGGTACGTATTTTGAACGCCCTCTAGAATACGGGGAACATGCCACTTTAAACTTATCGAAGATTGTAAATCATGGATTACATAACGGGACATTAAAACATGCACAAATTAGCGCATTATCCTAAAATATTGAGTTTTTGTCAGGATCTAATTTTTCTTTTACCAACTCTGGCACACAAATAATATAGGAAGGACGGAGTCCTAAATTTGAAAATTGTTTGATGCACTATTCCCAATACAATCTCCATATAAATTTTATAATTTACACTGAAATTTTGCCGGTAATTTAATATTTTGTAATACATGTAAATGTGAAACTGGTGCCTGGCCTCCAAAATTCCCCGCAGTGGAAGCGCGGCTCGGAGCATGCAACTTCAAAGCTAAGTTGAATGTTACACATCCCATTGTTACAAGAGTTTCGACTCATTTCTTTCACCTCCCTGATCAGTTGCACCTGTCTCCATTTATATAGAAAGAGCCCGCCCATATCGCAACTTCATAAAAGATAGCCATTTCCTTTTGTATTTCGCAGAGAATATATAGTGTTTTGCATATAAAATGACACAATTAAAGTTAGAATGCGTACCATCTGGTAAACCAAACATAAAGTAATTTTTATTCAGAAGCACGTACTTCATTGTTTAGAATAGAGCTTTGGCATTTGCAAAGTTCTTCAGAATTTGATGTTGGCTGCAAAAGGGACATAGTATCTTTAAAGGAATAGTGTCAAGCTTCTTCCAGTCTTGAACAGTTTCAGTTAAAATTGTAGCCCATTTCATTTCCGAAATCGAAACTTTAAGAATCTCTGTGAATAGAAATTTGATGAACATATTTGCATACTTTGAAAACCTTCTTTAAGTTTAATATGTTCCTGAAGGAGATTCAATCCGATCTACATCGCCCACCCAAGATTATCCGTTCCCACATAAGTGACAAATCGTGGATTAATGGTGAGATTAATTCAGTTTGATGTTGGGGGGGGGGGTACATACATGTAATTGATCGACGTCCTGGGGAGGGGTCTAAAAAAGTCACAACCGTGCCCCCCGTGCCCCTCCCCCCGTGGCTGCGGGCCTGCTTATACGGTATACTACGGTATACTACATGAATACCATGTGACACAGCTATATTGGGCATTGGGGCTAATCCCCCCCCCCCCCCCTTCCGACGGGGGGGGGGGGTACTCACATATTAGGAGATACAGGGGTGTGCAGCTCTATTTGGGTAACTTTTCACACAAAATCCCTAAATATGGGTCCCACTTTTAACAAAAATACCGTTTTTTGCAAACATCCGAAAATTGTGAAAATGACCTGAATGACCCCAAATAATGTGTATAGAATTCGAGGCTTGAGGGGGGTTTTCTTCCAAAATACATACATAAAAAAAGGGGGGGGGGGTTAAACCCCAAACCTCCACCCTCCCCCTTCACTGCGTACACGCCTGACTACTAGGCCTACTACTACTACTACAAGTACTGCTAATAGTAATAATAATAATACCAGAAATAATAATAACGATGATATTAATATTGATATGATGATAATAATAATATTCCTCACATGCCCTGGTAATAATAATAATATGAGAAATAATAATAACAATGATAATAATATTGATATGATGATAATAATAACTTTTTTTTCTTCCTATTACTATTTTTCCTCTTTTTATGTCTTCCTCTTCTATGTTGGTACCCTCTTTTTCTCTTTCTTTCTCACCTCATTCTATAGTTGTTTCTTTCCTTTCGTTCTCTCTCTTGCTCTTTTTTTTTCTTTTTTTCTTTTGTCGCGTCGGATACCATATATTATACGAAAATCGCATGAAAACAGGAAAGTTAGCATCAATAAACTTCTAAACTCCCTGCTCACGTTAGGTGCCAGGTTTTACAGAATAGAAAAATGGAGTCGAGGGGGTGCCAAGATCTTAATCTGTCACATGGTATGTAAATTTAAAGTCTGTAAGACAATTTTTAGTGCAAGAAGAGGCATGTCGAGATTCGACGGTTGCACCGAGCTCCGCCACGCAGCAGACCCTCTATCGCGCCAGGCCTCCTCTGGTCCGGGCGCGCCGTGCGGGCTCCGTGTAAGGTGTCATTTCTTGGATCTTGGATTAATTTCCTCCTAAATACTCCGAAGAAGAGTTTTGAAAAAGCTGTAAATTCAGTGGACATTGTAATTTAACGCAGAGACACAAAGTATTGCACAGATATATATATATAGTAGTGAGTGTAAATGGAGTGTGATATTTGAATTTATATAGACCCTAGCTTAGATCTAGATCTATTTAGAGTCTACTTTAAAAAGAAGGAAACCAAGATTGGTTTTAAGAGTAAGACTGAGATTAAGAATTAATTTCACCATTCATGAAATCTGGCTTGCAAAAAGTAGGTCACTGCTATAGTATTAGGGTCATTCACATAATGAAGTGTCTTGAGGACCTGATATTTGGTTTGTAAACATACTGCATGCATATTGAACTTTGGTTGCTCATATGAACAAAGAAATTGGTTTAGAGGTCTATTTGGAGAAAGTAAATATGAAGGTCTAGACCTACGTATATAATATGCAAGTGTATGAATTAAAAGGTTTAGTCTTGGCCTATTAAAGAATGCCATGATATTTGTATATGTTCATAAAAGAAAACACTTAATAAGTGCGCTTAAGTTGTATGCTTTTCTAAAGAATAATTTTGTCATTTCTTTAGTTGTATCAAAAGAAAGGAGATTTACAAGTTTGATAAATTCTCATTTTGGCCGAGTTGAAAAACAGCAACAGTTATTTAGCAAGGTAGATTGAATGCAAAAGAAGTCAAATTTGCTTCTGCACATATTTATTTAGGTCAGTTGTGAAAGTCACTTTGGCAGGTGTATGTGACAAGTTATTGGATTAAGGCAATACATGTATGTGCACATGCTTGTGCTCTGAACATCGTAGAGTTACTTTTTGGTTGGATTTTTGGCAAGAAATACAGTGAACCATTCAATGAAATATCTTGTGTGTAACTCCACGAATAAGTATTCTTCTGAATACTAAATATCTGAATGTTAACACCGGATTTCTATCTGCATTTTCTCTTTGATTGCAGATTGAATAAAACAGTTATCCAATACAAAGCGGCGTCCGTACTTATTTATCGAGTGATCCGATTATTATTCTCGGACCCGTGCCCCTAAAGTAAAGCTAATTGACATTTTAAATTGAAAAGTTTCACTTTCAGTTCAGGTTGTTATTAAATGAACAAGTTAAAAACATGTTGATGTGATTGTGATCTGTAATTTTTGTTGATTTTTCCCTGGAAGAGAACTAAGACTAGTAATTATTGTTGATTTTTCCCTGGACGAGAACTAAGACTAGAGAACCAGTCTTGAAATAAACTGGAACTTGAAGTTCTTGTCCATGAAAGAATTGACAACAGTCCTAGACTCCTATTCAGGAAATGCCCATACAGGTGTTACAATAAATCTCATTGCTACCATGTTAACCTGTAAAGGACACTACCATATTTTTATCTTGTTCTTTTTTGGGAATGTAGTTTCAGCCGACATCTTGTGTGAATTTCTGGAAGTAGCAGTTCATCAGATCCTGTACATCAGAGAGCTCTATCCCCTTGGGATCTTTGAGAGGAAACAGAAGTACAATGTCCCTGTTCAGGTATCATTCACTTGATTGTAAACAAATAAATATTGTTGATTGTTAAAGGCCCACTGTACTACTTGTAGCTATACCTGCTCCCTCTATACAGAAAACAATGCCTAATAGATGACCATTGGTCCCCCATGATCCTCTTTTTCTTATGTTAATTGAGAGCTGAGTTGATGAGATAGCCACCTGTCAGTGACCTTCATGGGTGGTCTTATCCCTCCTAGCCAAACTAGTACAGACGGCCTTTAATTCTTTGTGTGGCTGTTTTACAGTATCCCTGTGCCTGTGCCACATATATGTTGTTGAGATTTTTTTTTTTTTTTTCAAAAGGCTTCAAGGTTTTTTTAAACACTCTGAATAAAACTTTATTATTCAGTTTACCAAATATTTTTGATGTTATCAAAAAAGGACTAGAAATAAGATATCATGTAAAGAGATATTTGGCCATTATTCAGATAGTGGCTACCTATCATTTGTGCCAATGAGCACTTGAAGCATACCAGCAGTGTCATTATCACTTGCAGGAAATAAAAGGTTGATTTGTTAGTATAAATTGAAGAAGAAAAAAATATGTGAACAGAATTAATTCTAATTAAATTGAAAAAGGGAGGGGTGGCTTTTGCCAGTAATCTGACGTTTTCTCTGGCAATTATTTTTTCTGGGCTTCATGCCTTCATTTCTCCTGCTTTACCTTGATTTTTCCCAAACGATATCCTCCTGTCTATATACCTTCTCTTATTAAGCCCTTCAGTCTGATATGCATTTTCCTCATTTACCTTTTTCCTTTACCTTTAAATGTACTGATCAGTGACCTTCTGATATTTGTATGACTTGTATTTTTCTTTTTTTTACACTTGTGTTATCTTTTTTATACATATATGTTTTTTATTGAATGGAATGAATAAATCTTGAATCTTGAATCTTGAATCTCATAATTGAAGGGAAATCCAACCCTTGTGATAAGTTCAATTGTATAAAAACAGAAAATAAGAGAAACAGATTGGCAAAATCGGACCAATAATAAGAAATTTAAAATACCCGCTTTGAGATCACTAAGTCTACGCGAATCTCATTTGGCAGTTTAATCATTGGATTGAGACATAGTCGGGATAACTCTTTGAGTTTGTCACATACAAAAACACTATTAATTTATGATTTTCTCCCAAGTGCCTTCTCCCTTGGAGCACTACTCTAAATATATTACGGATAGCATATTATTATAATAGGTCCTCTGAAGAGAGTAGACCCTCCTTAGTCATGTTGGAACAAATGGGAAAGTAATGTCTGCCATTACATCACAAAGAAATTACCTATTCAGCCAATTTGCAGAGCCCATACCTGCAGTGATTCAAACTTTCCATTTCCAATATTCATAACTTTTTCATATTTTGTCTGATCTCATTCAAACTTTCACCAGTCTACTTCTATCATTTTTCTGCTTTCCTGTAGAGTATTTTGCTATCAAGCTTTCAACGATGACATCAAATGTCTACTTTATAAGTCAGCTGGACTTATATAAGTCAACAGGGGGGTGTTTAATAAAGCTGTTCGTAAGTTATGCATGAGTTTACGAACGACTAGAATATGAAGTGCCAGATAGGATGCCTTAAGTTTTTCCAGATGTTTTAACAAAGTGACTATATTTCCAGTAAACTCAATTAAATGAAGGCAAGAAATACACTTTGCATTAAAAAAGGTTTGTTATAATAAGAATGTTAATCTACATCTGCACAGTTGAACTTTAGTTGATGCAATTAAAAAGGATTGAGCATCCCATTTGGCTTTCCAAATTTAAGTCGTTCGTAAAGTCATGCGTAACTTACGAACAGCTTTATGAAACACCCCCCTGGACATTTTTTGTTTTAGCTTGCAATGTTTCACATTCCCTCCCCTCTGGGAGGCATCATTAGACAAACTGATCTTTGGCAGCAAATAGTTGTTGATCCTTGACATGGTTGGGGAACCTTGGGAAATGAGGGATTTTCTGTTCTGTTGGTGTTGGTACACGCGGTTGGCTAATTTTTGTTTCTTTATGATGTTTAGAAGGTATCTATTCACACATGCCTGTACAATCATATCCTCATTTGATGCACCGTCAGTCAGTGGTATCGGAAGTATTCTTCTCATAAACGTCTGCTCTACTTATGCACTATTTTCCAGATATCTCGGCATCCAGAGCTGAACCAGTACATTACAGACGCCGTCATGGGTATCAAACCACATGTCATCAAGGTAGGTCAATAGCATTAGGCCTATAAAAAAAGTTGTTGTATTGCCCTTTAGATGCCATAACATGGGTAGGTTGATCAGAAATCTTCTTCTTTTTTTTTCCTTTTTTTTTTCCTTTTTTTTTTCTTCCCCTCTTGGCAGATATTTCTCAGTTTTGAATGCTTTAATATTTTTTTCTCTAAATAAACGGTAAAAAAATGATAATAAGACAAATGTAGATTTCAAGATTTTGGGGTCAGTCGCAAAGGGCAATACAACATCTTTTTAACCCCTTATGCGCAGTGGGTGTCAAATCCCACGTTATATTTTGAATGTAGAGCAGTGTCTCCAGACTATGAATTGATTCCTGTGACCATTGCTCAGAGTTTTTTTCTCTGAAAGATATAGAGTTCGGTATAGTGTCTGGTTCAGGATTGAAGTTAGGAATTTCATTCGATGTGAGTAGAGCTTGGAGCAGGGGGGTGTTTCACAAAGCCTTTTTTCAATGACAAAATCTAGTGACAAATCTGCTGATAACCAATCAGAAGCAAGGATTTCAGTAGCTTATAACATTTGTCACTGATGACAAGTTTTGTGAAACACCCCCCTGTTGTCACCAGTGAAAGTGCTGAAGCACAATCACACAGATACCGCTAATGTGACATTTGTTAGAACAGAAGATAAGTCCAAGCTTAGCTCTTAGTCGTGGGGAAAATCAGTTGAAATTTACGACTCTAAATGTACCCCAAAAATGAAACCGAAAAGTACCCTTTTAAGAAATATAAGCGGCAACCAAACAGACTTTGTTTACCTTTATTTTTAACCCATTGATTCCTGGAACCAAGTGGTCCCTGTATGTAAAGCTATGGGAATGAGATAATGCAGTAGTTAACAGGTTAATCTGCATGCAGCATACAAAGTAATGCTATGAGTGAAGGAAAGACAAATCTTGAACTTTCAATTCTGTAATGATTGATTTGTTGTAGAATGAACGCTGGTACTACTTTGTATTCTCAAATTTTTATGAGTGAAAGGTTTTCCATACATACATATATATCTATAGGGATCGAAAAAATCTTGAACTTTCAATTCTGTAATGAATGATTTGTCCTAGAATGAAGCAGGGGGTGTTTCACAAAGATCCTAAGTCGAACTTAACTCTAAGTTGGACTTAAAACTTATGGAGAGCCATTTGTAGGCTTAAAATAAATATATTAAAAAGCAAAAATTCAAGTATTTTTGACTTTTTATAAATTCCACATCAAGAACATGAAATCTCCTTGATATTAAAAAAATATGAAAGATTTGAATCAACATTTTATGCCTTTTAAAATAACTTTTACAACGTATTTTCATAGATGCTAACGGCTTTCCATAATTGTTAAGTCCAACTTAGAGATAAGTTCAACTTAAGATCTTTGTGAAACACCCCCTGGTACTAATTTGTCTTCTCCAATTTCATCTCACAGGATGAAGTCCAATGTGTAACTGTCGTTATTCTGAATGCCAAACACATTCCTGTAGAAAGATTTGTCTTTGAAATTGCCAGACCGTCGACGAACAAAATTGATAGGTATGTTTTTCATATTATGTCGCCCCATCTTTTCCTTTTTTTTATCTTCAGTTTGTTCTTCCGAGTAGTATTTTCTTTTCTATTTATCTTTATGAATTTCTCATTTCTGTTATATCCTCCTTGAGTCCTATCAAAGAGTTTTTTTTTATATGTAGATCTTTTAAGTGGCCCAAACATGTGAAGCAGTGTACACAGCACTTTGAAGCTGCAAAAAGGGTACCATATCAAATACCTTTTGGATGTGCTTTGATTTGATTGTAACTGACATTTTTGCTTGTAAATTGGTTGACTTTCATTGGAAAATGGGACAGGCATATCTTTGTCTGTTTTTCTTAAACCTTCACAGATTGCTTCTGTCTTTTTTTTTGTTCTTTTTTTTTTTGGTTGATGCATTGATTTAAGTCAATGTGATGTCAGTGTTTCTACATTTGAGAACCATCCATTATGCTGTACCATGTTTTTTTTTTAAAGTGTTGCCTTTCATTTGTGTATGTTTTTATCTTACTCCTGGGGGGCGTTTCACAAAACTTGTCATCAATGACAAATAAACCAATTTTGTTATATGCTACTGAAATCCTTGCTTCTGATTGGTTATCAACAGATTTGTTATTGATTTTTGTCATTTGTCATTGAAAAAGGCTTTGTTTTATCTTGCTCCTGCTCTTCTCTTATGTGCAATGCTGATGCTTTTATATGATTTCATCTTTTGCGACAGTGCACTTTGAGCATTCCATTTCAAGTGGAATTAGCACCTTACAAATCTTATATATATATATATATATATATATATATATATATATATATATGATATATATATATATATGATATGATATATATATATATATATATATATATATATATATATATATATATATATATATATATATATATATACAGGCGTGAAGAAAATGGTCTAGGAACGTGAGACGTAGCTGTACTTTACAATTTTATTACGAGACTATTTTCTTCACGCCTACATATTCTGGAACACCCGTTGTCATGTCAGAGTTGAGAATTCTCGCACTTATATATATATATATATATTTTTTTTTGTATCATTATTATTATTGTTATTATCATTATTATTATTTTAATAATTATTATTATTACTACTATTATTGTTATTAGTAGTAGTAATTGTTTCCTTTTTATCTTTGTATCTTTTAACAGTATAGAGAACCGACTAGAGAGACTGGAGCAGAGTCTCAGAGCTTTCTTGCTGAGGCTTAATACATGTGATGCAGTGCTCCATTCACTCCCGCAAGGTGAGAGATCAGAGAGACAGTCTGTTTGTGGAAGTACTCGAATGGGGCGTTGCAAGAAATTTGCAACTGGCATTTGCAATCGATCGCAACCCAACTTTCCTGCAACGCCCCCCTAGTCTTCTAAATTTCCTACAATTCGGTTAGGATTTAAGTTTTTAAAATTAAATTAAGTTAACTAGATCTAGCTTTTGTTCTCCACCCCCCCCCCCCCTCTCTCTTTCTCTCTCTCTTTCTCTCTCTCACTCTCTTACTAATGGGGCGTTCCAAAAAAGTTGAGTTGCGATCTACTGCAGGTTTGCAATTAATCGCAAGACTTGCGCTTGATTTGGGGGATTTGCAATTGATTGCAACTTTCTTGTAACAATCAAATACACTATGCACTGAGAGCCCCGGCCCCCCCACTCCGTCAACGGAGGGACACCATGCATGTTCCCAAACTCGCCGGCTCGTAACAAAAGAAAAAATTCTACCCCTATTGACTTTACACACCTTTTGCTGAATATTGTTTCAACGTTTTATTCCTTTCTTTTCTTCAAGATTGCACATTCTCCATACTAGTTTATACAAAGGGATCTGCAACAATGGAGTCACACGACAAGCAAGTACTACAGGTAGGAATCTGATCTGATCTGATTGATTTGATTTGATTTGATCTGATTAAAGTGAAATGATTTGATTTGATCTACCATAAGTGCTTTAATTTGATTAGATCTCATTGATTTTATGTGATCTGAGTAATTATATTTAATCTGGTTCAACTGTTGTGAGTTGATTTGATCTGAGTGATTTTATTTGATCTGATTCAATTGATGTGATCTGATTAATTTGACTTGATTTCATGTGATCTGATTCAATCATTTTCATTTCATTTTCTCTAATTGATTAAATCTGATCCGATCTGATCTGATTGACTTGATTTTATTTGATTTGATTGAAATGAAATGATTTGATTAGATCTCATTGATTTGATTTGATGTGATCTGATGTTATTTAATCTGGTTCAACTGATGTGATTTGATTTGATCTGAGTGATTTGATTTGATTGAAGTGAAATGATTTGATTAAATCTCATTGATTTGATTTGATGTGATCTGATTTTATTTAATCTAATTCAATTGATGTGATTTTATTTGATCTGAGTGATTTTATTTGATCTGATTCAATTGATGTGATTTTATTTGATATGATGTCATTGAATTAATTTGATGTGATCTGACTAATTTGACTTGATTTGATCTGATTCAATCAGTTGGATTTTATTTGCTCTGATTGATTTAATCTGATCTGATCTGAATGAATTGATTTGATTTGATTGAATTCATCTGATTAATTTCATTTCATTCCATTTGATCTGATTGATTTAATTTTATTTGACTTGATTGAGTCTTATTTGCGTTTCATTTTCTTAAAGGGTGGCCCAACAGACAACAGAACGTAAATATGGTTCTTCCTGAGGGACTTGTGTAAAAATCAACTTAAATCAAAAATCAATAGTAATTTTATTGATAATGATATTCCTTGTTGTTTTGATGATATTGATCACAGAAATTTAATATTGATAGAATGCATATTATGTATCCTGAACAGTTGTATTGCCAACCTCATGTCTTAGTGTATCTGTATAAAGTATATGTCTCTTGTCTTGTCTTAGTATATCTGTAAAGCTCTAAGAGACATCATAGATGTATTAAGTGCTATTTATAAGCGGAATTATTATTATTATTATTATTATTAGTGGATTAAAGGCAGCAAATGAATGATAATCTTGATGACCTTTATATATTTTCTGTTTGGAGCTAGAAAGGCATTTGGTCGTAAACGATGATACAAAGTTAACTTCCTTCCTGCTCTGAATAGACAATAAGCCAGGCCTAAACAAAAAGATGTTGTATTGCCCTTTGCGACGGACTCAAAATCTTGAAATCTACAGTTGGCTTTTTTTAAAAAGTTTTGTTTGTTCTTACCGTTTTTTTTTTAGAGAAAACAAATATTTAAGCATTCAAAACTGATAAATATCAGCCCGAAAAAAGAGAGAAAAAAAATCAGACCGACCCACCCATGTTTTGGCACCTAAAGGGGCAATACAACATTTTCTTTTTAGGCCTAGGCTAAAGGCCTGTAATGTCATACTGTGACACTGCTGTTATAAAATTATCTTATATTCAATTTAATTTGTTTTATCAAGGAGTTTCCATGGATAGAGGCTGATGATCATATCTGTAAGATGGAGAATTCAACTCTTGTTCCACTCAAAGCTGTCTCATCGGATCTGTTGAAGGTATGCATATAAACCAGGGGGTGTTTCACAAAGATTCTTAGTCAAACTTATCTCTTAGTTGGACTTAACAATTATGGAAGGCAGTTAGCATCTATGAAAATATGTTGTAACAGTTATTTTAAAAGTCATAAAATGTTGATTCAAATCATTCATATTTTCTATTATCAAGGAGATTTTAAGTTCTTGATGTGGAATTTATAAAAAATTTAAAATACTTGAATTTTCGATTTCGAATATTTTTTATTTTAAGGCTACAAATGGCTCTCCATAATGTTTTAGTCCAACTTTGAGTTAAGTTTGACTTAGGATCTTTGTGAAACACCCCCCTGATCACCTTTAAATATTAGCAATCATAATATTTGATATTTGTATAGTGCTCATTTCCAATACCCAAGGTGCTCGAGGCGCTCCAAAATTTCTACCGATTTCAGTGCTAACGGCATTCAAGGAATTTCTTCCTACCAGTACCCATTTAACACCTGGGTGAAGAGTGGCAAATGAAGATTAATGTCTTACAAGTAAAGGACAGTAGTGCCACACTGGGACTTGAACTGGTGACCTTCTCATCTACTACCAAGTGTTCAAGCTGCTTGACTATGGCACCTCTTCCTACGTACTCTACTTCAATACTTGCAGGGCTCCCATCTACTGTAAGCGCGGAAATATTTACGGTACATTAATTTTCGCGTATTTCACGCTAAAGTTGGTGTCCGCAAATTTTAGAACCCCCGAAAATATAAACATGACTTCTTATGCGTGTTCTGAACAGGCTGGTTTTGGTGCAACGCAAATTAAAGAATCAGTGAATATGTTTTTTGGTCGCTCAGTGCGAAAAATTAATTCCGCGAAAATAACAGCGTTTACAGTATCAGAATACAGAAAATATGGAATAACCTTGTAAAGGCGTGAGGGAGTGAAAGAGAATCGATGAGAGTCTATACTTGGGCCTTACCGTTGAGTTAAAAGTTTGCAGACATGTTTCGTCAATAGATGAGCAGAGTGTATTATCATGGGTGTGATTTCATTGATTCCTTTATCTTTCCATTTTCTGTAGATGCAGCTCTACGTTGAAGAAGCCCCATCTAAACTGGAGGTCAGGTGACACCAAGTACTGTGGTCAGGTGACACCATGTGCTGTGGTCAGGTGACACCATGTGCTGTGTGTGTATTGTAGAGGACATTCCTCCCAGGAAGTGAATTATTATTCTGCTTCATGACCAAATGAAAGGGGACCAATCACCTCATTTAATAATTTATGTACAGCTAGTATGTATAAAATACACCCCACCCCCTCCCCGAAAGAAATATTAGACAAATTACTAGATATTCTATGGGTGAAGGAGTATCAACAAGTATGAAGAAATTAAATGGATGGCATGTCAGCCCTGCGCACAGAACCCCAGTCTTTTCACATGTATGCATGTAGGGTTGCTGTTGATTAAATCCACCCACAAGATCGATACCTTCATTGAGAGTGTTTGTATACGCACTCATAACTTTGCAATTTCTCTGTTTACAGAATTAATATTTGAAGTTGATATTTTGAATATACTGTATTGGCATGAACCCCAAAATATTAAGAGCAAAATATGTATTTTTATTTTTTGTGTGATTGGTTCCCTTTTGTCGTCTTTCAATTTTATAACTCATTATTTTGTGTAGTATAGAGCAAGGATATTCTGTTACATGTATATGTAATTGGGATATTGAATGCAAATATGCTGGTGGTTCAAGGCAGCCAAGACAAAGGAGTCATCGACTCTTGTAAAGTCATCGACTCTTGTAAAACTTGAAAACTTGGATGAAACCTTCACAAATTTTGCTAGCGGGTCATATTTCATGTTGCAAACCAAATGACAACTGGCAAACACTTGCGAAAGTTTCTTTTTGCAAAAAACGGTCACTTTGAAATTCACATACCGGTAAATGGCTAATTGTTTACCAATATGCCAAAAATTTCATGTCACCAAAGTTTCTGGGTTTACTTCAAACTCTTCCCCTATTGTCCATCTTTTCTTCCAAACCTATCGTCATCTGTGTCCTCATCTCACTATTCCGTCTTCATCTTTTATCTCTTTCGTCTCATTCTTCCTTTTCTAGGTAATAATCTACAACACAAAATACAGTATATGGTTACCTCTTGATTGTAATAGAGATTTTGTAACCACTTTATGCATTTTTTATGTTCTGAAATATATGTATATACTTGGTATTATATTTTGTCAAAGGTTTAACTACGCAAATGTGGGTAGAGAGGAGAAAATGGAGAAAGTGGGTACCAGATTGTCTTTCATCATGGTTTTCTCTTTCGATTGCAACTGTTGATTTTTATTTTCCTTTATGTGTCTGTACAGTCTGAACATTGCCAGAGATTTTTGTTTCTTTTTTTATCAAGTGCCAGAAAGATTTATACGAGGTTGGCAATGAAGACTAGAGATGTATGTATGCTATAGTGTTCTATGATAGCTTTTGTTTCTAAATTGGTAAAGTTTGACATTCAAACCAGATGCATGTATAAATAGGGTATTGCTGTCATATTAAAGCTTTAAACGTGCACCTGAAGTTGTCATGCAACCCAAATTTTCTAAAATATAATTCAATAATAATAATATGCTAATATGATATAAATATATGTATATAACAATGAACAATAATAGTTCCTAACCCTTATTCATATCACAATGCACTCTCTCCTTCAGAGTCATTCTTTATCCCCGGTACATCCAAAAAGGGAGGGGGGCATGGGCAGAACCCCCCCCCCCCCTCAACCTATAGTGACATTGTCAAAAAACTTAATCTAATGTTTATCAATATATGAAGAGGTGGCATTAATATGGTCTTCAGATATTTTGTGAATGAGATGGCAGCTCTCTTTTCCATAGCCGTGTTACAGGATCTTGTAGCTAATAGTCAATAGGTCAAAGGGCAAAGTTATTTTAATTATGTCGCAGCCAGCCCTTGATTCCCTACCTTTTTTAGATCTTGGCTGCAGAACAATTATGAATAGTGTAAAATATTGTAGTTAAGAAATAATACATTATAGCCTTTAATGAAGAGCCATTCTTATAATGCCATATGAAATTACAATCAGTAAAATTAGAGTTATCTTTAATCAAAATGGAATTCTGTAATTTGTGCTAAAAGTAATGCAAGTGATTTTCTCATATGCCTACTTTGTAAATGTCACATAGGTCAATTCTGCATCTCTTCCTCTTTTCATACGATGTCATAATGAGAATGTTTCTTTACAAACAGTTAAATAAAAGAGAGGATTTCAAGGAATAAATCTGTACTTACTCATATTTTGAAGAGTTCTAAAGAAAAGCTTTATAATGTAGCATTGTTCTCCATATGTTATGAATGCTATGTATTCATGTTAAAAATATACATGTTGATTGTGTCAGAGTACTGGCATGTATGTTTATCTTTACAAAAATTAAAAGTTTCTGATATATTTTTATTCTATGTCTTCCAAGAATCAGTTATAAAAAGCTGTTTGTATATTCAAGAATATATAATAAAAAATGCTTCTTGAAAATGAATTTGTTGTGTTCCCAGCCTTTTTCATGTTGATGTCTATACATTCTTCTTTTACCCCGAACTCCCAAGTTGGTTACCTGATAAATTCATTCAGATTTCTCCTTTTTAAAAACAAAACATTTGGTTGTAGTCCACAGGGATTTGGGGAAAATTCTACATGTAAACTTTGTCCAGAATATTGACCATTAGGCAGATATATTTATAGACCAATGGTAGCAGAATAATAAGATAAACAGAGCTACAAACGTTTGAAATAAACTGTACCAAAATATGAGAGTTATGAATGTTTGAAATATGAGATCACTATAGCTATCAGGGTCTCAAATAGCAATTTTGTTGGTGAATTGCGACGTAATCATGGACAACTCCCATTTGTTGTGTACAAAATTATCACTAATTACTGTTTTTCTCCTAAATGCTTTTTCCCGTCAGGCACTACTCTAAATATATAAAAAGGAGGGACCCTGTCGACTCGTACATTTTGTTTTAAAACTTGTAATTGTAGTCATTTTGCCTGTTGAGCAAACTGGAAAGTTGTCCGGCACTCATATATCACAGTGACATTACCGATTCAGCCAATTTGCAGTTCCCATACATAGTGATTACAATTTTCAAAAATGTATGTTTCTTATTTTGTGTCCGATTTTGTTCAAACTTTCACCAGTCTGCTTCTCTGCTTTTTCTACCTCCTTATACAAGTAGTTTTCTTTTAGGTTGGATTCCCTTTAAGAGTTGTAGTGGGATCTCTTCTTTTTTTTCCTTCTCCGTACACTATGAACATGACAGACAAAGAAAGCGGACAAAATATACAGTTCCTCAGGTAGACAAAGGAACATCCCTTCACTGCTATTATGTAAAAAGGTGAATATGCATGTGACACCTGTTCTACACATTTTCACATAATGGCAGTGAAGGGATGTTCTTTTGTCTACCTGAGGAACTGTATATTTTGTCCGCTTTCTTTGTCAGACATATTCATAGTGGTACTAGCTCTGTATCCATCGGTTACCACCCATTTACGCCCATCTCGGTTTGCCTTCCCTTCCCTCACTGACCCCTTCCTTTCTTTCCTCAACTCTCCATCATTTTTCTCCCTCTTATCTCTCCCTTCCTCTGTCTATAATCTCACATACATTGAACCAATGCTTTAAAGCCCCACTGTGCTACTTATAGCTACTTGCGCCCTCTATATAGCAAACAATGCCTAATCGGAGCCTGTTGGTTCCCCCATGATACCATTTTTCTTTTGTTAATTGAGAGCTTATTTGACGAGATAACCACCTGTCGGTGACCTTGCAGGGAGGTCTAATCCCCCTGGCCAAACTAGTGCAGACAGGCTTTAAATCTATCTAAAGTATATCTCCCTTATCTGTTCCTCATCCTCTCACGATCTGAATGGCTTCTACTCCATTCCACCTTTCATAGTTTTACTATTTACTCTGCCTCCCTGCTCCTTTCTTCACCCTTCTCATCTCTCCTCCCCCTCTCCTCTCTCTCTCTCTCACCGTTACTCTTCAGTCTTTTATACCACTGCACCTTCCTTCAGCATGCAGAGATCCAATAATTACGATCTCAAAATATTTGCTCCTGGCAATTATAATAATAGCAGTAGTACATGTACCCGGTAGGATGCGGCCATTATTGTTGGTCAAACAGCTTGTGAGCGTCAAGTAACGCCCGGCTGGAATGCTCCCCAGGGAGTGGAAATTGTGCACACAGTGTGTGCGGGCAAGCACTGAATCCAATGACCGGAGTAATAGTATATTTGTAAAGCGCTTAGAGACATTTGTATTAAGCGCTATATAAAAATTAAATATTATCAGGTGGGCTGTATCTAATACAGACCACCTTATATTTTTGTTAAAATCGCCTTTATTTATTATTTATTTATTTATTTATTTATTTATTTATTTTTCTTATTTCGACCCACTTTTTTGTGTTCAAGATAATTTGAAAATGGTTCAATCAAATACCTTGAAATTTGACACACATATGTATAGGCATATGAACAAAACACAGCAAACTTTTCAACCTTGACCTTGACTGATGACGTCATCTAGGCGCCATTTTGTGAAATTTTCTGAAAAATTACTCATGATCATATTTTCATAACGGTACGTCATTTCTCATTCATATTTATCATGATTAAGGTCAATATCAGTCCGGTCAAATTCAGGTAAAAAAACGCGCGCGTGCGCGTACGTCCGCGCGTCAATGCGCGCGCAACATTTCAAAATGCTCAAAATCGTCTCAAATTTATTTTGTATACGTTTCAGGTCATTTTAAGCATTTTATAAAAAATCGCGCGTACGAGCATGCGCGCGCGTTTTCGCGCGTTACACCATTACACAACATAGAATCGCCATTTTTTTTTCTTTCATGATATTTCTCATATGTTTTCAAGGAATTTGATACCATGTTTATTTCTTTATGGCCATAAATAACAAGATGAACGTTAATTCAAGATAAATGTCCGTGCGCGCGAGCTCTTTTATTACATAGCATATATGGGCAAAAACATGCCTATACAAAATCCATTATAGCTCTTTGGAATGAACCGTGACCTTCAATGTTTTTTCATATTTAGATAGAGTATGAGTCGGAAATATGATTCCATGTCTCATTTGGCCATTAAGTGTATCGTGACATCATCATAATGACCTTGGAACTCAAAATACGAATTTGCATATTATGACGTCAGCATATTTATGGGAAATTGATTGTATCTCTGTAAATATTGATCGATTTTCTTCCAAATTTCGATATGTTGTAGCTAAGACAATTCTTTACAAGCTCAGTCAACACCATTTTTAATTTTGATCACGTCATCATAGTGAAAATTACGATTAAAGGGCACATATCAGAAATTTCTTACGTTGCGTGTTATGCCTATGGAAGGAGAATTTAGTTTACATCACTACATCAATGACATTGTTTTTTTAGCAGTATCTCGCTCATTTTTGCTCTATCTTGTCTCAAATTTTAGTTGACCAGCCCACCTATACTTGTTCGAAACAAGTATTATGTCTAGTTATTATTATTATGTACCTCGTAATAATAAAATAATAATAATATTGATAATAATAGTCACAGTGATTCAGCTCTTAATGTACTAGGTTTCTAAGCGCTTTACATTGTAAGTATTATTACCCCAGTCATTGGATTCAGTAGCTTATCTGCACCTCAATCCAAACCTCACTTTCATGTCACATGTTTGTGTAGTCCCATGTCCACATTCCTGTGTACAGTGCATGTGACTTTTATCAAGACTGGGTCATCAATCTCACAGTATACACCAATACATATGTACCACATCAACCTTTTCCAATCGTTTCTACAGTTTCTTTCACAATGCAATTGCAGGACCAAAACCAGACTTAAACTTAACAGATTTCCACTTTATGTAAGTATTCCATAACCAGTGCATTCTCAAATTGTTTTTGCAAGCAAGCAAAAGAAATCACACATTTAGGACACGTTTTCTGTACAGAGTAAGTACAATTTTTTTAATTGCAATAAACCCATATATGCTGTTTAAACCATACTCATGGCTTTATGACACCGATAAGGAAAACAACATCCAAGAAGAAGCAAAAAATGTTACATGATGAATTATCTTTTTACATGTATACAGTCATATTTTTTTCTTTTAACATGGCAGGAAATATCAATATTTGTATCTGTATCATCTGACTTTGTAAAGGTTTTACACTTTGTACAATCCGAACGGGCAAAGTACCACACTCGTATACAACTCTCACTCGCTCACGCACTAAAAATAGACTCTTTCACACAGACGGACAGGGACAGACAGACAAACACACATACATACATACATTACGATGCAGGCACACACTTTTAATCTTCTGCCTACAAAATACTGCGGAACCCAGTTTTTTCTTCCTCGTTTCGTTTTATAGGCACAAGTTTTCATTATTGTTGAGATAAATGAAGATAACACTTTTATAACGTGACCGCTCAAAATACCATCTACGTGAAACATTCCTCGCCGCTCTACCCTATGTTCTTAATCAATGAAGCCGCGAGGACTCGGAACATCTACAGAACGTGAATAAGATTCATGCTTCCTAATATGATCCCATAGGCAATACTTGAGTTACATGGACAAATAGTTATCGAATTGTTAATTCAAAATTTGAAGATATACACGTGAAAAACAAAATTTTCATAGATACTTCAGAGGAAAATTTCATTCTAAAGAGAAGAAAAATCATAAAATTTTAGGAAAATAAGACATTAGAAAACCATTACAAAGGTATACATTTTGAACTGTTGAAGGGGTGCCCATCTGCGCAAGAGTTAGACCCAACAACAATGGGCCCCAGTGCACTGAGATACACATGGCTTCCTGTGAGAAACACAAGCTTTGTACATACAACCTTTTGTTTGTCAGAGGAAGATGAGCACAAAGGCAAGACAATGAGAACAGTTTGGTAAGTGCGGGATCGTAGTAAATAACTATGTCAGTAAATTACAATACTCTACAGAATCAAAACACTACAAAGCAACTTTAATTTAGAATTGTCAGCAGAACAATGCGAGAAACGATGAAAGAAACAACGTGAAGAGAAAGGAAGCAATAATAACTAAATACTGTTCAGGCAAAATCGAAGATAAATTGTACAAAAAAGAGAAAGGTAGTGATATGTTATTTTTACATCAAAACATGTGCAACTCGATGTTAGTAACTGGATACAAGGTATTGATATGTTATTTCAAGATCTGCTTCACAAACGATTCACATAATGTTTACAAAGTCATGGACAGGTTCAACAATTATTTAATGTACAGTAAAAGGCCAAAGTCACATTAGGAAAGTTAGTGAGTGTGGATAGTCATTTTTTTTTTAAATAGATCAGCTGATGAGAAACAGAAGGGTGCTATTGACTCACATCTAGTCACATCCTGAAACAATCGAGTTGTGACGTTTTGGCTCCAGCAGAGCATAAACATGCATCTCATGGTATCTCAACATGAGCAAACTCCCATTAAGTTTGCAGCTGAGAAACAGAAGGGCATTTAATCATATCCCCAATATTGAGTTAATGCCCTTTTGTCTCCCATCCGAGGATATATCCCATCTTTACAAGCAAATCTCATCAATTTTCTGATCTTCGACATTTTTGTCATCTTTATTTTTTCACCCTCCATTTCATGTTACAGAGCCAGAAGTACATTAACTTCGTTTTAAAGGATATGAGTTGAGGCCTTTCTGGCTCCAACAAATGAACTCTTTCTCTCATTTTGTGAATACAAGAAGAGTTGAAAGACAACTCTACTAGCTCCCTTGACGACTGGCTAGCATTTTGTCTGTTTGGAGCCAGAAGGGCGTCAACTCATTACACTTTGACACAGAGTCGACGCCCTTCTGGCTCTCGACAGATGACTTATAGAAGTATTGTGACCTTGAGTTGACCTTGTATATACAGCCTCAACATGAGGCAGAACCATGCATTGCAACTTCACACCCCCCCCCCCCCCCCCCAAATAAAAATTAAAAAAATAAAAATAAATTAATAAATAAAAAAAATAATCATCCCTATTAGGTTGTGTTCCCACTGGCAGTGGTAACCCACCTTATTAGACGCCTTCTGTGAAACGATTTATCACCGTAAGACGTGTGAACAAGCCCATGACACACAATATTTCACCACAAATTGAAATATCATGTATGATAATAATATATGTACCTGTATAATATAAAATGTTTCTGACTAGCACAAGAAAAAGAAAAAAAAAAAAGATCTACAATGATCATTAAACCCACAGCAGCAACATTAGGCTAAGTAAAATAACAAAGCAGTACTTTTAGTGCGCTAATGCTAAATCTTGCATCGTAGTTGTATCTTGGAAACCAAAGATTTGTTTAGAAAGACTCGAGATAGGTTGCACCCGAAGGTACTGGAACAAAAAGACGGACAAGAATACTGAGAGAGAAAAAATGGGATACTTCCAGGGCTGGAAAATTGATTTCTTTACTGGGTCACTACTTAGAATACACAGGAGCAACAGGCATATTTACCAATTACCATCAATTACTAGGCAAGCATTCCCACAGTACGAGCAACTCTGAAGAAGTAAAAAAAAAAATATTTGAAAAACTGTTGCTGAAATAGAACTATTTTAAACGTGGCCCTTATTTAGCGTATAGCAATTAAATTAGTTCTTTCAGTTGCTGTTTTCAAGACTTTTTCATTCTGGAAGATTACTTTAGACAGTAAAATCCAGTGTGCTTATCAATAGATATCTGGTGCTAGATATATGCAGGGAGGGTCTTGTCTGTGTGTTTTTAGTCGGTCAAGCATACGTTAGCTTCAACATTTTCAGGTATCGGCATTTCTAAAATTCAGTTCGGTGCCCTGTTACATAAAAATCGTTATCACTAACAAATGCTGAATTTCTATGACAAATTTGCTCTCAACCAATCAAATGCCACGATTCCAGTAGCTTAAAACAGGTACTGTAATTTGTTAATGATAACAAATTTTATGAAACAGGGCCTGGATACTTCTCCCTTGTTTAATCTCACCAGTAACACTGTCTAATACTCCATACATATAACCAAGCTTTCTTGGCTGTGGTAATCAAACGGAAAACAGAATTCTAGGCCTTTTACTCTCATACCAGTAAAGAACAAAGTTCATTCCAGCCCTGGGAATATCGAACATGAATCAAAATGTGTAAAATTATAGAATACAAATATCTTCATGCCTTAGTGGTTCTATCCAATTAAAGCTCTTCATATTTTCTATTTTTTAGGCAAAAAACTGACTATATTAAGAGTTGTATAGACACACGAGTTACAGCAATCCCTCATGAATACCGCCATCCACAAAGCAGTGTCATGTTTATATATATTCCACCGTTATATACCACATAAGATACTACGAAACCAGAAACTTTCGCATACCCTCAACTTCTGTAGCCCGCGAAAAAAAGCAGAAAAACAGCTTCCATACTACTTGTGACACTTAAACCGATGCATAGATTATTGTAACTATATCGAATTATTACGAGTATACATTTCTTTGTGAAGAAAACTATTAAACGTATTTCACATATTTTTTTTCTAAACTCAAAGAGATGTTAATAACAGGTGATCATGATGGAATATTTATTTGGTGGCGATCATACAAATATTGAAAGTGATGAAATAATCTCGATGGTAGCACGTTAAGTATTATACAAATAATGAATGGTTATGAGTTCAATAGTGCGAATATGTTCATGAGTTGAAAGATTAACATTCTATTCAACGAGGCGTCAGCCGAGTTGAATAGAATTAACGTTAATCTTTCAACGAATGAACATATTTGCACTATTAAACGAATGAAAAACATTCATTATTTGTTTTATACAACATCGAAGAAGACCTAATAGAACGTTAATCAACAAATTATGCTTTACTCCTTATAAAGATAAATTACAGTTCGAGTCAAGCCTTCTCAATTACATGCAGATTGCCTTCGCGTCAGATACACGCAGGGATACGCGCGCGCACATGCAGCAGAGAGGTACGCAGTCTGCATATAACCAAAAATGCACGGCGCATATAACCAAAAATGCACGACCGTGCAATATACCATCTATTGAATATCATGTGACCAACAATTGTCCAATCAAATGACAAGGATCCACGTAGGTGTTGTATAAAATGAAATAATGCATTCCTATGCTTTACCAAACATTCAAATCAGACTATGATAAGGACATGAAAACATCACCTGGGCCCCGTTTCACAAAACTTGTCATCAGTGACAAATGACAGTATTTGTTATAAGCTACTGACATCCTTGCTTCTGATTGGTTATCAGCAGATTTGTCACTGATATTTTTCATTTGTCATTGAAAAAAGGCTTTGTGAAACTTGTCCCTGGAGGAATCTGAAGCAGACGCTGCAAAGAGCTTTACATCATTTGAAAAATAAGTTCTTTCTTCAAAATCAGTGGAAAAAAATACCAGCTTTGGAAAGCTTTCACCAAAAACCAGTCATTTTTCCACCGACTGTCGAGAGAACTAATTTTCAAGTTACATCACCAATCAGATGCACCCCTCCAGTGACTTCACATTGTTAGTCGATTCATACTAGACGCTGATAACCCAACACCAATTCACTCATCTAGAGACACAAGAGGCCCACAGTCTATCTTGCCCGATTTCTTTCTTCTGTACATCTAATTTCCTATTATAATATTATGATTATTATTATAATTTTTTTGTTTGGCCTTGTAAGCCAAGGCAACTATATACTCTAAATTGCTCACATTTTTTTGTTGTATATATAAGACAAAATTGCATTGGTCATAAAAATCCCTGTTTTTATCTCAACATTGGCACAAAAGGTTGCTTTTATTTCTTTGGAATGAATCAACTGCCGGTGAAAGTCCTTTTTCTTTTTCTTTTCCAGTACATTTCACTAAATATATGCAAATTTATCTTTCTCATCGATATTTTCCACCAAGCAGACAGCCGGGATACACAAGACATCAGGTGCTCAATATGCTCTTAAAATTCCATTCATTTTAATCACCTCAAATTGCAGATAGCACAATTGCAATAGCACAATTAGCAGGAAATAACAGAATAGAATTTTCCTTCAAATTTATTTGCTCATTATCACAGAGGTTTGTGTTTTTAAAAACACAAATCACGGTTGCAATCTGACCTTACAGTGACCCCGCGAAAATTGGAATACATAATGATAGCATGCATGTGGTGCTAATGGGAAATTGAAATGAAAAGACAAGGCAAGAAATACGTTGTTTGATATATCATTTATCTTGTTTCTCTCTCCAAGGTACTTTAACCCCTTGACTACTGAATTATCTTATTCCCATAGACTTAACACAGGGACCATCCGGTTCCCGTAGACCATGGGTTAACATTGAAGATATAAGCTATTTTTGCTAGAATATAAAGAGAATAACCATATATATTTATTTTGGGCTTCAAAAATTAAGGGAGAAACTGTCCATTTGTATGATATTGCTATGGCGACTGCACAGATATAATTATATAACTTTGTTTCAGGATACAAGCTGTTACAAAACCTTCAGTTCTGTAATACAAGTTTGATCGGTGATATCTTTCTTTACTATATCATCGTACGTCAGGTGACATTGGTATTGTTGAAAAGCCTGTTTATTCCCCTTTACAATGACGCCCCATTTGAAATGATTATGTAATCATGGATTGTGCAGTACCAGAATGTGGCTCCAAGCCAAAATGTTGCAAAATGCATTATTTTCAACATTAAACACATTACACACAATCCATCCTCAAAACAAATGAAGAATTTCACTGTTGAAAACAACAATCCATTTTGCAACATTTCACTTTTGACTTTGCCCCATATTCAGGTGTACTGCACATTCCATGATTACATAACCATAACAAATGGGGCATCATTGTAATGTGGAATAAACAGGCTTTTCAATTATATCAATGTCACGTATGAGGATATAGTAACAAGAGAGATATCAACACTCAAACTTGAATTGCAGAACTTTTTTTGAGGAGTCTATATTGTATGATATGATATATTTTCCTTCACTAATTGTGGGATATAATGGGGATATGGGATAATTGAGGTCTAATTTAAGTTACCTCATACATGTACATACATGCCAACATTTGAAAATCAGAAATCTGTACAAATTATGCTATTTTCAAAAAAAAGAGGAACAATCCTAACTCTCCTATTCAATACTACAGACAAATTTGTACAGGAAGAGGAACACCTGCATTAAAATGATAATTATCTTCTCCCAAAAAGAGGAATGTTCCTCTTTAATCTGAACAGTTGGCATGTATGCATGTACATCTATCCTTCATATATCATGGATTAACATCCCACCAGAACATTAACTAATTTTTAAGCAGGGAAGCGTAATGCCAAGCTCTACATGTATACCAATTGTAGCGATTAGCACAACTCTTAACCCGATGGAGCCACATTAAATTCTCCTTCGGAAAACAAAACAAGGTATGCACACACATGGTTCTCCAAGGAAAGACTTGATGTCATTTGTTAATCAACCTTAGAATGCTAGATAAGTGATGACTTCTAACTCAAGAGCTATCATTAAAAAATGAAAGAATTGGGATATATCAGGAGGAAAATTGCATTGCTAATACTTGTGCTAGTTCTATTAACCATAATTACTGATTTATCAAATAGTTACTCTTCTGTTTTGTGCCAACCCGTACTTAACAGATCCCATCTGATGATCTCTCTGTCTCTCCATTACTCTCTCCGTCTATCCATAAAAAGGGATCTTCCTCGAGCTTACTCGTAATTTGTTTCTTCTTTCTGATTTTGGCGATAAATGGCAGCCATGACAATTCTCCTAGCGCTTCATTCATATGCAGTGATACTCTCTGTCTCACCCGTCCATATGTTAACAGCTCAAGCATCAACACATTCCCATCTGCATGATGTACATGACAGACCAGTTTACATATGTATCCCGACCTGCAGTGCCAACCTGTAGTGCCAACCTGTAGAGCAGATCAAAAACCCATAAGACTCGTTTTGTGTTCACACGCACCCTGTTCATCACTCATCGACGGACTGAATCTCGCCCATGTTAATGCGCTCACCGGGGTTGACGCTGAAACCGAGGATGCTGGGGTCGACACGTTGCATCTTCTTCTTCTGCTTGCGGTTGTTCCTACCAACGCTCTCCCAGTCTCCCATCTGGGCCTGTTGGTGAGGGATGGCGGAGGAGGGGGGCACCGAGGAGGCAGTCGGCAGGTGGTGTCCGCCGGGCAGGCTCGATTTGTTTCCAAGCCATGCGGATTCCTGCAGTGAGTGCAAAACATAAAGAGAGAAGAAAAACAAAAATTGCATTTTATGTCCCATCTCGAGAAAAAAAAAGGTTACATTAACAAAGGCAAGACCAAATAAAACTATTTTAGTTTGAATTGCTTGGGAATTTTTTTGACTACTTTTTAAAAATATATCTGTCTAATAGTTATTTGACACAAAGTTGTTTCAAATTGGTGTCTTTGTTGTCCTCTTAACATGCTAATGTATAAGTTATGGCTTTTCTTTTTAACTACTTACTTAAACATTTCACACAACTACTCCATGGTTTAAATATATTCTACACTAAGGATTTAACTTCACAAATGAACACTGATTTTACATAATAAACATTTTAAGAGCTAAATCAGTCCACCTACCTCCCATTCCCTTCAAAACATCCCAAATATGAAATAGTCCTGCTAATAAACACATCGGTACAGGACAATCAAGAAGCTCTCATTATTAATAATCTGTTATGGAGTTTAACAGATAAGATACCACTTATTGCTCACAGAAGGAAAACAGGTGGGAATGGGGGCCATGTTAGGGTTAAGATTGTTATTGCTCTTGATGCACAGAGGTCATTTTTCATTGTAAAATGACACAGAATAGACTGTGTATATTTTTCTATGCACCGGTCAACACGTAAACATCTATGTTAGGAGTAAAAGGAAAACTAAACTGATGTACGCCCATTTAATTGTTATGAAAAATTGAGGGCATTCTATAAACGGAAAATGTAAACACAAACAGCTCCAATGTGAACAGAACATCAAACCCTGATTCATAAAATGATGTGTCTCAGTGAGACAAAGGTCACACATATTCAATATCATTGTGCAACTCTCCCACATTCATATTGGAATTCGCATATCATAACATTAACACAACATTTGTAACAACATGAAATACATTCTGTGCTTTCTTTCAGCACTACGACTCTAATCATCAAATAAAATTAGAGTATTGTTTTATGAACTAATAATAATAATGCCTGATGTATTAGGTTTTATTAATGATTGAAACTAAAATGTTTTGGCAATAAATGCAATTCAATTTAATAAATTCACCTCATTTTCTTCTCTTTATATCTTCCTGAGTAAGTGATAGAATGGAGACTACAGAAACAAAAGAGAGAGAAGGCATCTTTCAGATATGGGCATCGTAGCATGTTGAGAGATATAGTTGGGACAAGTATATGCATGTGCGCATCTGAGGTCAGGGGTTAGATCATGGGGCTCCACATACGTGTAGTTCCCTCCTACATGCAATCTCTATGGAGGAAGGTACTTGATGAGGCTGACCAATGAGAAGCGGTTTACAGAGGTGTAACTATGTCTCTCAACTAGCTATGATTGGCATGTGTTTAAAAAGTCCTCATTCATCACTTTCACTTAGAATGCAAATAAAAAAGGTAAAATTTGTTGAAACAAGTTAAAATTGTGGTGTCCTTCCCCAAGAGTATTACTAAATGAGTGAGTATCATTGCAATTTAGAGAAAGATAGATGGAGGAAAACGGGGGGAGTAGATTTTCAAGTGAATACCCGTTAGACAAAGAAACAAGGTCATCTAATACAAATTTATATAAAGCTAATGGTTAAGGCAGTAAGACACAAGACAGAAAAACAAACATACAAAACAGTCACACACATACACAGGACAGAGGGATGTTTATTTAACAAAAATAGAAACTGGGGTATGTGGATTTCCAAAGAAATGATAGACTGAAACAACTACAAATTCCTGATTTGTTAAGGAAAACACAGATTCCCTGTAAGCAATCCATATCTATTTGTGGTTAAATTCTGATTTTCTTACATAATATGATGAAATTGAATTCAAACATTGCATTTCATGAATTTCTTTGATATATTCAATAACTTTTGCCCAAAACAAAATATAGTTATAGGCATGCTAGGGATTTAAAACCAAAATGCTATGGCCAGAGCATGCACAGGAAAATAGACAACAGGCACTGTCCATCCACCCTCCAAAGAACCCAATGTGTTGCAGACAATGCAAAACGGCAAAAGACAAGGGGCAAACTAATACTTCCTTTCCACACGCATCATCCAATGAGCAAGGCTCTGTAGGGATGGAGAGGGGGCTTTTCATAAGCTCTTGCCTAACTACATCTAGCATCGAATCTCCATTAGGTGATTCCATGAAACGTGTCCCTTACAACTCAAGTCTTATTATCTTTTATAAAACATCCTTTACTAAAAAATCTGTCGGATATTACCATGGCGACACTGAATCATTGGTCAATGGTAATATCAAGGAATTTATTTTTCATTTTAGGATGAAATAAATGGATAAAGACTTGTGATACGCAGGACATATTTGACTGAATCACCTAAATGTTACTAGTATTCGGCTATGGTAGTACTTGGGGATGTCTCTAGAAACTGTTAACATCTACACAGACATGAAAATGTTTAGAAGTTCAAAGGTCAATCCTACCACTTCTTTCTGCTGGCGTTGCTGGTCTCGCTGCCTGCTCCTTCGTTCGAGGAACTGCCGGGCAAAGTTGGAGCTCTCCGGGGTGTCGCCCAGGTACATCTTGACGTATTCGTGAACCTCGTACGGAGAATCAATGTCTTGTAGGAATGACACAAAGGTTGGAACTGCATAGTAGACAAGATTGTGTATGGAAGAAACAAGAAAAATAAAATGAATGGATGAAAGAATGAGAGAAAGAAAAATACACACAAACATATAAAGATTAAGCTTAAATTATTAATATGACCTACTCTGTGATTAACAAGCAATGCGTAATTTAAAATTTGTTCAATTGACCTATGCTTTCTGTACTGTATATCCCTTGTAACCATGTGAAAAAAGAATTTCCAGTTATGTGGACAATAAAACAAATCAAATCAACTCAAAGAGAGAGAATAAATACAAACAGATAAAAAATATATATATGCATGATTTTGTCACGACTTTTGTGTTCATCCCCCAATTGCCAATGTGAGATGCTTGTAGGATACTTTACAGGACAGAATGGAAATCCTGAATGACTTACCATCCACAGGTGGTCTCATTCTCTTGAGTTCCATCTCACACCACTGACCAAACTCAGATGAAGGAGGGTTGCTTTGAAACAGCTTCCTCACAGCCTCCTGGAAGATAGATCATCATAATGAATATTAATGAGTTAGAGAATAGAGAATTATGCATAAATCAATGAATATTCATGATCAGAGAAAAGGAAAAAAAAATTCTCTTCAACTGGTGCTCTCATGTACGCTCCAGCAATAATTAAATATTAATGAGTTCGAGATTTGAGAATTATGCATAAATCAATGAATATTCATGATCAGAGAAAAGGAAAAAATCATTCTCTTCAGCTTGAGCTCTCATGTACGCTCCAGCAATAATTAAATATTAATGAGTTCGAAATTTGAGAATTATGCATAAAGCAATGAATATTCATGATAAGAGAAAAGGAAAAAATTATTCTCTAGATAGACGGCGCTATAAAATGCCTATTAATAGTATTATTTTGCTCTCATGTACGCTCCAGCAATAATTGCTTCGGGCTTTATTTCATCAATGATATGATAGGGTTAGAGTTAGGGTTAGGGTTAGGGTTAGGATTTTAGGTTAGGATCAGGGTTGGGCCTCGTTCTGATGATGATGTTAAGTGTGATAGGCATCACAATTATGTATCTTATGACACAAAGTTCAATAAAGAGGTGCAGGACTTTCGTTGTGTGCAGTTGCCATTATTTAGATGTCAACAAAAAAACCTCAGCCTTTTTTCTCTTCTTGAAGCAGTTTCAAATCTGAATGAGCCTTAAGGTTAGGGTTAGGTTACTGAGGTATATTGATTGGTCCAGGGTGAAAGTTAGGATTTCTGATAATTATGAAACTGATCATGGAGCAAATGTCGTATAGGAGCACGTGTCATACAACCACCCCACCACCCCCCTTTCCTCTCCTGGGGTATTCCCCCAAGGCCATTCCCTTTAATAATAATAATGATGATAATAATGAGCATTTGTAATGCACTAACTCCACATGCCTAATGTGTTCGAGGCGCATGGAAATACACAAAAAAATGAACAACAATGTGAAAGTAAATCTAAATCTACTGGAAAGCCGCTTTAGGGTATTTCCCTTGGAGTAATGTCTTAGGGTATTTCCCTTACCTCTTCCTTTGTCCTGGCCTTGTTGCTGTTGACAGGGGTGGGGTTCCTGGCAGGGGGTGCCGCAATGGGGTTCACATTTGTTGCAGCACTCCGCAAAGATGGGAAATTGGAATTGCTGTCAACAAAAAGATAAATATCTTGCAGTTAGATAAAGAGATTAAAAAATTACTAATTTGGTCACTGTATGCACAAATATATAATAAAAATAAATGCTGGTAGTAACAGTATCCTATGACGGTTTATGAATGTCACCATGCTGTCCGAGCTCTTATTATTTCTAGATTGGATTACTGCAATAGTCTTTATACTGTTTTATCTGCTAAAGATAGAAGGAAACTTGAAACTGTCCAGAATCGTGCCGCTAGATTAATTTTTGGCCTTGGGTCAAGAACTCATACTTCACCTTTACTTAAGGAGCTCCACTGGTTACCTCTTCACCAACGTGTTCTGTTTAAATTCTGTTTGTATGCTTTTAAAATACTCAATCATCTGGCACCTGAATATCTTAATGACACCCTCCAAATATATACACCAACTCGTAATCTTCGTTCAGCAACCGACACATGTAAACTTAACATTCCCAAATCTAGACTCTCAGTAGCTGAAAAACGCTTTGCAGTAGCTGCATCAAAGACATGGAACAGCATCCCTCTTTCCATAAGGAAAATTACCTGTCTTGCCACCTTCAAAAGATCCCTCAAAACTCACCTTTTCCCCCAATGATCTATGTGATATACTTCCTGTACTGTACTTTCTCGTCCTCTTTACATATATTTGTATTTGTAAGCGCTATGGTACTTATTGTTTTTAGCGCTCCTAAATATTCGATATTATTATTATTATAAAGTCTTTCGTCTACGGCTGATTGTCAAAGAAACAGAGTTAAGTCTTTTGTCAATTCTTCTTTTTGCTACGGCAGGCAGCCAGTGAAAACAAATTTTTTTTTGGATAAAATTATGGAAATGCAGCACTACTTTAAACAAACAGAACTTTGTCATTCCTTGCTCATTTTTCCTGATTGAAATGTCATATAAAAGGGCAGAAACTCAACTTTCTAGAAATGTGATTGTGTCTTTGAAATTCAGATACGTCCGCCAAATGACTTTTTTGTTTCCTGTCTTCAAATTCATTTTAATCACTTATGCGTGAAATATGCATTATACGAGTTGCATCAAATGAAAGAGGAGGATCTAAGATTTTCAAATGTGTCATTTCTTAATTATAAATGTGGCTAATTTATGATAAAACATCGATAATTTTCGGTTTCATTTTTTCTGGGACGCACTGTATTATATTCTTTTTCATGTGATGTTAACTCCAATGAATTATGAAATTTTGAACACGCATAAATAAATGAATAAATGAATACAAATTCAGGGAAATGGGGAAACCAATAATATCACCAAAACAAGTGAATGGGACTCCTAGTACTCACTTGGGTTTGCTGACCGTATCTCTGACATTATCTCTAGCACACTCATCCCAGAAGCCCATGTTGGCTGAGGATGATGATACAGTCCTTGGTTGATCACCCCACACGCTACTGGTGCTGCTACTACCACCACCACCACCACCACCACCACTAGCATGGTCTCCGGACCAAGCGAGGGAGGTATTTGCCCCACCGCTGCCCCACACGGCAGCAGAAGAAAAAGTCATTCCCTGAAAAGTAATCAGAAAGTTGTTGTTGCATTATATTATATCAGAGCCATTTTCAAATCTTAAGCAGATCGCCTGTCGAGATAATCAAGATATTTATGAGTGTTTTTATAACACTACAGTCTATTGGGCAAATGAGTATGGTAAAACCGGTCACTCAAAGATTTCTATTTTTTGGAGGCACTTCATGATCATTTTGAGGCGAAATTCTTCTAGGGGTTCAATATTACACCATATCATAGACACTGATAACACGTAGGGCCATGCATCTCAGATTTAACATTGTTAAAGATGCCTTTAAAGGCCATCTATACTAGTTTATAGGAGGGATTAGACCACCCTGCAAGGTCACTGGACAGGTGGTTATCTCATCAACTCGGCTCTCAAAAACCATAAGAAAAAGAGGATCATGGGGGACCAATGATCACCTAATAGGCATTGTTTTCACTACAGAGGGCACAAGTAGCTACAAGTAGTGCAGTATGGATTTAACATTGGTACTAAACAATGCATTTAAAAGCGAAATGCTTGTGGGCGGGCAGGGTCCTAAGGATACTGACCTTGCTCTGTTCAGTCTGCTTGGCCTTCCCTCTCTCCATCTGTTGCCTTGCTTGCTCTTCTTGAATCTCACGTAGAGACTTGGTTGACTGGTTCATGCTGCTGCTACTGCTACTACAGGAAGAGGAGGTATCACAAAATATTAATGATAATTATAATATTAATGGTGGCTTCTCATACAGCGCATATGTCTGTCACGTTGTGATACTCCTGGCGCTGCCCCGATTATTAACCTGGCTTTAGCAAGGCGACCAGTACCATGCTCTACAGTCTAGCATTTCAAGGAACTAATTCCTGCCAGCCATTTACATCACCTGGGTTTAATTCATTTTATTTTCACATTTGAATAAAGAGAACAATCACAATGACAGTAACATATACAGTGCGTTCCAGAAAAAATGAAACCGAGAAGTATCGATGTTTTATCATAATTTAATCACAACCATAATTAATGAATAATACATATTTGGAAAGCTTAGAGTCTCCTCTTTCAGTTGATGCTACTCACGTGATGCATATCTCACGCATGAGTGATTAAAAGCAATTTGAAGGAAGGAAACCAAAAAGTAATTTGGCGGGCGGTATCTGAATTTCAAAGACAAATTCACATTTCAAGAAAGTTCATTTTCTGCTCTTTCATATAATACCTCAATCAAGAAAAATGAGCCAGGAATAACAAAGTTCTGTTTGTTTAAAGTAGCCCTTACATTTTCATAATTTTAACAGACGAATTCGTTTTCACTGGGTGCCTGCCGTAGCAAAAAGCAGATTTGACAAGAGACTTAACTCTGTTTCGTTGAAAATCAGCCATGCATGAAGACTCTCGTCTACGGCTGATTGTCAACGAAACGGAGTTAAGTCTTTTGTTTATTTCGTTTATTGATACGGCAGGCAGCCAGTGAAAACGAATTCGTTTAATTAAATTATGGGAGTGCAAGCACTACTTTAAACAAACAGAACTTTGTCATTCCTCATTCCTCGCTCATTTTTCCTGATTGAGGTGTCATATGAAAGGGCAGAAACTCAACTTTCTAGAAATGTGAATTTGTCTTCGAAATTCAGATACCGCCCGCCAAATGTCTTTTTGGTTTCCTTCCTTCAAATTGGTTTTAATCACTCATGCGTGAAATATGCATTATCTGAGTAGCATCACATGAAAGAGGAGACTCTAAGCTTTCCAAATATGTATCATTTATTAATTATAGTTGTGATTAAGGTATGATAGAACATCGATACTTCTCTGTTTCGTTTTTTCTGGGACGCACTGTACATTAAAAGTGAAAATAAGTATAAAACAGAAATAAATTCAAAGATGGTGGGATTTGTTAAAGGCCACAGCGCAATGGCAAACCCCATTTCACAAAATATGAAATGTGTATAAGTATATGAATAAATAATAATAATAAAACAACGAAGGGAAACTTTACCCCTAACGCTAAATTTTAACTTGATTCTTAGATTTAAGTTTCATATCATCTACAAAGAGCTATATCAGTCAAATGGGAGAGAAATGAAAAAATACAACATAGAGCTAGTTGATTCCGAAGAAAATTAAAAGATGGTAGTGTACTGGTGGCGTTGTAAAAGAATTTGTGAGCCTTCTTATTTTTTCTCTTTTCGTTTATTTGTTTGTTTTACCAGACTGTTATTGTAAGCAAGCAATCAGGGGACCGACCGCTTTACGTCCTCTCAGAGAGACTTGGTTACAACGATTAATGCCTTACCAAAAGGCACTAGCGCATCCACTTGGTTTTGAACCTGGGACCTCCCAGTTACGAGACCACTGCTCTACCACTGAGCCATCGCGCCTCCTTTATGTTTTGTATATTGAATGTCGTCTCAGTACTATTCACAAGCTTGATTGCTCTTGAACATTGAGCTTTGATAACGGTGTTCTGATAACCATTTGTATATTGATTTGTATAACGATTAAAGGGATTCGGTAACTTTGTCTCAGATTCTGAAACAAAATCCTGGATTTAGCAATGAATATTATAAACCTTTAGGTCAGTCAGGAATCCCATGACTTTTACAAGCCTGTCTGATAATCAAGATATTTATGACCAAAAATCAAAATCAAAATCAAATTTTGCGTTTGCCAAACGTTTTTCATAACACTACAGTCTATTGGGGAAAATGAGTATGGTAAAGCCGGTCACTCAAAGGTTTTTACTTTTTTGAGGCACTTCTTGATCATTTTGAAGCGCAATTTTTTTTTAGGGCTTCAAAATAACACCATATCACAGACACTGATAACACGTAGGGCCGTGGATCTCAGATTTAACATTGTTAAACGATGCCTTTAACCATTTGTTAGTTTTCTATTTGTAATTCATGTTGATCTTTTCTGGAAGAATAATTTACAAGCAATGCCACTTGAACAAAAGATTGATCTTGACATGCACTCATACTTCAAATTGGATTAGAGACGAGTTTTGACATTTGGACCAAGTTTTGAAGAGTCCATAAACCCTATCTATGCACAGCGCTTATTATACCTGCATGTGATATTCAACAAATGTGTGTTAATTTGTTAGATTTTGATGATTCCCATATTTTACAATATACAGTCATTAGTATAGATATATCAACTGCCATGAGAGGCCTAGCTGTTTTTATAGGCTCAAGGGGAGGTTGCATCCTGCCATGACCCGAGGCGCGCCTTCCGGGAATCTCACTCATGAACTATTGACCGTTACTGGCATTGTTTGTTTCTTTACAGGAATGGCTAAAATCACAACTCCAATTTCGACCAATCAGATGGCTAGATTTCTAAAGAGAGGTATATAATAAGTTCTACAGCATCAACTTTTAAAAAATAAATTTGAGACAGTTTCTTTCACATTCCAAGGACATGACCAGGGGGGTGTTTCACAAAGATCCTAAGTAGAACTTAACTTTAAGTTGGACTTAAAAATTATGGACAGCCACTGGAGTCTTAAAATGAAATATATTCAAAAGCAGAAATTCAAGTATTTTAGACTTTTTATAAATTCCACATCCAGAACATGAAATCTCCTTGATGATAGAAAATATGAATGATTTGAATAAACATTTAATGCCTTTCAAAATAACTTTTACAAAAAAAAATTTAAGATGCTAATGGCTTTCCATAATTTTTAAGTCCAACTTAGAGATAAGTTCAACTTAGGATCTTTGTGAAACACCCCCCAGGACCTGACTCTAACTTTTAAACCAGAGGTAGATCCTGAAAACAGGCCAGACTCTGAAAATGATATCACTGGCATCAATGAGAGGAAATCATTTACCTGGAATTGGTAGCGCCCCATCCTGCTTGTCTGCTCTGAGCATTCTGCTGCTGTTGCTTCTGCTGCAGCATCTGTGCTTGCAGCTTCTTCTGTCTCTGTAATAATAATAATAATAATGATAATAATTTGATTTAAAGCCCCACTGCACTTCTTGTGGCTACTTGCTCCCTCTATATAGCAAACAATGCCTAAGCGGTGCCTGTTGGTCCCCCATGATCATCTTTTTCTTATTTTAATTGGGAGCTGAGTTGATGAGAAAGCCTCCTGCCAGTGACCTTGCAGGGTGGTCTAATCCCTCCTGGCCAAACTAGTACAGACAAGCTTTAAATAGGGCCTTTTCTGGAAGATACAAGGCCCTGTCCTTTAGTCTAAGGCGATCACAAGCCGTGGAGTGACGATAAATTCTTTAACTTGGCATACAGCTGGAGTATCTCATCAAGACGAGTCCATGGAGTTTCATATCATTATCTGAAATGTTTTGCAAATTATCAATAATTACTATTCACATATCCGCAAATTGACAATTTTGCATTGTGTACTTTACACATGGGGGCTATGTTCAATTTTGTTTACATGATGCTTGAAATGTTATCAATTTGGTAGCCAATGACGCGTGAGATTCTTAGCGATAAAGTTTTGATATCTCGTGAAAAGATTACCCTGTAACATTTCACGGCACGTTTTTCAGGGATGGATATTGCCCCAACCCCTTTAGGGTTAACTTTGTTCCCAAAACAGTCACAGGTAAACACATTGTAGAAGGAGTTCACACGTAAAATATCTGAAGTCACAGCCCCATGTACGCCACGTAAAAGATAAACTATGAAAATCGTTTGAAAGCCCACTGGCACTGGAGGCATTCATTTTCTTAAACGAAATAACGAACCTCATTTCTTTCGATTTCTTCCTGCTGTTTTTGCATTAGCTGTATCTGTTGTAGAGTTGGTCCGCTGCTGGATGTTGTAGCATTACGCTGGGCCCACATGGCACTGCTTGGCAACTGCAACAAAGATAGTCATCACAAATACTTATCTCTCATTGTTTTGATAAAAATCATCCCAAGCATGTAGGCCAGATTGCAGATTTTCACGATCACACGATAATTTGTCAATATTTACCGACATATGAATCATCATCGTATGTAGGTAAATATTGACAAATTATTGGAATAAGCATAATAAAAGATTATCAAAAAACATAGTTACACATTAACAATGTGTCAACATAATATGGAACTGTGTTATACCTTACTTTTTAAATACCATACCCTACTTCTTAAATACAGTCAAACCTGCGTATAAAGGTCACCCAAGGAAAACTGGCCACTGCAGACAGGTGGCCTTTCTAGACAGGTCCTACGACATATTTCTTCTTAGCAGGAAACAATACGGGTGACCATTAAAGACGGGTGGCCTATATAGAGAGATGGCCACTAAGGCAGGTTTGACTGTATCACACAACAAGGACTAATTATACAATCCATTATGGGGATTTAAAGTGCGGGTTCATAGAAAATCACAAATATGGCAAATAGCGTATTACTAGAAACTGGTAAGCTAACAGATGGCCATCATGCAAGTTTTAGTTCAACTACATATCGGGTGATTTATAAAAATACAAATAAAACAACCTCTATAGCATCTGGGATATGCGAGAGATTCGCCGGAAAAATAACGATGTTTTAATGCCGTCACAATATGAACCAACCCTGCCCAAGCAGACGACACCCCATAAAGAATGAACATAATTGCAATGCTTTTATTTCTCAAATTATAATGAGTTTAGTGTATAAAAAATGTGATGGAATTTTACACCATTCAAAAAGGGATATGACCCCCATTCTGAAAACTAAATTCTTTTGTTTGTAAATACACAGGATAGGGGTTAATGAACAATCAAAGAAACCACACTTTCAAATTAAAAAACCTCCGGAATGATAGCATGGACGTCATTTGTTCCCTCTTGAAACGCCGAACATGCCGCGGTTTATGCAGCTGAAAATACAATGGCGTCCTATTTTGTTTACAAGCGACAGATTCCTTTTTCTTCTTTTTTCCTTGCATTTTTCATCCAAATAATACCATGCACGGGGTTTAGAGTGAGGCAATAGATTAAACATTTCACCTGAGGGTATTGAAGTAAGAGAAATAACTGAAGAAAAGATGACAAAACAGGCAGTGAAATTGTGTGAGATGTCATGGGACATCGTCTGCTTGTGCACATCATGTTCAACATGTGACGTCATATCTCAGCAGCGACCAGAGAGCTTTTCAGGTGCTATGTCGGGGCTGTATCTAAGCGTTTTGTAATTGTTAATAATCATTACTTTGAATGTTGTCTTAGCATTGGCTTTTGATAACCTTGGCCAATCAAAGTGTCACCTTTGCAATAATGACATTAAAGTTAGTTTTTTAAATTAATGAATTTTCTCTTTAAAATGTATGTCTAATTTAACAAAGTGCGAAGCCTCTCAAGACAGTTTCCATAGGAATTTCATGTCAGATGCAAAATAAAAATAATGATCTTGGTTCAACTTGTAAAAATTACTTACAGCGGGTGGTTGGGGTTGCTGCTGTTGTTGTTGCTGCTGCTGTTGTTGTTGAGCCTGTTGTTGTGCTTGTTGCTGGGCCTGTTGCTGCTGCTGCAACCTCTGCAAGGTTTCTTGCTGACGTTGTATCTCTTGTTGCCTGAAAATGAATAAGAATTTCAAAAGTCATCCTAACAGTTCCTGAGGCTGTTTTTGTTGTAGTATTTCAAAGGTCTAACAGCATGTTTTGATCCGTTCAACAGATAATCTTCATAGTATATTATACAGAAATCCTGACAAAATTATATTCCCAATAGATAAGTACCATTGTGGATACTTTAAGGCTTGTGTCCCATTTCAAAGTTCACAAAAGTTGCATATCGTTCTCCTTATCCAAACATTCCTACTGAACAATAGAATATACCCAGATACAATGGGTCCTAACCCTTGCTAACATTAAAAAAGAGGGTATTGCACCATCTTGCGCAAAGTGATGGCGCAATATCATTTGAATCAATTTATTTTTATGGCTGCCATTAACAGTCCTAGGGGGTGTTTCACTAAACTAAGATCAACTTTAAGTTGGACTTAAATATGGCAGGCTAATCATGCCACTGGTTGCTCTCAACCATTAGGATTTTTAGATAATATTTTTTCCTTCAATAATGAATCGTCGTCAGTATCATCATCATCAGCAACATCATCAGCAACATCATCAGCAACATCATCATCATCATCATCAGCTTCAGCAACATCATCAGCAACATCATCATCATCATCATCAGCTTCAGCAACATCATCTCCATCATCATCATCCTCATCCTCATCATCATCCTCATCCTCATCATCATCCTCATCATCATCCTCATCCTCATCCTCATCCTCATCCTCATCCTCATCCTCATCCTCATCCTCATCCTCATCCTCATCCTCATCCTCATCCTCATCCTCATCCTCATCATTATTATTATTACTATTACATCTTTGAAAAAATGAGGGCCCAAGAAGCTCACCTGAGCATGTCCTGTCTATGTCTGTCGGCCTGTTCCTTTTGTCTTTCTTCCGATTCTCTTCTAGCTCTCTCCTCCTGCTCCTCCCTGGCCTTCCTGGTCACATCCTCCAATCTAGCCGCCTCCTCCTGAGCTCTGCGTACCGACTCATCCTGCTTCCTCCTCAGCTCTTCAAGATGCTGGAAATAAAAGACAAGAAAAGTAATCACAAGATCGTTCGTTCATTCTAAGAATATCAAAGAGTACATCATCTAAATAGGAAGGTCCTTATTTAGCCAACTGATGGTCTCATCATCAAGCTCTCAAAGTCCAGAAGCACCGCGAGGGGATTTATAGATAGGACAAGCATCGATGACATGATCCATAGTTTGGATCTCTCCGCAGGCACTGTTTGGCAATGGATCGCAAGATAATTTCCCCTTAAAGAAAACGTGAGTAGTTAATTTACCTCGCTTAAAATGTTATCACTCAACTAACAGGAATTTAATACATAAAAATCTCTGCATTTAATTTCCCAGCAGTTTACTGGGTCATATCTGAACGAGCCTTTGGTTCGTCTTTCAACTCTTTATCCCTCCAATCCTCACCCCTCTATTTTCTCCCCCTCCCCCCCCCCCCCCCACGCCCTCCTCTCTATATACCTCCTCTCCCATTCTCCTATCCTTCTCCATCTCCCAACTCTCTCTGAGGGTTAACTTTCACCCTCCAGATTGATCTCAGATAGTACAGTGAAACCTGTTTATAAAGCCCACCCAAAAAAGACAAGAAAAGTGGCCTTTATAGGCAGGTGGTCTTTATGTACAGGTTCCTTTAGTACATGTTTCAATGCGAAACCATTTTCAAGGGAAATATAAAAAAAATGTGGTCTTTCTACACAGGTGGTCACTAAAGCAGGTTTGACTGTACATTCTTCCATCTCCTACAAAACTTTACAAAACTACTCTTTTCTTTTACTGTCCGTTTCCCCACCTGTTGCTCCAATCTTTTCTGTTGTTCATTCTTCTTTAGTTGTTGTTCTTCTAGCTGCTTTCTTTCTTCCGCTCTCCTTGCTTCTTCTTTCTTTCGGGCATCCTCCATTCTCCTGGGTTGAAATGAAAGTGATACAGAGAAACAACATGGTCAGTGAAGATGAGTTTAAACAAATTTCACATGCAGTTTAAAGGGAAAGTCCACCCCCAAAATAAGTTTGTTTCGATAGAGGCAGAATAATAAGAAAATCAGGTGAGTGAAAGTTTGAGCAAATTCTGAATGAAAATAAGAAAGTTATGAATTATTGAAGTTGTGATCAATCAAATACAAATTGGCAACTCTGTGACTTATTATACGAGCTCTCCTTCATTTGCTTTGTGCATAATATTCCATGAAATATTGTTTTCTTCGTTATTGATGACGGAATATATATTTGTTCCTTGCAGGGGGAGTATAGAAACATATTTGCAATTATTATATTTAGGGTGCATGTATGGTTGAAATTTTTCTTGAGGGAAAATGAAAATTTTAGATTTTTTTTTAGTACTGAGCAAATGGAAGTTGAGCTCGCATGATACGTCATAGAGTTGCCAATTTGTATTTGATTGATCACAACTTCAATAATTCATAACTTTCTTATTTTCATTCAGAATTTGCTCAAACTTTCACTCACCTGATTTTCTTATTATTCTGCCTCTATCGAAACAAACTTATTTTGGGGGTGGACTTTCCCTTTAAATGGTACCAGTCACCGAAAAACATTTCGCTCTAAATAGTTGGGGTGCCATGTTTGAAGTATTGGCTTCACACAGGTCAAATGCTACCTCTGTAAAATTCCAAATACACTGTCAATTAACAAAAACACAACTTACGAACAGTTTAGTCAACAAACCTGCATGTACGTACAAGGATTTGCAAAGAAAAGGATACATTCACCAGATGCAGTGATCCGCCTAAAAAAAAACACTATGGATTTTAGTGTAGTGTTTGTCACTTTTCTGTATCTTAGAACATACACCTAAATCAGAACATTAAAGCCTTGGGTGCACACAGCTACTATTTTAACCGATTTAGCATCTATCTCTCCAATAATCCAGTCCGGGGATTTATAATGTGCCTAATCAAAGGCACTGGTGATACTGAAAACACTTTCTGAATATCTGTTTATGTCGTGATTCACATGGGAAAGACGGATAGTGACATTCGAATGTATGCAGACCTGCCAACCTCTGGAGTTCAAAAACTGTATTCTTTAGTCCCAAAAGTTGTATTTTACTGACAAAAGTTGTATTCTTGAAAATAAACACGGATTGTTACGTGGATCAATGGCTCTTACAATTTCTAACTACAGGAAGATTTTTTTTTTATTGATCATTGGTTGAATATGCATGATTTCGTCATGACTGGTGTGTTCGATGAACCAATGAACATCCCCAAATTGCCGATGTGAGATGCTTGAAGGATACTTTACAGGACAGAATGGACATTTTGCCATTGAAAAGCACACACAAAATATTAATTTAAAAAAATAAATAAAAAAAAAAAAAAAAAAAATTTAAATCGTATTTTATTAAGGAAAATCGTACTGTCGTATTTGCTCCTAAAAATTGTACTAAATACGACTAAATCGTACTGGTTGGCAGGTCTGTGTATGCCATTCATTCAAATGTATAATCTTTGTCATTCATTTATATGTACAGAGTTTATCATTCATTTTAATACAGTTGAACCTGTCTACAGCGACCGCCCGAGGGAAACACACAAAGTGGTCTTTGTAGACAGGAGGTCTTTGTAGACGGGTTCCATTAGTACATGTTTCAATGAGAAACCATTTTCAAGGGAAACGAAAGAATGTGCTTGTTGTAGACAGGTGGTCTTTGTAGACAGGTGGTCACTAAAGCAGGTTTGACTGTACATTGATAGTTTTATATTGCCACAGTGAATTTTAGGAGTTGAACAGCATCAAATTTGAAACAGGCAACACTCTTCAAGGCCTCTCCCAAACCCCTGAAGCAGCAGAGAGACTTGTATTCTTACTTCAGATCCTCCATGTTAACCCCACGTTTCCGGAGGTCGTCCATTCTCCTCTCCTCCGCCCTCTGCTTCTCAACCTCCTCGTGCATTTCTTCAGTCTTCCTCTTCTCCTCCTCCACCTTCTGGCGCACCTGCTGTCGTCGCTCCTGGGGGTGGGGGAAAATAATTGGCAAGTTGATTTAAAGGTAAAGACCAGTTATGGTCATGCGATTGCATTGTGAAAGAAACGTTGTGGAATCGATCAGAAAAGGTTGATCATCTAGCATCTAGCATCTGCAAGGTTCTGGAATCATCAAAATGATAAGAAATTTGGCCCATTCTTCGTAAAGTTACAAGCACTATACACAGAAAGATGTATATGGGACTACCCTATATCTCTCACAGACCATGAGAGAAACAAATTTACCAAATATATGAATTAGTAGGCAGTTTCCCGGCAAATTTGTTATCATCATGTATTAGTCAAAACATATTCTTTCACATGATTGGTAATGAGAGCTTCCATTTCATTTTTTGAAATTGGGGCGTTTCCAATACTGGTCTTTACCTTTAAGATAATGTTGAATTCTGACCGATATAGATAGATGAACCATAGTATGTGAGCTATCCGATTCTTTTTATGTCAGTTTACTATAGAATACTATAGTTGGAATGACCACTGAACAGGATTGCTATTTAAATGCCCTTGTATTAGTAACTTTTAGAAAATTACAGTACAGTCAAACTCCCGTCTATAGTGACCGCCCAAGGAAAACAAACTTGTGCGGTGCAATTAACTCGCTGATAACACCAAAATTGTTTTGAATATTTAACGGTCATCAAAGCACCCACGATGCAAAGCTCACTTTATCACCGAAAATTCCCCCCCTCATATCTCCGTTTTTTGTCAGAGGAATAATGTAAAATGGTCATATCAAAGTATGTGTGAAAAATTGTATTAAATGATGATCTATTTCTCCTTTTATCAAACGTTTTATGTTCAGTTATTAAGGTGCTTCACATATGCATATGCATACATTTGGTTACATCACAAAAATGGCCTATAGAATCAGTCGGGCAAGCATTGAATAAGGCAGACATGTAAAGATCACATACCTCTTCCATCACTTCTCTGGCCATTGCTGGATCCCACACACCAATGTCCCAATCTGCTCCTTTCAAAGAAAAAATCAATACATCAAATTTGGGATTTGACGCTCACAGGCGCTAAGACACATATGTCGCCGCCAAGTTCTCAATCAGAGCCCCATTGCACAAAACTTACCATTGATGGTAACTTTGCCATCAATGGTAACTACCATGGAAACCTTGATTTTGATTGGCTGTTGAGCCCTGTTACCATGGTAGTTGCCATTGATGGCAAAGTTACCATCAATGGTAAGTATTATGCAACGGGGCCCTGAACCCCCATAGTTTCAAAGATTCAACAGGAGGCCTTTCTCACAGATTCGAATACAAAATCACTGCAGTCTCACTGTGAAGATAGTTATTGTGAAATCCTGTATCTAATACATTTTAGTGTATAAATAGGCCCATGGTCATAGATATTCATAGATAGCAGACAAAATATAATCCCGGCTCAACTAAATGAAAGTCTACTTAGCCACGTGTCAAAGTCTTCGTACCATATTACTTACTATAGTCCCATCAATGTTATTGTTAAATAATAAAGAAAGAGAAGAGTACCAACACATGATTAAATCATGATTCACATGTCCATCTTAAAGTTTTATTGGCTACAACAGGGCCCCGTCTTACAAAGACTTCAGATTGATCCACATCAATCGCAAGTCCTCCAATCAATCGCAAGTTTGCACTCTCCTATCTCTTATGTACATAGTTTTGATTGATATCAACTCTTTGTAAGACGGGGCCCAGAACTGGACAAGGCTTGAGTATGAAAGCTTTACTTTTCGTGGGGACAGAGTTCCAGACACCAATCTCAGGTCCTTCGATTTTATCCTTGGCAGCGGCTGCTGCAGCTGCTGCCGCCGCAACTGCAGCTGCAGCACTCGATCCGGACGGTGGCAGAACGCCTGCGACACTGGTGGCTGAGAGGCTGGTGGGGGTCTGATCAAGGGACACTCCGGCCGGCAGGGACAGGCCTCTCTGGCGTTGCATCTGTTGCTGATACTGCATGACTAGCTGATGCTGCTGCTGTAGGGTGCCCAGGTTGGTCCGCAGGACTTGCTGCTGGGCCAGCGTCAGGGTCTTGCCTCTCTGGATCAGCTCCTGGTAGATACGACTGGCTTGGACTCTGCATGGGAAAGAGCAGAGGGAGGAGGACAGGGAGGTTTAATTACAGTTGCTAATGGAAGTCTTTGTCTTCAGGACGAGCTACCAAACACTGGTTTCAAAGTGATTCTTCTAATTGTTAAAGGTAATACAAAGTTTTGGGAAATTTTGAAAATTGGGTGGATAGTGATTCTTTACAATTTTGATATATTTGGATGCCCCTGTGGATGTATTATAAGCACTAGAAAATTTAGCCTCTAAAACACTTCTGCTTTCGAGAAAAATTGAATATAAAATTTACCGGTGCTCCCGGTAAATTTTGATAAATTTCAAAAAGCGCCTACGGCCGTACAATGGTAGCTGCGGCCATGAAATTCTCAGAATATGTAGATGTGATATATAACTTCCAAACAAGAATAGCAAATTGGTCGATTTTAGTCAAGAAACATTGTTTTATAGCTTAATTAATATCTTGACCTTGAGAGGGAGCTATACAACAAAAAGAGTGTATTATTTACAATTTCATAACTCTAGACTTGATTTCAACCGCAAAACGATCACTGCATATTGTAGGGTCGCATATGCTTCCAATATGTTCATTTGAACCAAATTCATGACCCCATACCAAAACTTTGTAATACCTTTAAAGTTTCTTATCCTTCATCATTCAATAATCAATAAGAAACTTGCTTACATTTTTAAATGCATTCAAAAGGTATTTTTATTTCAAGGTCAATAAGTAAGGTATTTCAAGGTCAATAAGGGAGTTTACAGATACAATCTGCGCATGGGCAGATAAAGGTCATTTGTACCAAAATGGTAAAACCCACAGAGATGAATACTGGATATGCACTCATGAAAGTTATGTAACATTATTCATATATGCACCAATGGTACATTCTATGATACGCAGGTGGAAGTATTCTTTTCAAGAGGTCAAACAAAAGGTATTCATGAAGCGCATCTAGGATTTTGGCAGTTATTATTCTAAGATGCTCAAAGTGGAACTTCTCCATGTGTAAAAGATCTGTGGATATTTGGGGTCATTTGTACCATGTGCCATCTGTAAACTCCCTTATAAGTAAGGTATTTCAAGGTCAATTAGTCACATTTAATGCCATTATAACTTAGTATGATTACAATGAAATAGTGCCGGTATCCAAATTGTCCCACTGGCTATATATGCAGAGGAAAAGAAAAGAATGAATTGCTAGATTTTACTCAAAAGAGAGTGCCAAAGAATACAAGGCCTGACCTGATCAAAGCTTGCTGTTGATTCAAAAGTTGTTGGAAGACTTGTTGCTGTTGCTGTTGTTGTTGCATGAGCTGTTGCTGTTGCTGCTGCTGCATGATCTGATGCTGACTGAAGAGTTGTGCCATCTGAGTTGCGAGCTGCTGCTGAGCCAGCTGTTGTTGGGTTGCTGACTGTTGCTGCTGGGCGGCGGCTGGGCTGGCCGAGGGGGCCGCGTTGGCTGCAGCAGCCGCAGCCGCGATGGCAGCCGCGTTGGGGGTCGGGCTGACGGAAGGTCCACCTGGAGCCACGGCAGAAGGGGGTGCTATCGTAGGGTTACCAGTGGGAGTTGAAGGTTTCTGCAATGAACACGAGAACATCACATTGAAGCATGTCATTTACAATAATAGAATGCCACATAACTTATGCCGTCCACGCAGGCAAGGGGCCTCGTGATAGCTTCTGTGGTGATGGTATGCCAGGTATTTCTGTCTTCAGCCAGTCTTGATGCATCTGTCAGCAGTGTTATGGATGATAATGTGAGAACAAAAAACTTGGTCTACCAGATTCTTTACAATATATATTAAATGTACACTGTATGTATCACAAAAGTCAGGCTATGGCAGTTCCCTGTCTGTTCCATACGTTGACCAACACATGTAAAGAGTCAAAAAGGATTCCAATGATTTCTAGTTTTACTTACACTGTAGGTATGACAAAAGGAGGCAGAGGAAGTCCTGGGGGGCGTTTCACAAAGCCTTTTTTCAGTGACAAATAACAAAAATCAGTGACAAATCTGCTGATAACCAATCAGAAACAAGGATTTCAGTAGCTTATATCACAAGTTGTCATTTGTCACTGAAGACAAGTTTTGTGAAACGCCCCCCAGTTTGTTCCATTGGTCGACTTAGCCGATAAAGAGTTAAGCATTCTAATGATTTCTACACATTTCACTTACCGAGCTATGGTTAAGTGTAGGCTCTTGGGCCGGCAAGAATGGCACACGCCCCCATCTCTTGATGAGGATTCCCAGGGGTTCAAACTCTTCGTCAGCGCCTCGTTTGACCTGCAGCGTCATGGTGAAGTAGCCGGCGCTAAACCACTCCGCCATCTCAGATGAGGTGAATGGGCCTGGCATTATGAGAAGAAAATGAATCAAATTATTATTATTATTATTGTTATTATTATTATCATTTATTCGACCATAAAAAAAAGCACAAATACAATACAGCATGGCAAGAGACAAGTACATAATGAGAATGAACAAACACATGCAAAGAGATAAGGGAGCAGCAAGTGGGTCAGGGTGCACAAAAGTGAAGTTCATCACTGTTGCCCAGAGGCATGTGCCTCACGCATGCTACTCCCAGTAGGTCTACATAATCAAAAATTCTATGCATAGAATATTGATAAAGGGGAGAAGAAAAAATAAATTACTATAACAAAATAAGACGGATTAAAAATTGAATATCGAAAAGTTAATTAAAAATTTGATTTAACATTCTTGTAATGTCCGTCTTGAAGAACATCATAGCGGATAAGTCCCCTGAAGAGCATGCTCTTTCTAATACCCTCTTGTTCAAAATGTGATGTGAAAAACCTCAGATATTTGGACCAATATTTAGTGCCAAATGTATGTGTAGTCCCACATATCCACTTCTTAGGAAAGTGCATGTGATTCTCAGCCAGATTGGGCAAATTTCATTCACCCGACTACAAAGACCACTTATTGTGTTTTCTTCGGCGGTCGCTATAGACAGGTTTGACTGTACTTTTGATATAACAAAGCTGGTTGGAAGGAGACTGTAGTTACCTTGCACTTGTCCCTGAGGGTCCTTGTAGAACCATTTATGTGCATGCTCATGAGTGGGTGGCAGCTGAGGTGGGTTGATATTCACTTTCAGACCCCCGTCCATCGTCAGCTCGTTGCCAAGCTTGTCATCATCCTACAACAAAGCATACACTTTACATTGCTGCTGTACATGGTCTTACTGATCTGGGACCCGTTTCACAAAGCCTTTTTTCAATGACAGATGACAAAAATCAGTGACAAATCTGCTGATAACCAATCAGAAGCAAGGATTTCAGCAGCTTATAACAAAAACTGTCATTTGTCACTGATGACAAGTTTTGTGAAACACCCCCCTGAAGGTTGAGCAGTATCAAAAGCCGTTAGACTAGGTACACAACTTTTACTTCATAGCATGATCTGTTTGGTGTGTACGATTACTTGCGCACACAACATTAAAATGGGACGAAGACTTGTCCTTCTCTAGTAAATTCTATTTTCTGACGCACTCACCCATTAAAATTGCCTGTAACATTTTTATTTAAATTTGTTGTTTATATTGTACCTTTGGACAATTCAACACTGATGGAAGGATATGGCATAAGCCAATAGTGTTGCGTACAGAGATTTTCGCTTATGGCAGGCTCTGAGAAGTCTTCATGGGTATTTTTCATGATTACCCTTGGCACATGCACTACCAACTCATTGTCACATGTTGTTAAATTAGCAAATTTAAGAAAATAATGGTTTATACTGAACATCAATCATAAATAGTGATAATAATAATATTGAATATTTAGGAACGCTAAAAACAATAAGTACCATAGCGCTTACAAATACAAATATATGAGAAGAGAACAAAAATGTACAGTACAGGAAGTATATCACATAGATCATTGGGGAAAAAGGTGAGTTTTCAGGGATCTTTTGAAGGTGGCAAGACAGGTAATTTCCCTTATGGAAAGAGGGATGCTATTCCAATACAGACCTCTTCTGTAAGCTCAGCCATCAAGCTTTCAGCAGCTTTCTCAAGATGTTTGAGTTGATCTTCCTCATCCTCCTCCTCCTTGGCTGCTGCAGCCGCCGCAGCAGCAGCAGCAGCAGCGGCGGCCGCTACACCTTGTGCAGCTGCTCCTGTGGCTGTAGGTGATGGAGGCTCCACTTTCGAACCCAACCCGCTGGTCGTTGCAACAGCAGAGGCAACACTACTGGCAACAATCTCCTCAATGCTCTTCCTTGAGTCCACTTTCTTCATCACACCCTCGTCGCCCCCTTCCCCAGGCGCTCCTCCGATCACAACCCCCGGGAGCATCTCCACCCCCTGCCCCGCAAGTTTGTCTAGTTTGCCATCGGAGCCACCAGAGGAGGCTAACACCTGATTACTAATATTGCTTTTTGATTTGGTTCCTGCAAAGTTTGCACCTTTGGCATTGCTTAGTACACTGGTCTGCAATGTGTCCTCTTTTGCAGCAGTTGTGGAAGAAGTACTGTTGAAGTTGCGTAATTTATCTAATTTCTCCGCCAAGTCGCGAGAGTCTAAACTATACATCTCACTATTAACATGATCGGCACTTGTGTGTTTGGAAGAAGGTTTGCGCTCGTCAGAGTCTCTTTCTCTGAATTGCTTTTTATCATTTGGTTGATCAGTTTCATTGTTTTCATGTCGATGGTCCCCGCCCTCCAGTGCTCCGTCGCCCTCTAGTGGTTCTAGAAGCTCGTCGTCCTGAAACATGAATGCAATCAATCAGTTATCTGCGAAAACATTTGAAGTACACAAAGGATTTCTTTTCTTTATCAATCACACCTGATTACCCACTATGACATGACAAGGACATCTTGATATTAAAACCAATAGCGAGGGACTTACAATAAAATTAAACAATTAAAAATAGTCATTCAAAAAATCTCCAAGACAAAGTTTAGGGTCAGGGCCCTGTCATACAAAGAGTTGATATCAATCGCAACTATGTACATAAGAGATAGGGGACTGCAGGCTTGCGATTAATGGGAGGAGTTGCGATTAATTTGGATCAATCGCAACTCTTTGTAAGACGGGGCCCAGGGTAATGTATATCCCAAGGAGAAACAAAAATTTCTAACATTTATCTTTGAAAACAAATTACTTTCCTTGAAACAAAATGAAATACCTTATTTTTTCACATGTCCATAATTTGTCTTTGATAACAAAATTTTAGGGTTCAAATCCATCAGAATTCAGTTGATAGGTGGAAAAATCTAAATTTCTATCACAATTCCAAATACGTTTAAATACAGCCGTGGACAAATTTGACAGACCAAGAAAGGTTAGTGACAATGCTACTTTTGTAGCAAGAATTAAATAAAATATCATCCTATTTTCTTTTTTTCAAGAGAGTGAAGGGAAATATATTTTTATTGGTTTCATATCCAAAATAATTCATCTCTAAAATGAGCTTTGTCTAATAGTTTTATCGAGGGCTGCAGGTCATACACTCGACCTAGGTGAGGTAAATGGGTACCTGGTAGGAATTAACTCCTTGAAATGCTGGAGCGCTGTAATGGCAGCTAGGCTACAGCTGGGAAAATAATAAATGCGCCTCAGAATAGAATTTCTAGATAGACGGCACTATAGAAATGCCTATTATTATTATACCGTTACCTTGCCCGAGAAGAAAGCTCCAGTTGCATCGAATGTTCCAGGACCGTCACTCATTTTGAAGGTGTCATCTAATGACCATTCAGGTAACTCCTCATTCCAACCACCACCACGACCATGCCCGCCGCCACCACGGCCGCTATAACGCCGTTCTCGAGTACCACCTTCTCGAGTACCGCCTTCTCGAGAACCGCCGCTTACTTGCTCAAATTGATCGCGTTCACGGAGGTCGCCATCATTGAAAGACTGCCCTCTTTCTCTAGGGGTGTGCCAGTTGGAGCGGGGTTGACCTGCAAAGCAACAAAAATGTCATTTAGCGATAAAAACACACAATTTGGCATAAATAGTAGATCATTAATTTTACTTCACCAGAACAATCTCTATATTTCTTTTTGCTTTTGAGTAAATACATTACTGTCTACAAAGTGGGCAGAAGTAGGTGCACATGTCAAACAATTTGATGAGCAGAGATTCTTTTACATAATTTCAGCATCCATACTTAACTGGTGTGTTGTTGACATCGGTAATGAATGCTCTACAAAGAAACGGATATCAGATGTGTTGTGACTTGCACTATATGTGCCCATTATAGAAACCTTATTTCTTAATAGCAGTCTTTAAAGGCATCGTTTAACAATGTTAAATCTGAGAAGCACAGCCTTATGTGTTATCAGTGTCTATATAAGCACTGTAATTATTATTTATTATTATATGGTGTAATATTGAAGCCCTCAAAAAAATCACGCTTCAAAATGATCAAGAAGTGCCTCAAAAAAGTAAAACTATTTGAGTGACCGGTCTTACCATACTCGTTTTCCCCAATAGACCGTTAGGAAAACGCAAAATTTGGTTCGATTTCCAATCAGAAATATTTTCATAATCAGACAGGCGATCGGCTAGTAAAAGTCATGGGGTTCCTGACTGACGTAAAGGTTTATAATTATGATTGCAGCATGAGCTAAATCCAGGATTTTGTTTCAGAATCTGAGACAAAGTTACTGTATCCCTTTAAAGTTATTGTCTGAAGTCTTTCTGAGCAGTGCTGAACCTGATAGAATCATAACGTCTAGTACTCACATCAAGTCATTTGCTACTCTGTATTTCAGATCCTACAACAATCTTTAATTTCCAGATATTTTCTTAGATTCTTACACAATTACTGGTAGATTTTCTGAAAAATTATTAAAGGCTTTCATATGACTTTCGACAAGAGTTTCAAGTATTTAAAACAAAATTTACAGGTATTTTTTTAAACAGAGTTACAGGTAAATTTTACTAGATTTTCAGATGATTTTAAAAAAATTCTAATGATCTTTTCTAAACTTTCATATATACTTTTAATGCATTTTTTGATAATCCATAAAAACATTATCAGCTAATTCTTAAACATAATTTCAGACAAACGTTTAGATTATTTTTCAAAAGAGTTCCAGATAAACCACAGCTCACCTGTTGACATCCTCCAATTCTCATCGTGTGTAGACAATGACCGAAGCGGCGGTTGCTTAGAAACGGGCTGGCCCTGGCCTAGACGCCACCCTTCATCTTCCTCCTCTTTTCCGGGTGATGTCGATGGTTTGTCAGGTGCCCTAGGGGAGCGCCAGTTTTCGCTAGAACTGCCCCTATCACGGTCGATGACTTTCCTGGGGGAAGGGGGACCAGGGTCCTCAAAGTTGCTGCGAGGAGTCTCAGTCCGTATGACTCTTCCCTCACCAGGGCTATAACAAAAAAACGATGAGGCAGAATTTCTTTACATTTTTTCACACTCAATTCAATTCAATTCAAGGTTATTTCCACAATCTGATAAAAATACAAAACAATCAAAAGACAAACAAGAATACACCATAAATATAACGTAGCAGATAATGGTGGGATCGACAATAGGACTACAGGCCTGTCTGTGGTCAATCCCTTAAATATATACATCAAAGTCAAATTTAACAAAAACATGAACTAAGTAATTAACAATACAACAACAGCAACGACAATAACAAAACAAAACGGATGGGTAAAAGGAATGGGAGAGGACGGGAGAAGGCAAATAACATAAATTTAAAATATGATTTTTATATGTTCGTTTAAAAACTGGAAGACTTTTGGTACATTATAAAGGTATTCAAGAGATTATTCCACATGATCTCGAGATTGAAGACACAGAGTCTTATTTTTGGTAACCATTCCCTCTGCATGGATACTGAAAAAAGCCATTGAAAAGCCTGGAATGATTGTACTAGGAGCAAATGTAGGATCACCATTATTTCTTTGTTTCATACCCAAACCCAAATGAAAGTTCAAAGTTGTATTGCTTGAATGATGTGTGCCGCATTATCTGTTTGCCTGCCCCTCCCTTCTACTCGGGTACTCTAAAATAACTGGTCCTCGTTTCAAGAAACCAAAATAAGTACAAGTTCCCCGACGTTCTATTAAAACATGTGTTAATTGTAATACGTATCAATAGGATGTTGGCAAACTTGTACTTAAGACAGTTTTGTGAAGTAATATCCAGGAATTTGATTGAAGTGACCAACTACATGGACCATGGATATGCCACACCAGGCTACTACAGTCAAACCTGCTTTAGTGACAACCTGTCTACAAAGACCACCAGTCTACAACAATCACTTTTTTTGTTTCCCTTGAAATGGTTTCTCATTGAGACATGTGCTAAAGGAACCTGTCTACAAAGACCATTTTTTTTTCCCATGGGCGGTAGCTGTAGACAGGTTTGACTGTACATGGGCCATGGATATGCCACACCAAGCTACTAGATGCTTACCTCTCATCCCAGCTAACAGTTCTTGTGAACTCTCTCCTGCCAGGGCCAGGATAACTCAACCCATCGTCTTCAAAGCCTGTTACTCCTCGCTGGAAGTCACCGCGACCTCGACCTGTAAATCAACACACCGGTTATTCATCACACTCGCATCATGACACATGTACTGCCAAACCAGAAAATAATTGTGCAACATGCCACTGTTGCAAACCAACCGTCAGGGACAGTATTTTTACAACAGAAATAGAACAGCGATGACTGAATGCGGGTCATGCTTTTGCGGCATGAAACTTGTGACAATCCTGACTTCTCTCAAAAGTGATGAAAGTTTCATGAACCCAAATGTCCCTGTTCTACAGTACTTTGTAGAAGATGTAAAAATGTAAATTCTGTAGGTTTTTTACCATGATTTGTACGTCCCTTGAGAGACCAATGCCAGTAGATGGTGAGGGCAAATAGTGGCATGAACGGCCTGCCATTGTTAAGTCCAACTTAAATTCGATCTTAGTCTTTGTGAGCCCCCCCCCCCCCCCTCCCTGGTCTATTCTCTTCTACATTGATGTAAGAGATCTATGCCCAGTCGCACAAAACTTACCATTGATGGTAAATTTGCCATGGATGGTAACTACCATGAAAACCGTGATTTTGATTGGCCGTTGAGCCTTGTTGCCATGGTAGTTGCCATTGATGGCAAAGTTACCATCAATGGTAAGTAGTATGCAACAGGCCCAGAATTGTGTAGCAACAGATGAACTCACCTCTTCCTCTGACAGTGCCCCTCCCCCTGGCAGCAAGAGGAGGACCGCCTCCCCTGCCCCTCAGTCTCATCACCACTGTACTGTTCACACACTGAGATAAGTAGCGCTGCAAAGCACAAGAAAGAAGAAAAAAAACATGTATAATAGGTAATAGAGGGTGTATAAGGTTTAGTGGAGCAATCTATGTCCAAAAATTCAAAAAATCAAAATGTAGGCAGTTTAAACACCTTCCAGCAGTGTAAGAACTACAATTAAAGTCACCACCACTGTACTGTTCACACACTGAGATAAGTAGCGCTGCAAAGCACAAGAAAGAAGAAAACTAGATGGAACTTCGACTGCACGCAGTCGATAATGATGCCTCCGTCATAGAGCAAGTTTACAAACCAAAACAGAAGAAATTCAAAAATTCAAGTTTCATTGTAATCCATTAACAGGTTCTCAGAATATCGTGATTACAAGCAATTTCTCATATACATATATGACCCTTTGATCTTTGACCTCATGACCCTAAAATCTACTCAGTTCATTGGCTCTGCAAGATGTCCTGATTTAAATAGTAATCCATCTGTCAGTTCTAATGAGAATGCGTTCACAAGCTATTTTTGCATACATAATGAGCCCATGACATTTGACCTTTGACCTCATGACCCAACAATCTACTCAGTTCATTGACTCTGCAAGATACATATATGATCTAAGTTTGGCAGGAATCCATCAATCTGTTCTAATGAAAATGCGATCACAAGCTATTTTGCAGACATAATGAGCCGCATGACCTTTGACCTTGACCTCATGACCCCAAAATCTAATCAGTTCATCGGCTGATTCGGCTCTGCAAGTAACATACATGACCTAAGTTTGGCAGGAATCCATCAATCGGCTCTTGAGATAACGCGATCACGAGCTGTTTTTGCATATATAATGAGCCCTGTGACCTTTGACCTCGTGACCTCAAAATCTAATCAGTTCATCGGCTCTGCAAGATACATACATGATCAAAGTTTGGCAGGAATCCATCAATCGGTTCTTCAGATAACGCGATCACGAGAACGGGACGGACGGACGGACGAACGGACGTACGTACGGACGGACAACCCGAAAACATAATGCCTCCGGCTACTTCGTAACGGAGGCATAAAAACATGTACAATAGGTAATGGAGGGTGTATACAATAAGGTTTAGTGGCGCAATCTATGTCCAAAAATTCAAAATGTAGGCAGTTTAAACACCTTCCAGCAGTGTCAGAACTACAATTAAAGTCACCACCACTGTACTGTTCACGCACTGAGATAAGTAGCGCTGCAAAGCACAAGAAAGAGAGAAAAAAACATGTACAATAGGTAAAAGAGGGTGGATACAAGAAGGCTTAGTGGCGCAATCTATATTTAAAAAATACAACTAATCAAAATGTAGGCAGTTTAAACACCTTCCAGCAGTGTAAGAACTACAGATAAAGTGCCAAATTTTTTTGCATATCTAGATTACAATGTCAGTATCAAGGCTTTACAATAGGTTTTGAAAGTTAGAGGGACACAATAATCTAACAAAAAAAATTATGGGGTCAATGCATTTGCTTGCTTTAGTCAACTGATAGAGCAAACAGTGGACCACAACAGTCAATTTTCATAATAAGATGCATGTAATAATAATAATAGCCATATTGATATTGTACATGTATGTATCCATCCCAGGGGATGCTCAAGGCGCTTACAAAGTAGTAGTATTACTCTGGCTTTAGCCCATCTTCCCTTAAGGTGCTAAAAGCATTCAAGGAATAAATTCTTACCAGGTACCCATTTACTACACCCAGATGGATTAATGTCTTGCCCAAGAACCACAAACCATGTGATCCACAGTCTGGCGACGTATCCACTAGACCAGGACACCTCTATAAACGTTCAACATAAACCTACCGATCTGGCATTTAGTGGCAAGACATTGATCTACATTTGCCACACTCCACCCAGGTGAAGTAAATGGGACCGGTAGGAAGGAATTCCTTGAATGCTGTGAGCACAGAAATCGGTAGCCTAGCAGAGCTTGGGTAAATATTGGAGCGCTTAGGGCACCTTGCAGGATGGATTTTGCGCTATATAAATATCCAATATTATTAATATTATTATTATTATACTATATTGGATAACTTGTTTATTACAAGGTTCATTTAAATACTAAGCAAAATAAAAATTTAATTTTGAGTCCCCAGCTACCATACCTGTTCATCTTCTGTTAGCGGTGTTAGCGTCATCGGTGTTCGACATTCCTTCTGCAAGATGGAAGAGAATTCTTCCAGCTCCGGGGGAGCCTTGTCTGTTTTCCGGAACAGCGCTAACATCTCTTCTCGACCGTACCGATGCTCCGCCAGCTTGAACTGTGGAGACGGGGGCGGGGACGTTATCCCTGTCCCGCCAGAGAGGGCCCGTAGCCACTCCGGTCCAAAGTTCAGCATTTCAGACATTTTTGTGTATGGAGTCTCTATCGTCTGTAGGGTTGACATAAAGAAAGAGCGATTACATTCAATTATATGTTGGGTGACTGTAACTTAAATTGCACCAAATTTATTACTTGGGTTGAAAAATTGTTTGTATCAACCTATATGTCTGTTCAGCGCCAGAAAGGTATTAATTCTCTTTTAAATTACACAAGTTATTGCTCTCTTCAGTGCCAGAAAGGTATTAATTCTCTTTTGAATTACACAAGTTATTGCTCTCTTCAGCGCCAGAAAGGTATTAATTCTCTTTTGAATTACACAAGTTATTGCTCTCTCCAAACAGACGATACATGCTCAGACTGCTAAATTCCTCATTTGGTGGAGGACTGTACAAAATTTACAATGCTAAAGAAAATTCTTTCTGAAGATGTTTAGTGCTGACCCAAGCTACAGAAGCAGGATTCTTGTTTGTCTAAAATAATGTTAGGGTTCATGTATTGTCAATGGCATCTGGGAATCAGCCTATTTGGAATTTTGGATCACATTTACAACCTCCTTCCCAAAATCATTGAGGAAGTCCACCCTGATATCAAGTTGGTATTTACTAAAAACAGGAAAGTGAGAACAATAGATCAGAAAAATTTTGAGCAAAATCCCATAAAAAATAAGAAAGTTATTAATTTTTGAAGCTAGGTAGTAAATCATAAGTAAACTGGCAATGCCATGATGTATCTTGCAAGGTCCTCTCCCATTGATCTGTGCAGAAAAATCATAAATTTCTATTTTTTGAATGTTGATGAACGAATAGATTTGTTTTATGCAGGGGTTGTGTAAAAGCATTTGTGTAATGATCATATCTAAGGTGCAAGCAGCATGAACATGTACTGTATGATTAAATATTTTTTTTACAGAAAATGGACATTTCTGATTTCTTTTTTGTAGGTGTCTAGAGCGAATGGGACAAGCCCCTGAAAGATACATTACAAAGAAAGTTTTCAACTTTAAAACCCCAAAACTTTCTTCTGTTTTATCAGATTTTGTTCAAACTGTTTCCTTTTCTATTTCTCTAATTTTTCTGCTTCTACAACTAGCTTAATATCAGGGTGGATTTCCCCCTTAAAATCCCACTGCACTACTTATAGCTCCTTGAGCCCTCTATATAACAAACAATGCTTAATCGGTGATCATTGGCCCCTCATGGTCCCCTTTTTCTTATGTTAATTGAGAGTCGATTTGGTGAGGGAGTTCTAATCCCTCCTGGCCAAGCTAGTGCAGATAGGCTTTAAGACCACTTTTTCTTCACTGACAAAGTTTCACTTCCTTTGTTTCCACTTCAACTCGCTCTAAACAATTTTCTTGTTGAAATCATTAGCATCTTATCCATTATACACATTTTGTCAATCAGGAAGTTGATTTCTAATAAGACACTTAGAGAAAGATTGAAAAGCACCATCTTAGTCCATCTACATGTACCCCTACTCCGACCAAAAATATTTTATGATTGATGTTCAAATTGCATATATTTGTAATCTTTTAGAAATATTGTTATCCATAATAATTTCTCTTCTATGAAACTCTGGTCAATTTATCATTAAAAAATGTAAGTAAATGTAAGTTAAAGTTTAGAATTGCAAATTGGCATAACCAGAAAAGACAACTCACGACCCCGAGATACTACGTTCTCAAAAATATGATGTCGTATTGAAACTCAGAACTGATAATAGGTCATAAAACCAGAGCCTCACAACATGGCGACCGTGCACATGCCATAAACCATATTTCTCATAGCTCACTCCTATACTGTATACATGTCAAACCATTTTTAAAACATGACAGCGATTCTCTCCTTAACTAGATTAATAAAGACAAGAAATTGATTATAAATAGTCTATAACTATCGAAGTTGTGTAGTTTCAAGTCAAATAAGCATAACTGCAGGCATGTTGATTTTAACAACCTTCTGCTCCGCGATAAAAATACACAGGAGAGGTGAGCAATTTAGTACTGCTACTGGTAACAAAAAAATTCTTAAACATCCATCGTGACTTACATGTAATCACACTTATTCATACACCAAATCCTACAAAAAGAGCTCCCACAATCAGATAAGTGCTTTTCACACTGCTAGCAGTTCTGCTTAAAGGCTTTAATACAATAGTACATGTAGGTACATGTCTACCACGGATCCGGGCTACCTCGGACTCAGGGACAACTTTGCCCTAATGCAAATACGGGGCCTGAGTTGTCCCAGCATACCCTAACTTTAACCCTAACCCTGATGCTCAACTCTATCCTAACCCTCAAAAGTTTCACCAAAATTTCAATTATGCAGGGACAACTAGGCACGTATTCGCAACGGGTCCGAGTGAGCCAGACTCCATCTACGTTTAGCAGAACGTTGCAACACAATTACGCCCCTCTGCCAGCCACACAATGAATTGATGGCATTTTTTCAAGAAATGAAGATTTCCAACCCGTTTGTTTCCGTTTTATTAGGTCTTTTGTCTTTACCTTTTATATTTGTCTCTAACTTTTATATTTGTCTCTAAATATTATTATTGACCATCTTTGAAAAGTTACTATGTATGAAATATGCACACATCACCATTCACACACCCAAACTCGTAAGTTTCGTTCAGCAAATCTCTCTCTCTCTCTTTGAAAAAAGTCTGAACTTGTTTCAATATTTATTTGATCAAAAAAGCATTCTAAAACAGTGAGAGACTGAAACTCTCCAGAAACAGTATGATTGCAAAACAAAACGAAGACTAAATCTGTAATGATCAAAGCAATTCATATTCACTGAAGTGTTTTCTGGAAAATGTACTCAACTGGTATTAAAATTCTAATTGAAGCTACAAATCTCTACCGGTTCCGTCGTGACACTCGTTTACGCTGCGCGCTGTACGGAGACACGGCCTCTGCTCGGCACTGTAGAGCATGCATTGAATCGACCAAAAGGCCAAACCCCCGACTACAGTCACTTTGCGTGTGCGAGGCAATGCGCTACATATCAAGTAAATTTACATGTGTGCATGTGTTGCTGTGCGCTCGGTACCCGGTTGTTTTCCTCATTCCGAAGCTAAATTCATCATGATTTACATAATTAAGCATTGCATAAATAGCATGATTTGCAAACAGATTTTTCTGTCTAACATAACTCACGTTTGAATACCGAAGAGTGTTAGCGACGGCCTCAGAAACCGCAAAAACAACAGGTCAAGAGCTAAGATTTGCAGCGTAGATATCACCAACATTCAAGATGGCTACAGCAGTATTATGCTAATGTTGTGTCACGTGACCCTTATCCGGTGTGGCAGATATCGTTTCTTCGGGGCTGCTGGCCGCAAGCTAAAAAATCGCAAAGAAAGTTATTGAATGACACGGTTATCTTCTGTAGAAAGCTTAAAATCCCTCCAAAGTGTTGGGAGCCCCGATTTCGCCAAAAATTTGATGGAAGAATTACACTTAAATTGTATCATAATGTCATTTAAGACACTTCTGCAAAGATCCCCCCGCCCTCCCTCCCCCAAAAAAAATTGTTTCGAGACATATATTGATAAGAGAATACATAGTTTAGGTTTTCTGTTGTACGCAGAAAACCCAAATTTCGTATTCTTTCATTAATTTTCGACTTCAAACACATTCTTTTTTAAACCCTAGCACAAAATGTGTCTAAAATGACATCGTCTTTAGCGAGGGTTTTCAAATTTTCAAATTTTCGGGAGCAAAAAAAGAAAAAATAGTGCTCACTATATAACCCCCCCCCCCCCCCCCCCCCCCCCCCACTGAGCGAATTTTCGGCCGGTTGTTTCGCCGCTAAATATTTTCTCATGAATTGGACCCCCTCCCATGCTGGATCCGCCCCTATATGTTTCCAAGTTTTTATTTTTAGCAAAATATCAGATTGATTCAATTTTTGCGTAATATTCACCTGAAGATTGATTCTAAACAGAGATGAAAAAGGCACTTGTGAGAATGGAAATGAGGAACCTGTTGATTGAAAAGGGCACCTATCAGATTTTAATAGGGGCATTTATTATATGTTAAAAGGGGCATTTAGAAAAGTGGAAGAGGCTCATTTAAAACAAAAGGAAAGGGGGCATTATCCAAATGAAATATGGTACTTATTAGAAAGGAAAAGGGGCACGTGGCTAAATAAAAGGGGCACTTATCAGAGGTGAAATGTGGTATTTAAGAGAAAGGTAAGAGGTTCTTATTAAAAAGGAAAAGGGGCACGAGTCAAAGTAAACAAAAAAGTGTCAAAATATCAAAGGTGAAAAGTGGAATTTCTCGCACCTGAAAAGACGTACTCATCAGAGATGAAAAAAGAGGAAAAGGACAGTTATTAAAGAAAAAGGGGGCACCGTTGTACAAAGGAGCTTGTTGGGGTACCTGAAAAGTGGGGGAAAGTCCCTTACCCTTATCCAATGCCCAGGACGAAAATTACGAACGTCGACCGTTAAATTTAATTAGGGATAATCATTTGCATTCAATCATAATTTCTTAGCTACATTTGATTTGATTTGATTTGATATGGTTTATTGATTAAAAAACATTTAAATAGCAGCCAGAGGCTGAAACAAATTGAATTTTCAAAAGATACATTCAAAAGCATAACATATACATATAAATTGCGATTCACAATAAATAATCAAGGATATGATCAAAGAAAAGAAGAGAAACAAAAGAAGAGATTGACATGTTTTTCTACATGTATTTGTTCAAATCAGCATCTGGGGAATTAACACTTCAACAAGCTCTACCTCTGGTCAAGCGCGTAGCCATGATTTTATTTTAGGGGGGCGGTAGTGAGCATTGGGGGTGGGTGCAAGGAGGAATTTCCGCGCGAAGCGCGGAAGCTTTGACGTTTCATTAAATTATTAAAGAAAGAAGACGATTCGTTGTACCATTCTGGACTCTTAATCCTCGTCTAAATTCAGTTTCTGTTGACGTTTCATTAAATTATTAGAGAAAGAAGACGATTCGTTGTACCGTTCTCGACTCTTAATCCTGTTAGAATCAAGTTCCCCTTCTTCCGCGCATAGCGCGGAAGCTTTGACGTTTTATCAAATTATTAAAGAAAGAAGACGATTCGTTGTAACATTCTCGACTCTTAATCCTTGTCTGAATTCAGTTTTCCCCCTCCCGCGCGAAGCGCGGAAGCTTTGAAGTTTCATTAAATAATTAGAGAAAGAAGATGATTCGTTGTACCGTTCTCGACTCTTAATCCTTATCTGAATTCAGTTACCCGCCCCCCTCCCGAGCGAAGCGTGGAAGCTTTGACGTTTCATTAAATTATTAGATAAAGAAGACGATATGTTGTACCGTTCTCGACTCTTAATCCTTTTTATTCCTACGTCCCCTTCCTTTTTTCTTTCTCTTTTTTTTTTTTGGCGGCGTTTTTTTTGGGGGGGGGCGACCGCCCCCACCGCCCCCTGGCTACGCGCCTGCTTCTGGTTAGTTCCTCTTTTCTCGTGCCATTTCTCTTATATTTACATTACATATATTTTTTTGTAATATACTTATTCATTGTATTATGTTTTGCATGAGAAATAAAATCATTTGAAATTGAATGAAGATAATATTTTACGTAAACATGACATCACAAACTGATAACCAAATTGACAATTTTTGTAGTTATTTTCATTGTTCCATAGTTTTACATACTTTTTCAAAAATTCATAACTTTCTTATTAGTTATCTGATTTTGCTCAAACTTGTTTTGTTATAGGTTGTCTGATTGTTCTGCTTCTATTGAAAATAAGTCATTTGTTAAGTGGACTTGTACTTGGACTTGTAGATGTAGGACAACATAACCAGCTAAAGGCAGATTTGATGTACATGATTTGCAATGCCCGTTTCGTATACATCAACAGATATTGGTTTTGAGTTTCATTATATTTTTTGTTTGTCCATTCTTTCAAAATGAGAGAAAAATGTATATGTACCAAATAACTTGTAGGGTAGTAGCTTAAAGCCAAGTGCGTTAATAAGGTTTTTACAGCTCATGCCTGCCAGCTAAAGAAATTAGCCAAATTTGTTAAAGGTAAAGACCAGTATTGGAAACGCCCCAATTTCAAAAAATGAAATGGAAGCTCTCATTACCAATCATGTGAAAGAATATGTTTTGACTAATACATGATGATAACAAATTTGCCGGGAAACCGCCTACTAATTCATATATTTGGTAAATTGTTTCTCTCATGGTCTGTGAGAGATATAGGGTAGTCCCGTATACATCTTTCTGTGTATAGTACTTGTAACTTTACGAAGAATGGGCCAAATTTCTTATCATTTTGATGATTCCAGAACCTTGCAGATGCTAGATGCTAGATGATCAACCTTTTCTGATCGATTTCACAACGTTTCTTTCACAATGCAATCGCATGACCATAACTGGTCTTTACCTTTAAAATAATTATGTCACATTTTTCTAAAGATCCAAGAAAGATGGTAACACTGTAAATGATATGTCACATGTGAGCAATGCTGTTAGGCATACTCGTATAGCGGTAGGAGGGTGAATTGCCCATTGCGCCTTGATCAATTTGTACATATTTGTTCATATTTTTTCATGTTTATCATTATTCATAATAATATTTATCATTGTTCATATTATCACATGTTTATTATTGTTCATTTATCACATGTGTATGAAGTGTCGTAGTCAAGTGGTTTAAGCACTTAACTTGAAATTCAAAGGTCGTGGTTCCATCCCCGACACGGCACTAATGTCCTTTGGCAAGGCATAAATCTACATTTGCCTCACTCGACCCAGGTGAGGTAAATTGGGTATCTGGATCGTAGGAATTAATTCCTGGAAATGCTAGAGCGCTGGAAATGCAGCTAAAGGCTAAAGCCGGGGTAATAATAAATGCGCCTCGGAATAGAATTTCTAGATAGATTTCTATTATTTATCTTTGTTCAGATTATCATGTGTTTTTCATTGATCGTATAATCACATGTTTATCGTTGTCATATACAATTGTTATATTGATACTATATGTTGTAAATAAATTATGTTTGTACTCTCGTAGTCTAGTACCTCGAGAGGGGGTCGATAGAGCTAATAACAACTTACAATCTTACAATTTTGCAATTGTTATTGTATGTATTTTCCCCTTGTTTAATGATGCGCTTTTTGCATGGACTACTTGATCCTTTTAATTTCTTAATCTGTTATATATAATTTCCATCCAGTTTTTCATTCAGTGCTCTCAAGGAATATGCCCTCTGACTTTGGCAACTTTGCATCTTTGACAAGTCTAGCGCCATCTATTGATTGTTTTGTGTATGACGATCACGCCCACCGAGCTTCATAGATCTGGAAGGGTTGCAGTACATTCATGTTGTAGTGCAGCCCAATATGTCGACTACTGCTTTGTTGGGCAACCACAAAACATATCACTAATTTCTGTTCCTTCTCCATTGGGGCACTACTCAGAATATTATTGTAGGTCCTCTAAATAGAATAGACCCTCCTAAGCCATGATTTTTAGAAAAATTTAAATTTGAGTCGTTTTATATGTTGGAACAGATTGACATTAACGCTTCAGCAAATTTGAAGTGACGATAGTGATTACAACTTTTAAAAAATGTATAAATTTCTTACATTTAGTCAGATTCAATTGAAACTTTCATCAATTTGCTTCTCTGATTTTTCTGCTTTCTTTTGGTACAGTAGTTGTCTATTTGGGTTGAATTTTTGTTGTTGTGGGGGGGGGGGGGGGGTTGTTGAGGAGCTTAATTGAGGGTTAGAGGTTTTTTATTGTTGAATGTTGTTGCACGGACTATGCTTGGAGTAACCTGTTCCACCAAAAAAATAAAATGGATTGCACTTGCCTTATATACCTATAAAATTATTCCCATAGGATGAATAAAGGATCCATCCAGTTCCTACAGGCAAAGTGTTAATTCAGCCACTATACTTTCGAGTGGTTTCAAGTTCAAAAGGAAGGGATCCCTAACTTTATGACTCTTTTGAAAAAATGCACATAATTTCCACAAAATCACTCTTCCACTCAAGATGTTGACAAGAGGTATATAATGGCATATATTATGAAAAAATGTTAAAGGTTTGACTTTCAAGAGTGAAGAACAACTTTAAACCTAAAAACTGTGTGTAAAGTTAGTCTCCCAATGAATCTTTCTTCACCGGGAGACAAATCGTAATTATAATAATAATGATAATGATAGTAAAAATGATAATAATAACAATAATAATTGTTGTTGTTGTTGATGTTGTTTTTATTTCCGAAATCAGATAAAAATATTTTACATAGTAAACTAAAAAAAATGAAATATTTATACATGTACATAGACATCAATCGATGGAAAGCCCAATTCAGCAGTGTTTATAGAACACTACTGTTCTTCCTTTGGATCCTTACACTGCAATATTAACATAAAAGCTATAATAGAAACAAAACATAAATACACGTTTTTTTAAATACCAAAGTAACAACAAATTCAAAAATAATATCATACGCGTACACCCACACACACACACGCACACACACACACACGCACGCACACACACACACAAGGTTATGCAAAAATCATCTGAGTTTAAGAAAGTGTGTTAAGAAAAAAATTCAGTTATTAGGGTATATGGAAAGATCTTAATGTAGTTACATTTCGGATGTATTCTATATTGGTTATATTGTGTCGCCCCCCTATATGTTCTTTTGCAATTATTTGAATTCGGTTTAGGGAGATCTAGATTTCAGGGATGAGCGAAATGAATACAAGCGATATTTGATATTATTTGACATAATCATAAGACGGAGTGTAATTATTTAATATCTTAAAAATCATAGTACAGTACATTTTGTAACGGCAGTCTAGAAAGTCCCAATTTAGAGTATTATGAACATGTTGATTGGATGTATGAGAATAAGGATTTACTTTCATTATCACACGGCCCGCCCTGTTTTGAAGCTTTTGTAAAAGTGAAAGGGAGGATTTAGTTGCGGACTGCCAAAGCATGTCTCCATAATAGTCGAAACTGTGGAATAATTATGGATTTGTAAATTAGATTCAAATCAGATTCATTTATAAAGTGTATTAATCTACCAAGGAAGCCAATAAGTTTACTAATTTTCTGACACATTATGTTTATATGAGCATCCCATTTCAATTCATTGTCTATATTAATACCGAGGTATTTTGTATACTGTCAACCTTAACAAGTGTATCGCTTATGTTCACATTAAGTACATTACACTTTGATAACATAATATGACGGGTGCCAATGAGCATGGTAACAGTTTTTGTATAATTAATTAATAACTTATTGCGAGACATCCATTTATCAAGATATTCCATTTCATTATTTAAGACAGATTCAACAACAGTGGGACATGTATGCGAAAAATAAATTACGGTTTCATCTGCGTATAGATGTACGTGACATAGATTAAAACATTTAGGCAGATCATTTATAAACATCGTAAATAAAAGTGGGCCTAATAGTGAACCCTGTGGCACACCATGAGTTAAAAGTCTTTCATTTGACATAACATTATTAATCATGGGTACTATTCTTCTCTCAGACAGATAACTCTCAAACCATTGTAGCAACATTTCATCTAAACCGATAGAATACAGTTTATTTAAGAGCACCTGATAATCAACCGTATCAAAAGCCTACTGTAGATCTACGAAGACTACCCCCGTGTACCTGCCTAAGCTTCATCCATTGCCATTAACCAATCATCCGTAACTTTAACTAAAGCAGTGACAGTTGAATGGCGAGCCCTAAAACCAGACTGAACAGAATCCAGTATATTGTTTGCAAGCCATGAAGATGGCTAACTAATTGGATTAGCATATACGTTCTAATACTTTAGAAATACAAAGGAGCAAGGATCTAGGCCTATAATAATTGTCTGGATTAGATTTATCACCTTTTTTATGAAGCGGAATGACTCAAATAACAACAATTATCATCATCAGTGTTACAATGTAATTGATGATAATGATAATAATTGATAACAGAGTGTAGTAATAGTAATACAAATACTACTAACACTACTACTACTACTTCTAATACTACTGCTAGGCTACTAATAATAATGATAATAAAGCAAACCCCAAACAACTCTATTAAATATCCAAGACAATTAATTACGAAAAAGATATTTTGTTTAATTCATGTATAAAAGCGCTGACACATATACTTCTACTGTGCTTGAAAATTACAACATAAGTATAAATGTAAAGATGCGATTGTAGTGTTGATTTAATTTATAAAAAAAGAGACAAAATAAATCAAATGTGTTTTCAATCACAAAAACGAAGGGATGCGCAAAAGGAGAATACTTCCAGAAGAAAGCAAGATGGCGGCATGCGCAAGCTTCAACAAATTTTGCCGATCCAGCGCGCTTAGGTCTAGGCAGTTTCTCCATTTCAGTGGTTTTAAACGTAAATGTTATCGATCGCTAGATCATTAGCGGTTTTTATGAAAGTGCTCATAATTTCGTTCATTTTCCCTCTCTTTGAGTGAAGGATTTTGGAGTAAATCAATGCGTAAGTATATGTACTATCTATTCAAAATGTTATTGTGGAAATTTAACTGTTGTATAACTTCACAGAGATGCATGATTCAACCAATGATTGAAATGCCCAGTCCCATACGTGCCTTACTCCAGCCCAGGTGATCCAGGCCAGGGAGCTCCGACGCCGATGCCGAAGGCGTACGGGTCGGGGCGGCAGCGGGGTCGGAGCTCCCTGGAGTTACAGCACAGGGGCCAGGGCTCGTTCTTAGAAACCAACGACAAGACAGTCATAACTTTATCCGCCAACTACGGAAATGTCTCTGATCTTCCTAAACCGTTTCACAAAAAGGTTACTTCTAGCTAGTATCTCGTGAGATCGATACTATCGGCGAGAAGAGGAGCCACAACAAGTTGTAGCCTGGCCTTAGCTTAGGCCTTAGGCTTAGGCTTAGTCGCAATACCACCGGATTATTACAAAAGTAATAGTCTAGACCTATTAGGGAAAATGCAATTATTTAAATGAATTAGTAATAAAAAAGATAGAAAATGATACCAAGAAATAAGAGATGCGATATACTTCCAAACTTGTGTAGATTATACAACAAAAGTAGACCCTACTTGTAAAATATAAGTGTGAGTATTTCATTACATGACCGGTGAATCAGTTTTGTTCTTAAGATGGGTACCCCCTGGATATTTTCATTTGATAGTTTATAAAAATACACTCTTATATTCTTAATAAAAATACAATGTTTTGAAAGTTTTGTGCATCGTTTTAGGCATCAGTACAATATTCAAATGACAACACTTTGACATTCCAAACGTTAAAACTCATGTTTTAAAAACACATTTGAAGATAGAATTTATCTCGAAAGCAATATGGGTCTGAAAACTAAAGAATACACTTCAAACTATGGCTCGCCTGCCGTGGCAAAATACCTATCCCTTCGACGATTTTACAATGTGGAAATAAAGGCGTATTAAATCAGTTTATTTAAGTGGGAAAATCCTTAAATACAAACATGGCATATTTTCATGAGATTATCAAATACAAAAAAATGATAACTCACTTTTTAAGTGAATGTGTTGAAAAATCATAGTTGGAGGATTTATTGGGTTTTTTTGCCAGCCATAGTCTACCCAATAAATGACATGTGATGGCGCTGCCCATCGACTAAATAGTTATGACAGAGATACGACGGTGTCAGAGGCGTCATAACTACTTAGTCAGGATGTTGTAGTTGATCTTGGCAAAGAGGGCTTGGTGAAACACATAGTGGACAAGTTGCTCACTAACGCTGATTTAGTCAAGAAGTTAGACTTATGATGGTTTGTAGGAACAGGCCCCTGAACTATGAAGGCCAGAGAGCTCCAACGTGCCCAATTGTGTGTGATTTTTTTTTGGTGTGGAAAAGAGGCTAGGGCCGGGGTTGCGAGGGGGGGGGGGGTGCGGGTCAGGAAAGCTAGGCTGTGCTCTCTCTTAAATTCAGCAAACGTGTGCAGAATGACTTTCTTTGTTATATGAATTATGATAAAGCTAGGCTGTGCGCTCTCTTCAGCAAATGTGTGCAAGATATGATAGTGACTTTCTAGTGTCTGTGACTTTGTTGTGATTTTTGTGACCTTGACTGAACAGCAAGTGCCCGATTCTCGAATACGACGACAAGACAGTCATAACTTTAGGAGCCACGACATAGCCTTTACCCTTAGGCTTAGTCGCAATTCCACAGGATTGGATTTAAAAAAAAATTTTTTTTAGGAAAACTGCAATTATTTAAATGAATAGGGTCTAGACCTTCTAGATCTAGTCTAGGTCTAGATCTAGAGCAGTAGAGGGGTCTAGAGTTAGGAATAAAAAAAAAAATTGAAAATGGTACCAGAGAATGAGAAATGCAATAAACATTTAGGCCTACACACACATGTACTTCAAGATTTGACCTCGGTAGTCTGTATCAATACTTTTATTTTAACTTCTGTTAATTATTTTCACCTTTTCGTTGTTTTAATCAGGTGTACCGGCCTAATGGAAACATGCAAGTTAGAAGCTGAAGCCCCAGTGCTAGCACACAATGAGATTTCCTGATCACGATGTACTTTTCAAGTTCAGATGATGGCAAGAAATTTCTTGAGGATGGGAGGAGGCAATCCAATGTTCCACACTTTAATGTCTTAGAAGACACGGATCAGAACGGTTCGGTATACAGTGGAAATGGCCCCAAGCAGACAAATGCCTCAGCATACTCTGGCAAGGGGACTTTATCACAAAGTCAGCGGGATGCTTTTGGACGTAGCGCTAGGTCTTCAGGGAGAAGCAGAGCCCAGGTGAATGGTGCAAGTTCGCGTGATTATAATTCACAAATACAATCAGATGAAAGGGATGTGTTGGATACCATGTTTGAGGAGCCAAACAGGAGGTTATCTGACGCTGAAAGAAATATATCCGAGGTAAGACAAATTTAATTTCAATTGCTTTTACTCACTCGTTCAGAACACAGTGTCACTTTGTGTAGAACTTCATTTTGTAAAGTAACATACATGTGCTATAGTGTTCCGGGCGGATAATAATATTAGATTACTGGGGAATTACTTCTAAATTAACTAAGCTCAAGTAAGGGTAAATCCTACCATAAGCTTGTAGAACTGTGCATCGAAGACTCGATGTCACCGTCGGTGGAGCTCCACTTGCAGCGTAGATTCGGGATTCAAGGAGAACATAGCACTCGGCGTGTAGCTCGATTGCTGGCCTCTAGTCAAATCTACCATATCCAGTATTGGGTATGGCCACGTAAACAATCTGCGAGTGAGGGACTCGCGCGCATATATGCGTTCATACAATACATGAATCACTACAATACTAACCCTAACCCTAACCCTAAACCTATATCTCTTTAAAAATGTTGATGGAACATGTTTCCAATCAAATTACACTGATGTACAATATCATCAGATGACAGCCACAGCAGTGCATTGTAGAGTAATTAATATGACATTGAAATAATTGATTCATGCAAAGCTTGTTTACAGGAGGAAATAGACCGGTTTACTATCATATTCAATTGATGGATCTTTCTTTCCTGAGGATCTAGTGACGAGGTACATGTAATCCATAAAACAGTTATTCATGAATGAACTATACTTGGAATCCAGACAGTGTTGGGTAAGCTTTCAGGTTATCAAGAACAACTTTTGCATAAAATTTCACTCACTCTTGCGTGAAATATGCATCATAAGAGTTGCATCAAATAAAAGAAGAGGATCTAAGCTTGACAAATATGTGTCATTTATTAATTATAATTGTGATTAAGTTAGGATAAAACATTGATAATTCTCGGTTTTGTTTTTTCTGGGACGCAATGTAAGGAGAATTGGAGAAACATGACAAATGTCACTATCATTGTTGTTCTGTTTTTCTTGGGATTCAAAATGAGATTTACTGTTATGAGAAACAATTTGTACTTTTTGTTGTGTACAACATCTTTCACTTGAGCTCAGTTTTAATTCCATACAGCTCTTGTAGCATTTTCAGGAGCTACATGTACACTGTACATTGTTTCTGTGTATTTTTACACTACCCACAATGCTTGGATGAAAATGCCTGGGATCAGCAATACGGTAGTCAAATACACTGTTTACATGGAATAATCCTGTCTCCCTCATTCTTTAGAATATGCATAAAGAATTTGATAAGTCCTCAAATCTTTGCACAGTAGTATCTCATTCCTTGCTAGTTGCTAAATATAGTTTGTCATTGGATCTGTTCCAGTTAACCTCTTGTACACAAACATGTGTACAAGTGATGCACAATGTATACTCTTTACCTACAAGATCTAATACCCTTTGTTGTTGTTAATTTGTTAAAGGTTGGGTGACATCCAAATATTAGTTGATTCCAGTGAAAAAAATCATGGGGGGCTCAGGGCGATTTAGCCCCTGAAATGCCCAAAAGAGCCCCGGAAATGCTAAAAAGAGCCCCCAGAAATTTGCATAGAGTTTAATGCAAACCAATATTTTAGAGTGCTATTTTCATGCACTTAAGCTTGAAAAGTAGCCCCCGAAAAATAAATGTTATTTTTTTCCTGTTGATTCCTGTTGATGTGCAGGGCTGCATACAACTTATATTTTGTTATTCAAACATCTAAATATATTCCACAGATTTTAACATATTTTTTAAAATAGTTTTCCCCAGGCCTGCTAAGCTCCACCTAGCCTATAATCTAGGCGGAGTGCCGAGCTTTTTTCTTTGCTGCTAGACTAACCCTAAGCAGAACGTCTGATACGGCGAGACTACGAACCGTGAGTCGCGAAGCGGCTCACCGCCTATAATCACTGGTCTAGCTAATCAATATTCATATATATTCAAAATGGCGGATCTATGAATCATTCAACAGCCCTACCAAATAAGGTACACCTATGTTACGTTCGACCAGTGATTGCTTGGTATATTGCACTCTTTCCAAAACCAGTAGGTAATGCAACAAAAATATCCCTGCCGGCTTCAATAACGCTACGAATAGCGGATTCCTGCAGTTCTCTGAATTTTCCATTAGGAATGCCTAGTTTGTTGGCCGCATATGATAAACTTTCTCCCAGAAGATCGTCGTCGCATGAACTACCCGCCATCTTGGATGAAGAAAATGACGTAATGTCACATGATTTATAATATGCATATGCATAGACTCTTCTCCATACGTGTTTCTGATTGGTTGAGTTCATTTCGTATTCATGAGGTTTTTTCGTACGAAAAACTGCCACGGATTCATGGTCGATAATAAAAAAACAACGACTAAAGCTAGACCAGTGATTATAGGCGGTGAGCCGCTCGCGGCTCACGGTTCGTAGTCTCGCCGTATCAGAAGTTCTGCTTAAGGTTAGTCTAGCAGCAAAGAAAAAAGCTTGGCACTCCGCCTAGATTATAGGCTAAGCTCCACCCTAAAAAAATGCTCCAGATCTCATTCATTTTGTGACATCATCTGTCAATCATTAGTGAGCTAACAAGAGACAGTGGTATGTAACTTCCCCCAGCTCAGCATATATGCTCACAAAAGAATTGCATTCTTTCATACAATACCTCCATATTACCTTTTTTTCTGGTGATGCTACAGCACGTCTGACATAGCAACACATACTGTTGGTATTGTATGGTCTATTGTAAACAGGTAGTCAGCTCTGCATATCAACAGGAATCAACTTATATTTGAATGTCACCCAACCTTTAAGACCTTGCAAATAAGATTTTACTTCCCCCTCCTTTCTTCCATTTCAAACCATTCTCTCATTCACATACTTACAGTATACTGTACCTCATACCAACATCTCTTGCATTCCTCCATGTTCCCTTTTGCAATACCATCCTCCAACAATGTACACATCACATTCTCCGAGTAGTCTGCAAGCACAGACTCTATTTAACACTTTAAAAAAGTTTGTACTAGTTTGACCAGGAGGGATTAGACCACCCTGCAAGGTCATTAACAGGTGGCTATCTCATCAACTCAGTTCTCAACTTCTCAATTAACATGAGAAAAAAAGGATCATGGGGGACCAATGGTCTCCGCTTTGGCATTGTTTTCTTTTTAGGAGCAAGTAGCTTCAAGTAGTACAGAGGGGCTTTAATATAAATCCACAAAGCATTGAGTCTTGCCTACATGTAACACTGTCTGTTTCTGCATGTACCTGTGTTCTCTGGCTGTTGCAAGAGCAACAGTTCCTACAGTATACAGATACAGACAACTCGAAATAGTCTCACAATTCAGACAAAATTTGTTTTAGTTTATGCTCAAAGAAGATTAAAACCAATGAAGGTGTGAGGCTGCACTCTGTACTTGAATGGGCATTACTCATCCCTCCCATGATCTGCACTCTGCAGGCACTAATTTGATGCTTTACTTTGATTCCTAAAGCCTTTGACAGAGCCTACAGCAGTCTCTTACTGTGTCTGTCAGGAGCAGCTACAGTACAGAGCCTATGGTGAGCAATAGACCATGCAGTCTATGTACATGTAGTCTCAATCATCTCAAAGTTCAGACACTCTGTGAGGCATTACAACTGACAAAGCTTTGTGCAGGCCTGCAAGCTGTACTCCAATGAGCATTTTCCCATCCATCCTCAGGGATTTCATCCTGCAATATTGATCTAATGATCTTGGGCTTGCCATGCCTTTGGGTGTTGCTATGGACGGTTATTGACTCTTTGACCTCTTTAGGCTTCCAAAAGCTTGCCCCTGTGTGTACTTCTGGGTTTCTTTCTTGGTATAAGTTTTCACGATGTTGACTTGAGATTGGAGATGGACATCCTTCAACTGCTATTGAACTTGAGGGATGTTTGTTCATCAAGAAGAAGAAGAAGAATATTGACCATTGTGCAGTGATTTAATAGGTGTTGACTCTTGCATCCGTCATCAGAGAACAAATATTCTCCAGCATTTTAGAAGTAGGGTACAGTAGGTACCCGGCCGGCGCGGTTCCCACCAGGTAGCATTTATCTTAAACTTCAATCTTTGAATTTTTTGAGCTGTATTACATGTAGCATTGTGCATGGGATAATTCAACTGTTGAGTGAGTTTAATTGTGTGTCTAATTTGCTTGATTCGTAAGGCTATTTAATTTCAAAATTTAAAATTCTATGAAAATGTATATTTTAAAGTCATGAGCATATTGTATTGTATAGTGTCATTTATCAGGTCTGCAACTGAAATTTCAGAGGGTAAATGATCTAGATTGTTTGCATTGAAGCATTAATTGATTATTATTGTTAATCAATCAGTAATGGATTGAAAAATGATACTCATCAAAATTTGAAAGGGATTTTTAAAATCTATCCTAATTTGTTTGTCTTCTATTTCATAGAATAAAAAAATTATGTTCAAGTTTTGCCCAAAGAAAATGAAAGAAAGGAATTCACATGTTCTTGCAAAGTTTGGAAGAACATTTGATATCCATTACAGCAACAAGTTACATACTCATACGCACTTGGTAAGTAGCTAGCAAAAGAATAACTTTTTCAAAAACAAAGGATTGTAATGGCTGGTGACTTAATAGCGCTTGGACAAGACATACACTGTACATGATGACATGGGCTTGGATACTGTGTATAGTGATTTTTTTTTTACTTGCATTAGAGCTGGGTCTTGAGTCATCGCATGCTGTGTAGTGTAAATGATTGTAGTGCCATTAGCAATTCAGCATGCGTCCATTGCTCGTACAAATGCAGTATATGCTCATGCTTTATTTCATGCATGCCTGCACAATTTCTATCTCGAGGATGAAATAATGTTCTTGTGCATGATTTGATGCCTGCATGAAGGCCTTCTTGCATCTGCTCCAAAGTGCTTATTTTCTCAGTAGGCAGGTCCTCATCAACTCGAGATTACCAAATAACCTGCTATTTTAACTATTAATCATCCAGCTAATTTGCGTCTTCGTCAGCCCCCAGTTGCAATTAGTGGGATATTTGGTCTAGATAATCATCCCAAGATATCTTGTACTAGTTTGCAAAATATCCCGCTATTTGTCCGGTGCGTCCTCACCAGCCCGATCAAAGACTCGCATTATGCATGAAGGCTGAGCAAAATATCTCGAGCTCATGTTTCGAGCTGATGAAGACATACCTATTTACATTGACATACATGTACGTCATCCATTTCCCTCTGGGTGACAATATGAGATGCAAAAACATAACATGTTCAAACCATCTACTGCACCAAAAATTTTAATGTTTTCTGCCCCCACAAAACATCAGCATTTTTCATTGTAGCCAAGGAAACATGTCAAGGGCCCTTTTGGAATGTAGTGGTGATAACTAAAAAGGTGCTAAGAGACTTATTATTCAATATTTACACCTTTAACAGTTTACAGATCATAAGCATTTGCTGAGTCAACAATCAAATAACTCCACTTTAAAGGTGTGAAGCTCTTGTAAAGAGATTACATTCTAAAAAGAATCTATGATGAATACTTCCATAAAATCCCTCTATAACATGGTTATCTTTGGTTTAAGACTATTAAGTTTGTGTGCGTGTCAATATTTTTTGTATTCATAACACAGCAATACTGATTGTGCGATTCATATTCAGGTGACAGCATCATGAATTATTAGGTAGCAAAATGAAGTTTCATTGTTGTTTAAACACTTGCCTGGAGATAGGAAGGTCATGGGTTCAAGTCCTGGAACCCGTTTCACAAAGCCTTTTTGCAATGACAAATGACAAAAATCAGTGACAAATCTGCTTATAATAACCAATCAGAAGCAAGGATTTCAGTAGCCAACAAAAACTGTCATTTGTCACTAATGACAAGTTTTGTGAAACAGGGCTCTGGTGCAGGCAGCACAATGTCCTTTGGCAAGTCATTAATCTACATTTGCCACTCTCTACCCAGGTGGCTATTAATGCCCACCAAGAGAAAAAATATCTTTGAATATTAACTCGACTTTGTTTGGTCCATGTTACACCGGGCATGGTGGCTCAATGGTTAGAGCGCCCGCCTCATGAACGGGAGGTCATGGGTTCGAACCCCGGCCGAGTCATACCAAAGACTTATAACTATGGGACCTTCTGCCTTCTAGCTAGGCGCTCAGCATTATTAGATTGGAGAATGGTAGTAGTAACATATTATGTTATGCAGGGCCCGCTGGAAGAGGAGTTTCATTACTGAAGTGGCTACCCTAGGTAAATAAAACATTATTATTATTATTATTATAAATATCCATGAAAGAGCTTTACAGGGGGTTTGTAGATTTTCTATGAACAAAACAATGTTATTGTTAATAAAAGAAAATTAAACTTTTTGTGTCCACCAGTGATAATAGGCGCTCGGGCTGACGCCCGCGTCGGTGTCTGTCTCAATCACGGGATTAGTATACATGTACTTGCCTTAAAGCCTGACACATATCGGAAGGGCTAGTAAGAACATGACATGATGAAAGGACTTAAACATTCTTTTTTCTACGCAATAAATAGGGATAGATAAAGCTCTAAACATTTGAGTTCCTTTTCTCTTCTTTGTCCACCTTTGCAGGATCATTGGTTTGCCCATCAAGAAAGAATACACCCCTCCAACCTGAGACTTGGTATACCCCATCCTCATGAACAGAGCAGGCTTTCAACAGAAGGATCATTCCACTTATCACATCTAGAGGGGGACTCTGTCTCGGAGGGATCCGATGAAATGGAATATTCTTCTGGCTCTGATCATATTCTCCCAGGTGGGTCTTACTATTCATTAAAAACCTGTTAATGATGATTTATATTTATGTTCAGGTATTATCAGCAGATAAAAAAAATCATAGAGTACTGTAAATGTACAAATGTAGTTTATACAGATGTATATATTTTGTTTTTGTCTGAACATTGTATAAAAGACTTTGTGTAGCAAACACATGTTTGACCATCATTTTAAATGAAAACCTAATATTTCATATTTATTATACAGAAGATAATATTGAAAAGTAAAAGAGACATGTAGTCCATTATTAAATTTTAATAACTATCGGTAAGCTTGAAAATAATATTGTCAATTGAGAATGAAAAGAGCCTTAAAGACCGTCAATACTACTGGGCCAGGGGGGATTAGACCACACAGCGAGGTCACTGACAGGTGGCTATCTCATTAACTCAGCTCTCGACTAACATAAGAAAAAGAGGATCATGGGGGACCAACAGGCACCGATTGAGGAAGTTTTCTATACAGAGGGAGCAAGTAGCTACAAGTAGGACAGTGGGGCTTTAAGTGTAATGTTTTATAATAGATATAAGACTCTTCTCATCCCCAAATGACAATATGTTCATCATCTAAGTAAATTTATGGTGATAAAGGTGACAAAAATGTGATGAAAATTTTAACATGTTTTATTCATTATTCATGAATCATGCTTAAAATGCAGATAACGCATGTACATGTACATGACAGGATTTCTCTCCCATCATGGTAAAAACCCAATAAATAGTAAATTTATGATGATATTGTTCAATGATCGCATTTAAAGGACATGCTTTCTTTCGCAGTCACTGCATTTACCAGCGAATGTATGATATTTCTATTAAATTATTCTGATTTATGATACACACATTTATCAAATTGCAATCGTGTCCCAATCAATTTTAAATTGATGCAAAAAGTACACTATTAAAGCTCTGTGTGACACAGCATCCGTTTGTATGTAGTCTATTACCAGTTCTTTGAGTAAACTGACAAAAATGCCGATCTCATGTAAAGCATTGAATGGGGGGCCATGCTTCAATAGGCCAGTCCTCATCAGCTTGAGATTGCCAAATCCTGCTATTTAAACTATCCTGATCGCAAATATCTCCCGGTAGTTAATTTTCATCTTCATCAGCCTGCAGTTGCAATTAGCGGGATATTTGGTCGAGATAATTATCCCAAGCCTCTTGGGCTAGTTTGCAAAATAACCCACAATTTGTCCGGTGCCTCTTCACCAGCCCGAAGACTTGCACTATGCGCGAAACGTTGAGCAAAATATCTCAAGCTAATTTCTCGAGCTCGAGTTTCAAGTTTCGAGGTCAAGTCTCGAGCTGATGAAGAAGTGATTTGTAACTTCTGGATCATTTCCGTAATCAGAAATAGCAGGCTATCTGGCAATCTCGAGCTGATGAGAACAGGCCTATAAGCTTGTTCAAATATTGATATGGCAGAGTAGACACAGGAGACCTCAAAGTAAATAAGGTAATAATATTGATGACATGCGGTGATTGTCCTTGATGATTGATAGAAGTGCTGACTGGTGGTCCGTTCAGACCAGAAGAAATTATATATGAAAAACGTATAAAGAAACTTCGTATACAGAATCTTGTACAGTGAAAGGAGCATACAGACTAGAAAAACATGTTGTATTGTTAAGAAACCAGTATTGAAGAGGTAGGTGGACATGACAGCTGGTCAATCAGCAGTCCTTGCTCAAAATAAACCAAACCATACGTTTCGATACGTGTGAAACAACATTCAGGCTACAACAGAACCCTGATGTTCTATCAAAACGATGCTCGAACATGCCTTTTGATATATGACGTTTCATTATATGACATTTTGGTACATACTGTACAATGTATGTACATGTACAGTGTTCAATACGTTTTTTGTATCTAGCTATACAATAATTTTCAGTGGTCTGAATGGGGGAGATATGAGTTTTAATATGTATGTAAAAATAGAATGCAAACATTTGAGCGCTCTTGAGAGGTCTGCTATTTTTTCTTTACATACATGTACTGTACATGTACAGTGTCGAGTTCAAATTCTGGTTCATAAATTTGCAAAGAGTAGAATAATGTACTCTGTATACATACATTAAAGCCCATCTGTACTACATGTAGTTCAGCAAGGAGGGATTAGACCTCCCAGCAAGGTCACTGACAGGTGGTTATCTCATCAACTCAGCTCTCAATTAACATAAGAAAAAGAGGATCATGGGGGACCATGTGGGGCCAACGGGCACCACTTAATCCAGTGCAAAAACATAAGGGGGTATGAAGTATAATTTTTTCAAAGACAACATTGAAAACCAGGGCAGAAGTCCACCAAGACTAAGAACCTTACACAGTTTTTAGTAGATGCAAAATAAAGTAATGATTCTGATTGATTCTTATCCCTGTATTTAGAGTTCAGTTATAGTAATAAAATCAGAGTAATTTAACTGTCACAAATGTATGAATTTGAACATTACAATAATATCTTTATCAGCATGAGCGATGGAACCTGCTCATAGTATAGTAAAACTACGCATTTCAATTTTTTTCTGGGATTTTTAGATTTTCATATAATTTCTCTTTATACGTTGCAGTACAAAGGACAAGTGAGGTTTACCTCTCCGGACCTCGGTTTACTGACACCAGTCCTGATGCTCGTACAAGATCAAGGAGAACCAACGATATCGGTCACAGGAACCCTTCTTCCAAACATGATGGTTTGTCATGGCAACAGTATAAGGTGCTTGCTACCAGAAGGAAAGAAGCCCAAAGTCACACTGGGAGGATGGATGTAGAAGGGATGAATGGGAGGAGTTTTGCCTCTTCTGAGAACCCATTCAGAACTTCTGCCGACATCCACCGCCATGAATTTGAAGGTCGTCATGAACCTGATGATCATCAAGAAAGATTCCTTCTTGATGGGTTGACTGGACATCACAGTCCTTCCCCACTCTCACGTTCAGCATTGGACACATTCCAAAGCCAGGAAAATCCCAGTGGAGATGACATGAAACATAGTCGCGATGCAAGAATGTCCACACTTGTGGATTGCCACAATGAATTTGATCCAGTAATTGATGACTTTGAAGACTGTGAGTTTGAGCAGGAATACATGCATGATGGAAGGCTCCAAAGGCCTCATTCATCCAAGACAAAGATACGTCATCCTATACCATCCTTCAGCCAGATTGAAGAAGGCAATGCTAGGTTAGATCTTGGGGAATTTGTGCCTCCAGGACCTACAGTAGATGGGCACACTTCAGACAGCCAAACAACCTCCATATACAGTATTTCAGAATTCCAAAGAGCAGAATTCCATAGAGTTTCAAAGAGAACAAACATTCAAAGGCTGCAAGGTCAAAGGCAGGTTGCTAACAGTATTATTTCCAGAACAAATTCAGGCGATTCCGATGTTGATTTGAGCGAACACAGGGTACTAAATGATCACAGCCAAAACCATGAGCAGGTACAGTCTATGCTCCCAGCAGTATTGGAACAAAAACAAAGTGGTGCTCACCTGACAATTCAAAGTCTTCCGCCATCAAGTTCATCAGCATTGGATAGGACAGCCTCTGGCAACACTTCATCCCTTGACCTGAAGCGACCAAGAAGGAGAAAGCTGGAAACTGAGTTTTCAAACTCGCAGACATCCCCGAGTGAAGCAATGAGAACAAGTCAGTTTGCAGGAGGTGATGATTTCCTAGGAGATGCAACAGTGCATGACCCTGTGCTCTCTTCTCTATTATCGTCAGACTTTATGGGTACATCTGTCCAGGAAGACCGTAGGATTTCCTCTAGGCAGCTTCAGGAACCTGACTACCTGTCGATGCATCAGCAAGAGGGTCACAACAGTCAGCCTAACCAAAGTGAAACCGGAAGTAAGGGCTCATTTCATGGAACTCCTGAATCGTCTGGAAACTTCAGAAGTCTTTCCGTTTCTCCATCAGATGCACATGTGGTTCACCTTCAAAGGAGTGCACCAGATCTACTGAAGTCTTCCAGACCAATGAACTGTGCATATCCTGATGGATTTGATCCAGTGCAGGATCTTCTGACGTTCTCAACAACACAATCAACAACCAAAGGACCAACAACACAATCACCAACCAAAGGACCAACAAATGCCAAAGCAGCTTTGCATTCTATGAGAAGTTGTGAGCCAAGTGGTGTGAGAACAATCAATGATTATTTATTGACTACCTCAAAAGGTTTATCGTCGCAATATTCATCAGCATTGTCTTCATATTCGGTACAATCACCAGAAGTTCTTGATAAGCTGCCATTGCAGAAAACCTCTGCTCTGGAAAGACACCTTGCTCAGCATTATACAAATACAGGTTTCTCAAGTACAAATCATCAGTTAGAAAGATATGAGAATGTACCCAGTTCTTTGAACCAAAGCGCACATAGATTAACACATTCCAATCACTCAATACTTGATCACCAGTCTAGCATTAAGACTACTGCAGATGGTGATGCTCCTCAATCCTTTAAAAGAGACTGGTACCAACTCTCTGGATCACACAGTACATCTTTTCAGCATGAGGATCTTCAGGATTTCCTTCCAGAAGGGGATAAATTACCATTCTCCTTGCAAGAGAGAAGGATGGAGCTTCAAAGAGCCATGAACTATCATTTAGAGGAGGAACCACACCAGGATCTCTATGCTGTAAGTAGTTGCGTCTTGACATGTATTTTGTTTATGCTAGTCTCAGTCTTGTAAACATGACTTCCAAAAATATTCATTAGGATTGTTAGCGATCAGGAAAGTTAGATTGCTCAAGTTTGTAGAGTAATTGGGCTGTACATAGCATTTTAGTAGGTATATGAACCCAGGTCGTATTACTAAATTCTTTCTCTCCTATTATGAAAATGCATTTATCAACTGATATTGTTCTAAGATATTGAATTGAAACAGCAATAATATCCCCCTCAGACTTTTCAAATATTCCTAGTTCTTTATGTACTACAACCATCATAACCCAACCACACTGTTATTTATTATTATCATCATCATCCTCATTGTCGTCGTCGTCGTCGTCGTCGTCACCACCATCATCATCATCATCATCATCATCATCATCATCATCATCATCATCACTATTGTTATTGTTGATATTTGATTTGCAGGATACATCAAGCCATGGTGATAAGAGGCTGAGATGCTCTGCGGATTCCGCTTCAAAGATAAGGTTTGTTCATAGATTCCTTTAAATTACCAACATTCATAGACTGTTGTAATTTATGTTCCAGTGCTTTTGGTTTTCTTCATTTTTGATAAGCCTCAATGTAATTCTAACATGACATGGTAAATAGCAGCAAAATTGAAAAATTGAAATTAACAATGTATTGGCTGTAATTAGTTCCATATTGATGTAGGCAGTTCAATGTTCCGGTAAATCTAGGCTAATTGATAGTGTGGCATTTTATCCACACAGATCCAACTTATTGTGAGACATTGGGCGCGTTCATGCTTGATTTTGAAGGCAGAATGAGCGATTTGTAACGCTCATCGTAAACGCTCATCGTAATCGCAGTTCCACGGTGCACTGTTCATGCTCACTTCTCCAGGCAATTCTCCTTGGGTGGCCTTCAGCTGGATTCGCAAACCTGTGTGCGCATGCTACGTAGACCCACTAGAGGTCAGTGCGTTGACCCCATTTTTCGGTGATTCTACAAAAGTGAGCATGAACGCAATCGTGTTTTAAACTAAACGCGTAACAGATGCCTGATTCTGGCCGTCAAAATCAAGCATGAACGCGCCCATTGAGACACAGAAATGTCATTCAGGAGACCTCCCCCCCCCCCCCCCCCCCCCTCCCCTGGCACAGTAATTAATCAAAGCAAAGATTACCCTGTCGAGCGGGAATGCAGCCCCTGCCTTTGCATGTTGTGTTGTCAGATTTTGATGAGAGATGTGTGTACATGGAATATGTATGTACATTTATGCATGAGAGCACCCTAAAGACAGTTGTGATTGGATTGTATGGATGATTAGCCTGGCATTCTAGCCTTCCAGGGTGACATATGTTAATCTTGTGTTTCTGAGATCTCACTAACCGGTAGACATGAAGGTGTACAGTACATGAAGGTGCGTGTGTGTGTGTGTGTGTGTGTGTTGGTGAGAGAAAGAGAGAGGGGGGGTTGGGTTAGAGAGAGATAGAGAGAGCGAGAGGGGGAGAGAAGAGAGAGAGAGAGAGGGGGAGAGAAGAGAGAGAGAGAGAGAGGGAGAGGATGAGAAAGAGAAGGAGAGAGAGAATGAGAGATAAAGAGAAGAGAGAGAAGGAGAGATAAAGAGAGAGGAGAGAGAATGAGAGAAAGCAAAGTGAAGAATGGATAATGGAATAAGCAACGGAAGATAATGTTGAAGTGAATTAGAGCAGAATAAGTTGGGGAGAGAGGGGAAAAAAGAGTATGAGCAAGAGAGAGAAAGGGGGAATGGGGGGTGGGGGAGATGTTATGAGTAGGAAAAATGTGAGACAGGCAAATTTTAAAAATATGGAGAGAGACAGTAGTAGAGAAAAGAGAAAGAGACTAGACTAACAGAGTAGGATAGAGAAATATAGAGGGGGAAATAGAGGGAAAGGAGATAGAAGGGGAGGGAGGGAAGGAAGGACGGAGAAAGAAAGAGGGGAGATAAATGGTAAGGAGGGCAAGGAGCATAAATAGTCAGTTTGACTGAATTGCCTTAAAGGCCCACTGCACTACTTGTAGCTACTTGCGCCCTCTACCGTATTTGCCGGCGTAAAGGCCGCACCGCCGTATAGGCCGCACCCCCGATTTTGACATTTAAAAAAAAAAAAAAAAAAAAAAAAAAATCGTTTTTTTTTTTTTTTTTTGGTTGTTGTTGTTGTTTTGTTGCCGAAAACCCACGCGGGGAAGGACCTTCATTTAACATCGAGGTGCAGTTAAAGGCGCTGATTTGTGCTTGTAAACTTGTCACAAAATAATAGTAACAATGTCGTTTTTAGAAGAATGTGTAAGATCATTAATGTGAATTAAAAACAAAAGAGTACTAGGTCCTAGGATAGTACCTTGTGGTACACCATTTGTTATATAAAAAAAATTGAGGAATTATTATTATAAACTACATATTGAGATCTATTAGAAAGATTACTTTCAAACCAAGATGACAGACAAATTTTAGTGTTGTTGTAGTTTCCGAGTGGTGAGTCAACAATGATTACTGAGCTGGGAGACATTGCCAGGCATAGCGCCATAAATCAAAACTAAAAAAAAAAAAAAAAAAAAAAAAATTTTTACTCTTTCGCCGCATAGGCCGCACCCCGACTTTTTGATATTTTTTCTTCCAAAAATACTGCGGCCTATACGCCGGCAAATACGGTATATAACAAACAATGCCTAATCGGTGACCATTGGTCCCTCATGATCCTCTTTTTCTTATGTTAACTGAGAGCTGAGTTGATGAGATAACCACCTGTCCAGTGACCTTGCAGGGCAGTCTAATCCCTCCTGTAAACTATGGCAGATAAGCTTTAAAATATAACCTAACAACAACAACAGAGCATGATATGATATCAATGTAAGGAAGACATACATGTAGGAACAAGATAAAAGTAAAATTGAGAGTATGAATAGTGAATGTTGAATCAACAGTGGAAGTTATGAATTTGACTAGCATTATGAATTCACCAAATAGCACAATTTGGCATGTATCACATATTCATCACTAATTCTTACTCCCAAATTCATAATTAATTTATGTAACGATATTGTGTATCTCTATGTATGTGCAGAGGAAGTCTTTCAGAGATGAGTTTCTCCACCACCAGGGGCAGCCCACGTCGAGTCACCTCCATCCTGTGGGTATTCAAACTGTTAGACATACTGCACAACCATCCTGTGGAAAAACATGAGGTCCTTGTTTCACAGGTATGTTTTTTTTCTCCTAGTATGAGTTATAGTATGACTGTCATTCAAATATTAAAGTCACTCTTAACAGGTGGATGTGGGAAGGGGAGAGGACTGACTTTTAAATCCCGTCTGTACTAGTTTGGCCAGGAGGGATTAGACCACCCAGCGTGGTCACTGACAGGTGGCTATCTCATCAACTCAGCTCTCAATTAACATAAGAAAAAGAGGATCAAGGGGGATAAACGAGCACCATGTACATGTAGGCATTGTTTTCTATATAGAGCTAGCAAGTAGCTACAAGTAGTACAGTGGGGCTTTAACATAATTGAATTTTTATTGATTCTTGAGCTAATCTTGAGTTCTGGTAATGATAGAAAATAAATGTTCACAGAATCCAACAAAACTTACACTGAATGTTCAAGTTTTAAATAAATGACATATGACAAATGATTTTTGTAGAAAAGGTATAGGGACTACTGAGTAATGAGCATAGAAAGATAAGGAAAAGTCAAGGTGAGTATAGGCCCAACACCATGTGCTTAACACAAGTCACTATGTGCAAATGAGAGTTGACGTTTTAATTGAAGATGATTTCCAGCAATTCAGTTTTTGTGAGGTTGATTTTATTTTCTGATTCAAACAATCTACTGCAGGATAAACAATCCAGAATGAAATCTTAGCCATGTTCTCTCGACATACAGTGCCCATACCAGAGCTCAAGATTAGCTTCAAAGGCAACCAAATATTCTAGTTGTGTCCAGTAGAGATATTACATTAAAGGTAAAGACCAGTGTTGGAAACGCCCCAATTTCAAAAAATGAAATGGAAGCTCTCATTACCAATCATGTGAAAGAATATGTTTTGACTAATACGTGACGATAAAAAATTTGCCGGGAAACCGCCTACTAATTCATATATTTGGTAAATTTGTATCTCTCATGGTCTGTGAGAGATATAGGGTAGTCCCATATACATCTTTCTGTGTATAGTACTTGTAACTTTACGAAGAATGGGCCAAATTTCTTATCATTTTGATGATTCCAGAACCTTGCAGATGCTAGATGCTAGATGATCAACCTTTTCCGATCGATTCCACAACATTTCTTTCACAATGCAATCGCATGACCATAACTGGTCTTTACCTTTAATTCGTCTGTTGAGAGCCAGAAAGGCATTAATTCATATCTTTTGACACTTAATTAATGCCCTTCTTCCTGTCTACCAACTTTATTATTCTTAATAACACTACCAAAGTTAATATCACTTTTCATAACAGTTTTGAAAAATATGCTCCAGTTTATAATGTTCCTGATTTCATTTTTGTTGTTCCAAAATGTAACATTGTTATTATACTTTCTCCATATTGCAACATATATAGGCAGTAGCACGTTATAAGAATTCTTTGACTGGGGGCTGGGTTGGGGACCATTTCCAAAATTGCTATCAAGTAATAAAAGGATGTATGTGTAATCAAGTGCCCCTAACCCACCTCTATTATGTCAATATTTATTTTTATGACAAGAGGATGGGAAACACTTGTATTTCTAAAATTCTATTCAAAATTTGAAGAAAAAAAATAGGGGGGGGGGGGGGCATGTGTTCTCAAATACTTTTATGTATTTTCCTCGGAAGGCCCCCCCCCCCCCCCTACCATCATCAATGTATCATGTATCAAGTGCCCCTAACCCACCTCTACTACGTCAATATTTATTTTTATGACAAGAGGATGGGGAAACACTTGTATTTCTAAAACTCTATTCAAAATTGAAGAAGAAAAAATGGGGAGGGGGGGTGTTCTCAAACACACTTATGTATTTCCCTCTGAAGGCCCCCCCCCCCCCCCATCATCAACCCACTGTATTATTCAGTATTTGGTTTGTGTTTGTATTTGTCAGGCCTACTGGTTTAGGAGATGGTTGAGTAAGGCCCCCCTCCCATCATCAACCCACTGTATGATTCAGTATTTGGTTTCTGTTTGTTTGTATTTGTCAGGCCTACTGGTTTAGGAGATGGTTGAGTAAGGTGAGATTACTGAAGATGATCCGTCAAGAGGAGAATACTAAGTGGAGAAGGTGAGTAAAGGCCACGTCAGGGGGGGGGGGGGGTGTTTCACAAAGATGCCAAGTTAAACTTAACTCTTAAGTTGGACTATGAAATTATGGAGAGCCATTTGAAGCCTTAAAATAAAATATATTAAAAAGTGAAAAACTAAGTATTTTAGAATTTTTATAAAGTCCACATCAAGAACATGAAATCTCCTTGATAATAGAAAATATGAAGGATTTGTATCAACATTCTATGCCTTTTAAAATATCTTTCACAAAATATTTCCATACATGCTAACTGCTTTCCATCATTGTTAAGTCCAACTTATAGATAAGTTCAATTTAGGATCTTTGTGAAACACCCCCTGACCTCACCAATAGCAGCCACTCTACCAGGAGATGGCAGGTTCCAATTCCGCTAGTTCCAAGACTTTTTTCCAAGTACAAGATGAAGCATAACATCTTGATTTAGCGGATGCAAGGCGAAAATTTCTTTACGAGTGTGTTGTTTTTGTGTTAAAAATGAATAGGAACAAAATTGTTGTAGGTCAGACCTCAATGATTTATGCTGATAAGTCAGGGCCCTGTTTCATAAAACTTGATATCAATAACAAGTTACAAGCTACTGTTATAAGCTACTGAAATCATGGCATCTGATTGGCTGATAGCAAATTTGTCATAGAAATTTAGCAGTTGTTACAGATAACAAATTTTATGAAACGTGCCCCAGGTCAGACCTTGCCGATAGCAGCTACTCTACCTGACATAGCTGCCCATCAAGCAGGAGATGGCAGGTTCAAATCACAATGGTTCCAAGTCTTTTTTTCTGACTTTTTCTTAATCACAAGATTTAGCACACAATCTAAATATTAACTGGGTGCAAGCCAAAATTTTGATACAAATCGAAGTGACTCCCAGGAAGCCTAGCAATCAAAGCTAGCCTATTGTCCTAATGACGGACTGACGAATATTAATAAGTCAGAATTTGGAGGGCTGAGGTATTGGCACCTGTCTGGAATGCTCTCCAGAGGAATGGAGAGCATGCTTTGAATCAGGCCTTCTCAACTGGCGGCGCACGCGCCACTTGTGGCACTTGCGGTCAGTCGGAGTGGCGCGCGGCTGTTCCAAAGAGTCAATAAAAAATAAAAATTAAAAATTAAAGAAAGAAAAAAATTAAAATTAAATTAAAATTTAAAAAATCAGTAAAATCAAAAAGTCACAGTCGAAGTTGAGCCCAAAATGTAAGCAAGCCATTTTGTTTGTTTGATTTTCACTTGATTTTGACATTTTCCATGTTTATTGCACCAAAATAACTACATATAAATTAACTTCCAGAGTAGATTTTAGCCAGGAATTGAACTAATTAAATTATTTCACATCAATATGAAATTATGATTGATGTTTTCTGGAACAAAAAAGTGTTAAAAATGCCACATCTAGGCCTTAAAAAAGCCCTAAAATCCACTAGCTTCCGGGGGCTTTGCCCCTGGAACCCCACCAGGTATCGGCTCGGTCGCTCCGCTCCCTCGCAACACAGTCACCAAACATACAGGTTGGCACTTCAACCTCAATAAATATTTGTTTTGGCACTTCTAATAAACTAGTTGAGAAGGCTTGCTCTAGATGTTGGAATAGCAATTGACTCCAGTTCAGTGACAGGCCTATTCAAATGGTTTCACTAGCGCTTGAAAACATAGTATGGAGGACTTTACAAATGTGACTACCGGTATTGATATTATTCAATTCAGTCAATTCAATCATTTCAATTCAATTATTATTTATAAATGTTCCGACCTGCAGAGCTGTCATCTACCACAATATCTCCGTCCAGCAGAAGTGCCTAAGGCAGTGGATGGCTGCAGTGCAGTCAAGGAGCAAGTCAGCTAGACTCCTTTACCAGCACCGTCTTCTACGCAAAGGACTCAGTGCATTCAGGTTTGCTGTAATGAGCAGTAAAGTCCAGGCAGTACAGCTGGAGACAAGGCTAAGGATCACGACTCTTGCCAAGTATTTTAACAAGGTAAGAATTCAAATGAGATTTTAGGTTAGAACTACAACACATTGCTGCTTGTAAGTATCGACTTGCATTGCGATGTAGATATACAGTAGGCTTGCGGGAGGATTGATGGACGACGGATAGTCAACCTGTTTGAAACGTTGAGCCACTCCCGCCACTCATCCTCTCCAAGCGCTATAGTTCTCCTTAGAACTATCAGCTAAGAAAGATAACCAACAGTCTTTTTCAAGACTTCACCTACAGTCCTTTTCAGGACTACACACCCTCAAGAAAGATTACCTCATTCCTCCCCCTCTCTCTCTCACATGGTGCACCCACAAGCCTACTGTATACGACACATTGCTCTGACAATAATTGCTACACAATGAGTTCTGTATGCTATGAACTTGTTAAATGATTAATTTTCTTATTCCCATTGGTTTAATGCAGGAATCAGCTGGTTTTGTAGGCAATTGGTTAAACTGACTTCCTTACTTCAAGGGAGGGAGGGAAAAGAGAGGGAGAGATAGAAAAAAGAAAATGAAAAGAGAGAGAGAGAGAGGTGGAAGAAAGAAAGAGAGCGAGAGGTGGGAGATAGAAAGAGAGAGCAGAGAGTGAGAGAGGGATAGAAATAGAGGAGAGAGAGAAAAAGAGAAGAGAAAGAGTTAGAGAGACAGAGACAGATATAGGAGGCAGATGGAGGGGAGATAGTACAAATAAATCCTTTGTTTATTACAAGCATCAAATCATAACATTCACTATCATTTCGTTTTACCTAGTGGAGTACCCTTACACAGCTGCGCAAAGAGAAGGAAGCCATCTTGGAGCAAATAGCCTATCAGCACGTCACTGTCAGAGCATTCAGTGCCTGGAAAGAAGGCTACCATGCACAGCAGAGAATGGGCATTGCAGATCTCCATTACAAGTGAGTTTTCTTTATGTCCTCTCTCCACTTATTAAAAAAAAAATGGACATTCAATTTTGTTAAAGGTAGTGTAGTCTGACAAGACTAGGTGTCTTTCCCGAAGCCTGACTCGGGGCCAATTGGGTATAATACGACTACAGACGACGCGACCACAGCAATCACGTGAGTGCAACATATGCGAAACCGAAGCATGAGGAGAACTTCAGTCTGTTTCGCGAACGCTGACCATGTAGAGATTAAGTCGCAAAAGGAGACATAGATGGCGTTAACCAGTATTTGCCAAGCTACACTCCCTTTAACAGTTTTATGTGAGCTCTTTTCCCTACATCTCCTCAATAATTTTTAGAAAAAGTATGTTTAAGTTCTTTGAGTGAAAATTAATTCTGAATTAATTCACTATCCATAAATGTCTTCTTTTTCAAACTACTTAGATGTATCTGCATAAAGGTATAATAAAATACATGAATACATACATGTCAGTTGATACTTAAATTTATTGGAAAAATTACAAATAATTAGTCAATAGCGACATCATAACGCAAAATAAATACAAATATTTTGTAAATGTGAAAAAAGAAAAAAGTCTATGTAACATGACCCATGTAGTTTTGTTATGGACTCTCTACATCTACCAAACTGCCATATTTCCAAATATTATTCGGAGTATGAACACCGGTGTTCTTTAATCATATCGGCCCGAATTCACAAAGCAAGGTTTGAGGTAAAACCTCCTTTTGTTTCGCCAAACCTCCTTTTGTTATTTACAAACCTGGTTTGTAAATAACAAAAGGAGGTTTGGCGAAACAAAAGGAGGTTTGAGCTCAAACCGGTCTGAGCTCAAACCTTGCTTTGTGAATTCGGGCCATCAAGTTTTCTTGAACGATCTATTAATTTCATCTTTCTTTCAATATTGCTTGATTCAGAGTGGGTCTCTTGTCAAGGTGCATAGAAAGCTGGAAGACGTATCTTGCTCATCGGAGGAGGAAGTTTTACCAGACGGAGGTAGCGAGGGTCTACCATGAGGACAGTCTTGTCAAGAGAGCCTGGGTAACCATGGCAACCATCTGTGGTGAGAGACAAAAGGCCCGGAGACAATATAGGTTAGTCGATGTACCCTCCGAAAGATGTTCATTCTGTCAAACTCTTTATACCGGTATGCCTCACAAATACAGTAATCTCCCTGTGCCGCGTTGAGTTAGCTATGAGATGAATATACCAAAAGGCTTCAAGATCATTTAACTGTTTCCTGTGCGAGATTAATCTATACCAGTGTTTATTGTAAAAGCTTTGTCATGGAGCTAATCAAGTCCCTAAGTTCATAATTCTGCAAAGTCATTGTGTTGCACAGCAAAAAGCAATCCTTCCGTCAATGGATGCCTACAAGGCAAACAAGCTACCGTACAGACTGGCAAAGAAAGCAACCAAAGTGTTTATATCAGAAAAGGTAATTGGAATAAAACTTGTTGCATGTGGCCTCCCCCCCCCCCCCCCCAATCCGGGAATGGAGGGACCGCATTCATGTTCCAAAAATCTCTGGTAAAGGGGTACTTTTTCACGCAACAAAGTCTGGCTTGGGTGGTCTCATAATGCTGCCGTTTATTATATCATGTTTACAGGCGGTCAATGCTGCGCAGGTCCTGGAGGGCATGTAGGAGTGGCATACAGATCATCAAGATGGAGAATCTTCATGACAATGCCAAGGCTGTGGTCTTCAGGGAGCGAGCAATCCTCCAGAGGTTCTTTGCCGACTGGAAGGAGAGAGCCAATGTCTCCATGGTGACACACAGGAGGGAGAAATCACAACTCAGGTATGATAATAATAATAATAATAATAATATGTCTTGTTTACCCAGGGTAGCCTCATCAGTATTCATACTGTTCTTCCTGAGGGCCCAGCAATCATATTATTACCCCTGTCATCGGATTCAGACTTACCCGCACACAATGTATGCACATTCTCCACTCCCTGGGGAGCATTCCAGCCAGGCGTCATTTTTACATGCGCACACTTGCTAATCTAAGCACATTCGCTTTCGCATCCTACCGGGTACCCATTTAACACCTGGGTGGAGAGTGGCAAATGTAGTTCAATGTCTTACCATTTTCATATTAAAGACAATAGTGTAGTGATAGCTAGTTAACAGAGTCTGCAAATACAGACTAGCTTGTATTACTAAATATAGACTGACCTGCAACCCATGACTTTAAGCAGGTCAGTTATGAAACAAGGAGTACTTGTATAAAGCATAAAAACATGACTACAAAGATGTCTGACTGCACAGTGCCTCAATAAAGTTATACAACTTATTAGTTCAATCAAAGCTCTGTAACTGGTCTTCTATAAGATCAAAATAAATAGTCGATTCCAACAAGTAAAATAATGCATAGATATGAACTACTTTGAGGGGCACTGTTAGAACTGTTGCCCAAGTTGATCTCGAAATGCAGTCTCGAGAAACTATAGTCTTAACCGTGACCCCAAAAATGAAGAGTCAATATTTGTTTTAAATACCACATCTCATGTTTGGATTCTGAAAAAGGGATAATATGAGAGAATTTGCTTGCTAAAATGTATTGATTTGTAGGGAAATTAACCAAATTAAAGAGAAGTATGTGTGTCTCATTGCGCGTATCAATTGTTAACTCCATGCTGAACTACTTCGTCCTTGCGTGCGTGTGCAATTTTAACTATGCCCGGTCAATGTTTTTCACTATACTGCTCAGCAGTTGGTAGTGAATTTCATGATTGTAGATTTGACCAATCAGAGGCCTGAAATCTTGATATGTGTTATATAAACAATGATGGCAACTGGGCGTTGTGGCGTGCGCCTGTAATCCAGCTAACAATGGAAGTTACAAACTGATTCAGCCGAGGACACAGGTTCGAAACTGAGTCACGTCTTTCGGATGGTGACGTTCAATGGTCGGTCCCCAGACGTAAATAATCATATCTGATTGATACACGTCTGTAAAAACCCAATACACACACACAAACGCAAGGGCGGTATCCAATGCAATACTTAAGCAAGAGTTATTGTGTATAAGTGTTGTGCTAAGTTTTCTGCTTAGATAAAATACCTACCCAACTTTGTCATTCAGTCAAAGCTTTTGGCCTTAGCATTCTACCCTAAGTTTAAGACAGTTCCTGTCTTCCTGAGCTAACTTAATTAAGCCATTTATTTTGGAGGCCTTGATTGGCAAGCATGTGGTTATCATACGCAGTAATCTTAAGCTGCTAACAATTTTATAAGAGCGTGCATTTAATGCGACACGTTAATCGCGCATTATTTTGGATTGACTATGTGACGTCGCAATTGCTTATCAGTAATTATTTTGCCTCAAGGTCGACCTGCTTAAATAAAATACCCAGATATGATCTGAATACGAGTTAAGACATATTACTTAGCCAAGTACCATACTGACTTACCGAATTGAATAAGGCCCAGGGTAAATTACCTTCAGTACCATCAATACGTGTCTGTGGAAGGTGTCTGAAGTCTGAACTGTATATATCGAAACTGTTGCAGGTAAACATTTTTGTTTGTGTATCATAGAACTTTAAAGAACCCCACTGTACTACTTGTAGCTACTTGCTCCCTCTATATAACAAACAATACCTAATTGGTGACCATTGGTCCCCCCATGATCCTCTTTTTCTTATGTTAATTGAGAGCTGAGTTGATGAGATAACCACCTGTCCAGTGACCTTGCAGGGTTGTCTAATCCCTCTTGTACACTAGTACTGATGGGCTTTACCATATTTACTATTAGTAATGATGATCAGGATGGTTCCAGTTAAACTGAAACCATCCTGATCATTGTTCAGCAAATAGTGATGCAATTTTACTTTAGAAAAATAGCAGTAAAGATTGACTTTGTAAGCTAAAATAAGTCCAAAGGAATTCTAAAGTCATCAAAAACCTGGATTTTTGTGTTTACTTTCCCTCATCCAGTCAAGCCTTTGAACTTTGGAAACTGAAGCATCACAGGAGGCAAGTGCTCTATCGGATCCTGGACTCCAAGGCTCGCAAGACTCGGAGAAAGAGGGCATTTTTAGCATGGAGGGAGCTCACGCAGCGGTCTGCAGAGGCGCAACGGCAAGGGGTTAGGTTGATTGCAAGGGTGCAGATGGGGGTTGTGATGTCCGCATGGCGGTCATGGACAAGCCTTCGAATATGTCATAGGTATGTTCACATGATATGTTTTATTACTAGCATGAAACAGAGACTCTTTAGCCTTATGCACTAATAATGCAGCAAACTTCTCATCTGCCCTTTAAAAAAAAATGCAGCGGCAAGCAAAATGGCATATTAAAGGCTTTGTTTAACGATGTTAATCTGAGATGCATGGCCCTATTAAGTGTTATCAATGTCTGTGATATAGTGTAATCTTTAAGCCCTAACAAAAATTGTGCTTCAAAATGATCATGAAGTTCCTCAAAAAGTAAAAATCTTTGAATGACCGGTTTTACCATACTTATTTTCCCCAATAGACTGTAGTGTTATGAAGACCGTTAGGAAAACGCAAAATTAGATTTCGATTTCCAACCATAAATATCTGAGACGAAGTTACCCAATCCCTTTAAAGCATAGTGTGCTCTGCATTTCTGTATCTCATAACGCAGAGAAAAGTAGGAACACTCAGGGGGTCCTGTTGTGCACAGCTGCTTCTATAGCATACTGAGAGAGGTAGTTGCGACACACGCATCTACGCATATGTGAGATAGGTCATAGGTTAAGTAATGGAGCTCCAAATAGTTCTGACCCATGAATTTAACTGTTGCTTAAATGTATTGACCAGTTTTGAAATGTCCCCCTCTCAAAATATGAAATGGAAGCTCTTATTACCAATCATGTGAAAGAATATGTTTTGACTAACACGTGATGATACAAATTTTGCCGGGAAACTGCCTACTAATTGATATATTTGGTAAATTATTATATTGATTCGGCCTGGATAGATATCACGAATGCACTCCAACATTGAACATTTGGGCATACATTTCTGCTTTTTTGCAAATTTAGGTTGAAGTATTGCCATCTAAACCTCTGAATGCAACATTTAAACAATATTGAATGGATATTTTGCACCCAAAACCGTTGAACTGCAATCTTTAAAGTACCGACATACCACAGAATGTAATTCACTTGAAATCCAGATTGTTTTGAGGCATATGAACACAGGCTTCAATTGGGAAGTTCTTCCATTTTAAACCAATTCCCAGTGCTTAGCGAACGCAACAGTCATATCAAGAATGATAATACAGTCAAACCTGTCTATAGCGACCACCCAAGGGAAACACAAAAAGTGGCCTTTGTAGTCAGGTTCCTTTAGTTCATGATTCAATAAGAAACCATTTTCATGGGAAACAACAAATGTGGCCTTTGTAGAAAGGAGGTCTTTGTAGACAGGTGATCACTAAAGAAGGTTTGACTGTATTGATAAACCACTTTGATTGTTACAACAGGCAAACTCTTCAACGTCACCTGGCTGTCCACGATGCCAAGACAGTGGGCAGTGCCTTCCGTTGGTGGAAACTCTGTTGGCTGAGGGAGAGGGCGCTGCGTCAAGGTCTGGAGAGATGGTCGGAGCGATGCCTGAAGAGGGCAGCACAGCGATGGAAACAGCACGTGGTCAAACGCAGGCAATGGGACAAGGCTGAGGAGTTGGTTAAACAGTCGGAGAATGCTTGTCTGAGAAGTAAGTCTTAAGTTTTGAAGACGATCTGTATTAGTTTGACCAGGGGGAATTAGACCTCCCTAAAGGTCACTGACAGGTGGTTATCTCATCAAATCATCTCTCAATTAACATAAGAAACAGAGGATCATGGGGGACCAACAGGCACCGATTAGGCATTGTTTGCTACATGTATATAGAGGGAGCAAGTAGCTATAAGTAGTGCAATGGGGCTTTAAGAGGATCTGTGCTGGCAAAAGAAGGAATGGGGGCAGATTCCATATTGTTTGATTGACAGAACTAACAATTTCATTATAGCGAAAGTGGTGCAGTGTGACCACTTTGATTGTTATCATTATCAGTACATTTTATATTCATATGCTTCATTCGTATAGTTATTGTTAAGGTTTGGCCCCCTGGCTGCTTACATGCACTTTACTTTAAACTGTCATAGCACCATATTTGTATTATTATGTATCCATTGAGGGTAGTCATGCTATCAAGCTTTGCTTACTTTGTCAACCCTCCTGTTTGATGGTTTCGATTAGTTACAGCCAGCCTTACTTTATTCTACATATATTTTTTGTCATGTGTAAAATTTGCAATGTTTTGTTTGTTATATATTTGTAAAAGTACAAAAGAAAAAGAAAATCAAACAGAAATAATAAATAAATCAAATCAAATCAAATCAATTCTCAAGCAAAAATCTGACATCAATCAAAGGATTTATTACAATTATTCCTTTCAGGGTCGTTCTCAAAGTGGGTCGAAGCCAAAGCTCAATCTGACCACGACAGACAGAGGGCAGCAGACATGCACTCTCTCTTAAGCCGCAGTCAGCTACACCGAACTTTCCTTGCTTGGAGGCTGGAGATGATGGTGACAAGAGCCGTCGGACCATTGACCGAAAGGAGAGAGAAACGGTGTCTGGCCAAGTAAGTCCTTCAATTCGGTCTGGGGGGTGTTTCACAAAGATCCTAAGTTTAATTTATGTCTAAGTTGAACTTAAACAATTAGGGAAAGCTGTTAATAGCATCTATGAAAATATTTTGTACAAGTTGTTTAATAGGCATAAAATGTTGATTCAAATCATTCATATTTTCTTTTCATCAAGTAGCTTTCATGGTCTTAATGTGAAATTAATCGAAAGTCTAAAATACTTCAATTTTCGCTTTTGAATATATTTTTTTGACATTACAAATGGCTCTCCATAATTTTTAAGTCCAACTTAGAGTTAAGTTTGAATTAGGATCCTTGTGAAACACCCCCCTGGTTCATAAATAATAACTATATACCGTAGTATGATATAACACTTGTAATTATAACAAAAATTTATCAAAAAACATTTCCCACTTTATCTCTGGCAACTATTAGGCATTCAAAACAGAAGATGTTGTATTGCCCTTTTGCGACCGACCCAAAAATCTTATAATTTACCGTCGGCTTTTGAATAAATGGTTTTCTTTTTTTAAATATGTATTTTGTTTGTTTTGAATGGGATATAAATGCATAAAATCATCAAATTATTCCCAAATTCTCACTCATCTTTTGCCCTAGTTTTTGAAATCCTGCTAGCGTTAACAAGTAGACCCCGGCCTTGTGTACGTGTATATACCATGCATCATTTTTTAAATGAAACGGTTTTGCCGCATCATATCTGAAAGAGCCTTTTTTTTTTATATTTCAGAGCATTTGACAGCTGGAGAGATATTATCACAAGGAAGAAAATGGGACAGAACTTTGCTGAAAGGTGCAAGAACAGTATCACTGCAATAACATTTCGATATTGGAGGTACTGTATAAATTATGGCCTACGATGTATGGTTCTATATTAATTTGCCCAATGTAATAGTATTTTAATTTGTATTTTAATTTCATATTTGAATTATGTATTCTTTGTAGCCATTCCATACCTATGGTCTTACATCTATTAATTTGCTCTCACAAATGTATCTATATCTATTGGCATCATGTATTCTTCACCCCTCTTCTTCCTCTTTCTCCCCCTCCTCTCTCTCTCTCTCTCTCTCCCCTTTTCTCCCGCTCTTCTCTCTCTCTCTCTCTCTCCCTTTCTCCCCCTCTTTTTTCTCTTTCTCCCCCTCCCCTCTCTCTCTCTTTCTCTCTCCCGCTCTTCTCTCTTTCTCCCCTCCTCTTTCTCCCTTTCTCCCCCTCTTTCTCTCTGTTTCTCTTCTTCACTTGATTGCATGACTATGATACAATGTACATGAATGGATTTGTAAGACATTTTTTTAAATAATTTGTAAACTTCTTGCAATCCAGCAATGGCAGTACGTTTTTTGAATGTTTTGTTACGTTTTTTAAAATATTTTTTAAAATATTTTAAAATATGTTTTTCTTAACTTCTGATCATGGGCTTTGTGTCGGTTGTGTATAATTATGCACATGTCTTCAAACGATGCGTGCAGGACGGTGATACGGGGCCCCAAACTGTGCACATTGTGAACAACCCATGTGTATCGTGTGCACGTTGTGCTCCGATCCGGGTACGTAGACGTGGCGCCGTTTTTTCGAAGCTGTCTGATTGGGCGATATGTTAAAAGCCCCATTATACTACTTGTAGCTACTTGCTACCTCTATATACAAAACAATGCCTAAGCGGTACCCGTTGATCCTCTTTTTCTTATGTTAATTGAGAGCTGAGTTGATGAGATAGCCACCTGTCAGTGACCACACTGTGTGGTCTAATTACTCCTGGCCAAACTAGTACAGACAGGCTTAAATGTGAGAGATTTTTTCAAAAATATGTTTTTTATGCCTCCGTTACGAAGTAGCCGGAGGCATTATGTTTTCGGGTTGTCCGTCCGTACGTACGTACGTACGTCTGTACGTCTGTACGTACGTACGTCCCGTTCTTGTGATCGCGTTATCTAAAGAACCGATTGATGGATTCCTGCCAAACTTTGGTCATGTATGTATCTTGCAAAGCCGATGAACTGATTAGATTTTGGAGTCACGAGGTCAAAGGTCAAAGGTCACAGGGCTCATTACGTATGCAAAAACAGCTTGTGATCGCGTTATCTAAAGAACCGATTGATGGATTCCTGCCAAACTTTGGTCATGTATGTATCTTGCAGAGTCAATAAACTGATAAGATTTTGGGGTCACGAGGTTAAAGGTCAAAGGTCACAGGGCTCATTATGTATGCAAAAACAGCTCGTTATCGCGTTATCTCAAGAACCGATTGATGGATTGCTGCCAAACTTAGGTCATGTATGTTACTTGCAGAGCCAATGAACTGATTAGATTTAGGGGTCATGAGGTCAAAGGTCAAAGGCCACAGCGCACATTATGTATGCAAAAACAGCTCGTGATCGCGTTATCTCAAGAACCGATTGATGGATTCCTGCCAAAATTAGGTCATGTATGTTACTTGCAGAGCCAATGAACTGAGTAGATTCTTGGTTCATAAGGTCAAAGGTCAAGTTCATGGGCTCATTATGTATGCAAAAATAGCTTGTGAACGCATTCTCATTAGAACTGACAGATGGATTACTATTTAACTCAGGACATCTTGCAGAGCCAATGAACTGAGTAGATTTTAGGGTCATGAGGTCAAAGATCAAAGGGTCATATATGTATATGAGAAATTGCTTGTAATCACGATATTCCGAGAACCTGTCAATGGATTACAATTGAACTTGAATTCGAAAAATTACTTCTGTTTTGGTTTGTAAAATTGCTCTATGACGGAGGCATCATTTTCGACTGCGCGCAGTCGAATTCCATCTAGTTTCCACTTAAGAATATTTTTTGTTGTTGATGAAGGTTGGCATCTCTGCGTCCCTGTGATGCTTATTCTCATTATGATCTGCCTCCCTCTCCTGTTAGAAACCAGACAGAGTGTCGTCTCCATGCCAAGCAGGAGCAGGACTCCCTGGAGGCCAGCCTCGTCTTGGGATGCTTCCAGGCCTGGCAGAGGCTCCACCAGAGAGAGACAACAAGGAGAACGGTTGCCAAGCAACGGGAGGCGGAATGCCTGAGGGAGGCGTTCACATCGTGGAAAGCACAGGCGGTAGAGGCAGAGCTGGAGAGAGAGATCCAGATGGGGAAGGAGGTATCAATCTTTGAATTCCTTTTAGGGTCATTTGCATATTTGATTGATGGCGAAGTTGAAGTTAGGAGACATTTGGTTACTATACTACGTACAGTCGAACCTGTCTGCAGCGACCGCCCAAGGGAAACACAAAAAGTGGTCTTTGTAGACAGGTTCGTTTAGTACATGTTTCAATGAGAAACCATTTTCTAGGGAAACAAAAAATGTGCTTGTTGTAGACGGGTGGTCTTTGTAGACAGGTGGTCACTAAAGCAGGTGTGACTGTATTTACTTCTTCTCAATGGGAAAAGTTCGTTCACATGCTTTTGATGATGGGGATGAATTGTCCAGTTCATAGATTCTATGCAAGATTATGATCATTATGATTTCACTTTATGTCATGGATTTCGCAAATTCACGACATTACACAATTAAACATAGTTTGTAGGAAATTTGCAATGTTAATGTGATTATTTGTTAGGCTAATACACTGATTATTAAGGTGGCATGAACTTTAATATGGGGATTTACAATAGTGTATTTTCTTCATATTGACATTGTGTATGCATGCTACTTAAGTGAAAAAGGTTTATTTTCGGGGACGCTTTCAAGAACCAATCAATTTGAAAGAAAAAGGGTGTGGTATTTTAAAAGGGCAAGAAATTTCATGAAAAACACATGAATGTATGTGTACATGTACATCCACCTGTTTTAGGGAAAATAAGATACTTTCTTAAGTAAGAGTGTGTACTTGTCATTTTCGACTTGCATAATGATCATGCGTTGCCCCTTTAAATATGAGATAGCACTGGGGGTATTTCACAAAGACTAAAAATGACTTTAAGTTGGACTTAACTGTGGCAGGCCGTTCATAGAATGACTTTAAGTTGGACTTAACTGTGGCAGGCCGTTCATAGAATGACTTTAAGTTGGACTTAACTGTGGCAGGCCGTTCATAGAATGACTTTAAGTTGGACTTAACTGTGGCAGGCCATTCATATCACTGTTTGCTCTCACCATTATGATCTTTAGATAATTTTTTCACTTCAATAATGAATTATCACAAAATATAAACTCTGTAGATTTGTGACCATGATCTTTACATCCCTTAAGAGACCAATGCCAGTAAACGTTGAGAGCAAACAGTGGCATGAACGGCCTGCCATAGTTCAGTCCAACTTAAAGCTGATCTTAGTCTTTGTGAAACACTCCCCTGGGGTATTGTACATTGCATCTATTGGTTCTTTAGTAATAATAATAATAATAATAATAATATGTCTTGTTTACCCAGAGTAGCCTCATCAGTATTCATACTGTTCTTTCTGATTCGGATTCAAGTAACTGCAATGGTTTTACTTTCTGTTTTTCTTCATTTGATTGCCAAAAAACAGCAGAGAAGATTTCTCCTTCAGAAGTTGTTTTTCAAGGCGTGGAGGAGAGCGAGTGGTGAAGAGGCAGAGCGGGGGAACGAGAGATGCTCCGTGATCCAAGACGGGCATGCTGCATCTACTCTCCTAGAGATGTGGAAGAGATGGAGGAGATCTTTGGAGCTTGAGCTGAAATCAAGGTGAGGAAAAAGCTAGCTCAAATCGGCAACACAGTACACACTGGCTACCCATTCATTCTCGCATTTTATTCAAAATATTGTTGTTAGCTTATGAATGTTTTTATGATTTTGCGCCTCCTTATTTGATAGAGCTATTAAAATTGTACACACCTTCTAGAAATCTTCGTTCTAATAAGAAAAAATTGTTTGTTATTCCACCAGTGATGACCAGGTCATATAGTGAACGCAGCTTCGCTCACACTGCCTCAACTTCATGGAACAATCTCCCGGAACATCTAAAAAACATTGACTCCATTGTTAAGTTTAAGATTGCTTTAAAGACGCACTTGTCCGTTACCCAGTACGTCTTGTCTTTGTATTCTGTTATGTTTTTCTCTAGAGCGCTTAGGGACATGTTTTAATACTATGTGTTATGCGCTATACAAGAACGGTTAATTATTATTATCATTATTATTTTACTGTAAATGTTCCATTTATCCTTCGATTCAACATGTGTCAGGAATTAATTTTTTTGAATGTATGCTTAATATTGTATTGTATTTTTCATGCCTCCGCTACAAAGTAGCTGGAGTTGTACGTCTGTCTGTACGTCACGTTCTCGTGATCGCGTTATCTCAGGAACTGATTAGATTTGGGGTCACAAGGTCAAAGGTCACAGGGCTCATTATGTGTGCAAAATAGCTCTGATCGCGTTATCTCAAGAACCGATTGAAGGATTGACTACTATCAAACTCAGGACATGTATGTATCTTGCAGAGCCAATGATATGATTAGATTTTAGGGTCATGAAGTCAAAGATCAAAGGGTCATACATGTACATGTATATGAAAAATAGCTTGTAATCATGATATTCTGAGAACCTGTTAATGGATTACAATCAAACTTGTATTGTTTAAATGGCTTCTGTTTTGCTTTGTAAAATCGCTCTATGATGGAGGCATCATTTTCGACTGCGTGCAGTTGAAGATCCATCTAGTTATTATATTTATTGATTACCACAGTGTTAAAAATTATATACAGTTATTGCATAACATCAAGAACCAATAAATAGTAAAAGCTAATTTAGGTTTCACAATGGAAATGCCAATTTATAAGGGTGAATTGGAATTTGCAATCGCTTTTTTTTTCAATATGACTGCCCTGTTAGAATTACATGAAAGTGATCAAATGCTAAAATGCGATATTATAGTGAAAATAAGGATCTTCTATTTGCACATTTGTTCTGAGAGTCAACACTTCATTATAAAAATTTATTTTACTCAAGTGTACTAAAGAAGTTCTTGCAACTTATTTTTTCTGTCTCATCCTTGTAGATCACTTGCTGAGAATAATCAGCATCGAATGCTGGAGGAAAGCTTTCATTTATGGCACCGACACACCCAGCAAAGCATGAGTGCAGCCGTAGGAAGATTCCATGCCAGGTTGAATGAATCCTGTAGTTCTCTTCAGAATCCAGAACTCCATCCTTCAAGCGTTCCACCTTCACAATCACCCTCCTCCTCCTCCTCCTCCTCCTCCTCCTCCTCCTCTCCTTGTTCATCATCACCACCATCCCCTGCATTGTTATTATCGAAGCTTCAGGCTCATGGGATGCTATCTCCATCTGCATCGTCTCCATCACCCCTGAGGGAGATGTCCGTCCACCTTCGAGAGGATTTGTATACAGAGTTCTCCCATTCTGTGATGAGCAGAAGAGCTGTTGAGCCATCTGTATGGCATGGATCTGCTGAAGACATCCCAGCAACAGATGCGACTCCACATGGACAAGATCCCTCAGTGTTCACATCGCTGGATCGCATCAGTAGAACTCCATCCCCGCTCCGGAATCTACACCCTGGCAACTCCACCGGTGATCAGGAAGATGCGGATTTTGTACATCCAATAGCCTTTGAGGTCAAAGGTCAGTTAGAGTCAGGTGAAGGGTCAGTCATAAGTCTAGATCAAGGTGTTGAATCGTCTGGTCGGAGCATAGACTCCCATCCCAGCCACATTGGTGTCTCCTCAATCGCCGACAGCGGTTACCATGCCAATGGATTCATGGTCTTCTCGAACGGGGAGTCGCAGCTGGACGGCAGCAGTGACAGCACCTCCTCCGTGCAGAGCGTGAAGGACACCGTCAGCTCCACCGATGTCTTACGGATGTCTCCACACAAGAACAACAACAACAACAGTGCATCTCAGCTCCTGGAGCTATCCCAGCACAGAGAAGAGTGGGTGGGGCTTACCAAACTCTGGTGTTCAACTGAGGGCCCTCCAGGAAAAATAGAGGATATCGACCCCTTCCTCAGGGAAATAGCATCTCCTGGAAGTGCTGGGCAAAATGTAAATGACATGCTAATCATGGAGAATGGCACAAGTCCACTCGGTTGTCACAGTGGTTCTGTGTCATCCAGAGTCAGATGCTTCCAAGTACAACATGGTGATGCATTGCATAGATGTACAAGTGACATCAGGAACACTAGTGATATGGATATGATTGGTATAGACGGAGGAACGATGAACTTTCCAGCTGAAGCATATGTTGAGACGGAGGATGATGACGATGATGGTGAAGACGATGATGATGATGGGGAGGATGGGAATGATGTTCATGGATATGATGATAACATCAGTAATGGATCGCTTGGATCTGGGAACTCATTGCGAACCCCTGAGAAGTCTACTGCTCAGTTCATAAATCTGCAAAGATTGACAGCCATTAACAATAAAAAGGTGAGTCCGTGAGATAGTTAATGATCAAAGAGCTCCTAAATTTGGCAACTCTGGAGTGAATACATATTAAGATGTCTCTCCGGGGGGTGTGAAAACAGTAATGTCGTTTGGTTTATGCCTGATTTTAAAAAGTACTTTGAAGTAACATTGTAAATCATTTCATTTTAAAAGCATAAGATCACTCAAAGGCTCAGCCCAATGTTCAATTTATAATGATTTATATGATGAAGTTTACATTATATCAGCTTTTGATTTTGATACATGTATTTTCATTGATACAGGGACACAGAAACTTTACAAGATGTTGTTTTTGTGATAATCGGCACGGACTACTGGTACAAACAATAAATGTGCTTACACGCAATGCCATCTCATTTTCCTGCGTTGTTACAAGTAATTTCAAATCCCTATAACATCACAGGAAGTTCATGATAATTAACCCCTCACAAAAATAACACCTTCCACACTATTTTGAAGTTAATATCTGTGAAGTCAGGACATGATCCAATAAAGCAAGTACAGTTCAACCTCTTTTCATGACAACCTGGGGAGTGTTTCAAAAAGACTAAGATCGACTTTAAGTTGGACTTAACTATGGTAGGCCATTCGTGCCACTGGTTGCTCTCACCATGGGTCTCTCAATTATGATCTTTAGATAATATTTTTTCCTTCAATAATGAACTATCAAGAAAAAAGCTCAATTCTGAAGATGTGTGACCATGATTTGTACGTCCCTTGAGAGACCATTGTCAGTAAATGGTGAGAGCAAGCAGTGGCTGAACAGCCTGCCATAGTTAAGTCCAACTTAAAGTCAATCTTAGTCTTTTTGAAACACCCCCCTGTATATGAAGATGACCTGCATAAAAAAGACCCCCTGTTACTAGAGACAACATTTTTTCTTTCCTTTGGACCAATGTCTCACAACAGACCCGTAACTGCAGCATAAGCAACTCTACCTATGGAAGTAACCTGCTAAATACAAATTGCTTTCCCTGTCCCTCAAGCTTTTATTTATTTATTTTATTTGGTTTATTTTGATGATGATTCTTTTATAAAGTGCACTAATGTATTGACTTGGTTTGACTGTATACTATGACCACATTTTGAATGAATATTGCATATCCTATTTTTTCTGTAGGCCTATATGACATCGGTCATCCTTCGCCTTCGGCTCTGGCCCGCCAGCGCTGCTTTCTACCAGTGGTTGGAATACACCCGATTGAAGAAGATGCACAGAGAGTACAGAGCTCTGGTCGAAGGCAGGATGAATGATGCTGAGCTGCGAGATGCATTTCAACATTGGAGGCAGCACAGCAGTGATAGTCAGCTTGCTGCCAGCTATCTGGTAATTAATAGACCATGTCTTGGGTATCGCATGGTTCAAAAGACCCAAAATATTCACAGATCTTTTAAACATGGAGAGGTGCCACTGTTTGCATTTCCGAAAAATTGCAGGCCTGATAATCACCGGATTTAAATCAGTTTCCTGATTTTGGGGTTCTTTTTCCAGATTTCCCCCTTATTTTCCCTATTTTTCGCAATTTTTTCCCAAGTTTGTTACTCAAAGGGGGGGGGGGGGGGGGTGAATGTTGTTAGATACCATTTTGTTTTCCCGAAACCTTTCTTTTTTTTTTTTACTCAAGATGGGGGGGGGGGGGGGGGGGGGGGGGGGGGTTGAGGGAAAAGAAAAGAAGCTATTATTTCATTCGGCAAAACAAAGTATATACAAAAGAATGACATAGAAGAACAAATCCTACAAAACAAAGGATGAAAGTCATTTAAAAACCATTATCCTTATTCCCTTGCACATTAACAAGTCGCCAGGAATAATAATAATATAATAGTGTAGGGTATTTACCCATGGTTTGTAATACAGGTGTAGGAGTCTGTGTACTTAAACCATGTATATGTGTACCCAATTCTAGTTGAATGCTGTAAAAACGAACTTCAATTTCAATTAAAGATAAAGGTGAGTTCTGGTAATGCGATTGCATTGTGAAAGAAAAGGTTTGGAATGGATCAGAAAAAGTTGATCATGTAGCATGTAAGTATTGGTGTGCACTGCAAGGTTCTGGAGTCATCAAAATCATAATAAATTTGGCCCAGTCTTCGTAAAGTTACAAGCACTGTACACAGAAAGATGTATATGGGACTACACACACGTGCGCGACACTTGCGTTTATCTCTCACATCCCAATAGATAAAATAATTTACCAAGTATATCAATTAGTAGGCGGTTCCCCGGCAATATTTTTATCATCATGTACATGTATTAGTCAAAACATATTATTTCGCATGATTGGTAATAAGAGCTTCCATTTCATTTTTTGAAATTGGGGCGTTTCCAATACTGGTCTTTACCTTTAATACAGGTGTAGGAGTCTGTGTACGTAAACCATGTATATGTGTACCCAATTCTAGTTGAATGCTACAGCAATCTGTATGTTTAAATACACACAAAATTCACTTCCTCTTTTTCATGACGTATTTATTCCTAATTCCCATGTTCACTCATATCCAACGCGTAATTGTACTGATTTTCATTTACACAATCCTAAAACTTTGTTAGCGCTTAAGTCCATAAGATATCACGGGTCCAGACATTTGGAATGCACTCCCTAGACATATTAAACAGTGTACATCTCTCTATTCATTTAAAGCTACACTAAAAAAAACACATTATTTCACAATATAATGTATAAAGGTTTAAACAATAAAAAAATAAAAAATAATTTTTTTTTTTTTTTTTAAAGCGTTTTTTCTAAAACTTTAGAAACTACATTAAATTTTGGTCTGACGTTACATAGCAATACTGATGATTCAACATTTTGGTGCTTGAGGACACTTGCACTTGCACACACACGCACCACTTGCACCCTTGTTTTTGTTTAGTTTCTCTCTTATCTCTGTCATTAACGTATAATTAGTAGCCATATAAATATGAGATTCATATACTAATTCTATAATTATTTATATTGAATACAACTGTCTATATTCACATTTAATTGTAATATATATCATTTGAGTATCATGACCCCCTCTTCTTGTTAATTTGCCAATATTTCACATCTCATTTTTATTTTAGCTCGGTTGACCGTCTACTCAAGCTTTTGCTTATAACGGCGACCTTCTGCTTTCTTTCTTTATACACGCAATGGCCCAACGTATAAGTTTACTCTTACTCATGTATTATACATTTGTTTCTATATTTTGTATATTGTTTGCATACCTTATGTTTTATATAATTATCCATATTTGTTGTATAACTGATTTGTTTGATTGCAGAAAATAAAGTCTTTGAAATAAAAAAAAATGAAATAAAAACAAACTCAATTGCAATTAATCCTGTAGGAAATGTCAGTACAAAATTTCACTGATAGCGGTCCTCTTTGCAATGAAATTAATCATCCTATGTCTCTTATTTTGGTTTAGAATAAGAGGTTGATGGAGAGATATTTCCGCACTTGGGCCTGCATCAAGGAGAGAGAATCGAAAGGGGAGATACAGGCAGCAATAGCAATGCAGTTTGCATCAAGCACATTACTCAAATCAGCATGGAACAGGTGGAAAGAACATGTAAGTCCATATCTCTCAGGGGTTACATACCAAAAAAAAAAATCAGAGGGAGGGGGGGGGGGTCCTTCTTGACTTGGAGATTTACTGGTTGATTGATGAATTATTGTGGTGAGCCCCCTCCCCTCCCCTGTTGAAACTGTGACAATTATGGGAGTCCAGATAGAGAATTTGAGGGACCATGTATCCCAGGTCCCCTGTCTTACAAAGAGTCGATATCAATCGCAACTCATTTGCAATTGATATCAATCGCAACTCTACATAAGAGATAGGAGACTGCAAACTTGGGATTGATTGGAGGACTGGTTGGATTGGATTGGAAGACGGGCCCCAGGTGCCTATAGATTACCCAAGTGCTAACGTCACATCCGATTGTCGTTCCAAACAACGACGCCTGCATATGAGGTTCACTGTGAAATCAATCAAACAACAAGCTGGAGCAGGGGTTTGGGTTGGTGTGATTCCACACCACTGTTTCGCGCAAAATTGATTGGAACCAGCAACCTTGACAACTTTGCAAGTATGAAGTCACACTTTGGTACTCTATTTAGTGTTGAGCCCTGACTTATTGTCTTTTCATATCTGTGTTTTATGTTTTATCTCGATTTATAGTTCCAACAGACTGTATCCGATTGGTCCTCAGCCCTCCTGGAGTAACCACTTTAACCAATCAGAACTCATCTCTCAAAGATGTGGCACCTTTTAAGCCAAGATCCATTCCTTCGGACATATTTACCCTCTGTGTTGCATCTTCATTTCAATTCACAGTTCCTACAGAGCTTGTATCCCATTGGTCCTCGGCCCTCCTGGAGTGCCCATTTCAGCCAATCAGAACTCATGTCTCATAGGTGTGCCTCCTTTCAAGCGCAGACCCAGGGCAGGAATGTGAAAGAGTGTCTGATGTTCTGGAGATTAAGATGGAGACAGCTGGAAGAGGCCGATGGCTACAGGTCAAAGGTCATACTCAAGAGGTAAACACTCCTTTTTATTTGTACTGCCTTATTATGTTCATATGAAATTCAAAGAGAAGATCCTCTGGTTACGATTATCGCTCTATGTACAATTGTACATGTATGTCAGTGTGGAAAAACATAGGAGAAGTAATGCCTTTTTGAAAGAGATTGCTCTTCAAATGCCCTCATATTCGAAATATGACCTGAAACAACTGAGTTGAATCTGGTCTCGCAGCATCAAATGTGGTGATTTGGAATAATCAATACAGTTTGGCAAGTTGAAAGCATGCATTGACATAATCGTTTCCCATCTTTTCATTTATTTTTGTATTGTCAAAGAAATACTAGAGTTATATGTATTGCTTTCTGTGTTTTTTGATATATGCAGATGCTTGCAAGCCTGGCGGAGCTGGAGTAGAGAGAAAAGATGGAGGGAGGATGCTGCTAGGATCATTTTAGAAGCAAGACGGAAGAAAATGGTGAGAGTTGTATGATTTGTTTTGTCATATGTAGATTCTATTATAAGCATTATGCAATTATTTCGCTCCACATGCTTTTATAGAGAAAATAATTATCTGAAGAGAAGGTCGAGTTCTGAGGGTTGAAAAATAATTTGTAAGGTTTTTCACTTTTGTATGTTGTAGCATGGGGGCCGGAATAATATTACAGAAAAAAGGTCTCCTGAAAAGGATGGTACTTCATATGTCCTGATATTTAAAATATGACTAGAAATACCTGAAATGTTTGGACCAAACTTTCTTGCTACATGTTTGTGTAGTCCCATATGAGCTTTTCTTTGTGTGGTGCCTGAGACTTTCAGCAAGACTGCGTTAATTTCTTATCAGTTTGAGGATCCCAAAATCTCACAGTATACACCAGCTCTTATTAATAATAGACCTTTCCCAATTGCTAAATCGAGTTACAAATGATGCATGCGCATGTGTTCATTATACAATCTATCCGCACTTGAGTTGAGGCAGTGTGTATCTATCACACTCAGCCTAACGGCTTCATGCGATAGATACCCACAGCATCTACGAGGGCGGATAGATCATATAATGAACGAATGAAAACATGCATCATTTGTTTTATACAACGAAACTCCTAGATCCTTGTTATTTGATGTAAAAAGAATTCATTCAAGATTGATTCGGCTGACAAATAAATAAATAAGTTTAATAAGGCTTAATTTGGTGCGCAAACATAGATATGGCAAGCGCACTTACCGCTATACCCATTTACGCATAGTGCTACGCAAAAATATGCCCATGCACACACAGTACTAAGCACTCTAACCTCTACGCGCAACAGTACTGGAAACTATTGCACACTTTTTCATGAAAAAACGTGCAATATAATCTCAGTAAATGAATCACACGTGACCGCGCATGACCAATCATTTGATTAGGATATGGAAGTGAGTTGTATAAATTCTTCTATGATGTAATCGCATGTCTGGAACCCACTTTTATCTTTGAGGATCATTTAATTGCAGGCTTTCAGACGCTGGAGGATGCAGCTTGCTAAGCAGGACCTGGTCCATACCCACTACCACGGAGCAGCTAACAATCATCTCAGCCTCATCATCCAGGTATGGCATGGGTGGGCGGAGACAACCAAGAGACTCCGCCTCACTCATCAGGTCGTGACGCAACGATGCCGTGCTGGCCTCCTGAATGGGGCCTGGTTGTCATGGAAACAGGAGGCAGAGAAAACCAGGCGAGCTAAGGCATTCCAGGACGGGAAGATTCTTCATAGGTTCGTGCACAAACTGTGAAGTCCAATCTTTTTGAGAATGAAGCCAATGTAACCAAAGTTCTAGCTCTTGCTAATTCTTTGACCAATTTTTTTGCCAATTCTATCCCACAAAAAATATTGACGTGCTTGACTCTCTTTGTTCCCAAACATAAAATCTAAAGTTAAATTTATTTGTTATTCTTAAAGTACACAATAATTCAATGCTGATAAACATGCCTGTAATAGAATTCAAATGCACATGTAAACTATGAGCAAATGAAATGGTACTCTTATATTTTTCCCTTTCCCAACAATTCCTTCTCTTTCTTTCTCATCTCTCTGTCATCTTCCCCATCTTGTCCCTTTTCATTTCTCCTTCTCTCTCTTTACTTTATAACTGGCAATTTGTTTACATTTATTATTATAAACTTCCTGTTAATTTTGTAATTATATTGGATTCTTTTATATAATGTTAAACATTGCAACTATGTTATCTTTGTATATATCAGTAATTGGAATGTTTTTACAAGGAATTTTCTTTCAATAATCAAAAATGCCAAAAACATGAATATGTAAATTGTCATGGCTGACATAGCAAGTACATTTGGTTCTACATCACATAACAATATTCAATTCATCCATAGCCCATATCACATTATAACGTCCCTATGCGTTTCCAAAGAGTTTTGAAATCATTACCCTAGCTTTAGCTCCGGCATCCGTTATCAGCACACAGAGCATTTCATCTGGATGGGTCGTACAATTTGGTGCAAACGATCTTTATGTGCTCATGTGTAGATTGTGGCTTAAATATTGCTATACCTGTACTTCACTTTTTCAGGACTTACAGTGGATGGAAATCAGTAATCCATGGTGTGAAGCGGCATAGACTGAGCATGGATTCCATCCAGTCAAGGAAGAAACATGCAACACTATCTTCTTGCTTCAAACTCTGGCAGATGGAATACAAGGCCAGGAGGTTTGCTGTAATGCAGGAGCACAGACAGGCTAGGAGTACACTGACCAAGGTCCTTACTGCGTGGAAGATGTTTGTTGCAGAAAGGCGTCGTGAGAGACAAGAACAGAATGAAGTCCTACAAGAGGTATTTTCCTATTGAAACTTTGTCGTAAAGGAAATTACGCATAAAGACCACCTGCATAAAAAGACCATACTTCTTGTCCACCTTGAATGCACAACTTTAACTTGATTGTTATTTTCATTTCTGTGTTTTTAAGAAGTTGCTATTTTCATAAATAATCAAGTTTTCATGAGTTTTCATGCTGCATGCTAAAGTTGTATGATCCATTTCAAATACCCAACACCATTTTGCCACCAGGCTTTTTCGATTTGGCGAAATCAGTACCTTGAAACGAAACGTAGAAAGCAAGTGACCCTGTCTGCTGCCACCCACTGGCGACATTTAGTTAGGAGATCAAGGGAGCTGACGGAGACCATGAATTTGTTCCGGAGCTCATTGGAGGAAAGAAAGCTAAAACAAACATTCATCTGGTGGCAGAGGTCATGGATAAGTCATCAGCTTACTCATCGTTACTATGGCAACACACTCCTCAACAGGCTAGTATTAATTATGTAGTTATGTGTGCCAATTATGAAAACTATGTTATCTTTTATGTTATGGATAAAGATGTTGATTGTCGTAACAAATTAAGCTGGTGCTAAAAAAATTCTTCTTGTTGGTGCTTGCATAGATGTCTCTTAACTATACGCCTACGCAGCCAGCTTTGCACAGGCACTCGTCAATGACTTGTTGTACTGTTGATTTTTTATAACTGGGGGGTGTTTCACAAAGATCCTAAGTTGAACTTATCTCTAAGTTTGACTTCACAATTATGGAAAGCCATTAGCATCATTGAAAATATTTTGTAAATATTATTTTAAAAGGCATAAAATGTTGATTTAAATCTTTCATATTTTCTAGAATCAAGGAGATTTTCATGTTCTTGATGTGAGATTTATGAAAATTCTGAAATCCTTTTTTTTTGCTTTTGAATATATTTTATTTTAAGGCTACAAATGGCTCTCTATAATGTTTAAGTCCAATTAGAGTTAAGTTTAACTTAAAATCTTTGTGAAACGACCCCCAGGAAATATCTGTTTACTAACTTTAACACAAAATTTAAACACCAAGCATTTATAACCTGAGTTTGGATTAAATTTTGATGAAAATATACACAAGGAAAATTCTTTCCAATTGTTGCCCTGAATCGTCTGAATTCTCTAGTCAGAGAATGGCCTGTGAGTTTTACTGAAAACTGTGGTGAAGTGAGTGCCTCTCTCAATTTTCACTTTAGAGGCCAAGTCCACTCCAAAAATAATTTGCTTTTAATAGAGAGAAACAGAGCAAAGAAAATTTGAGTAAAATAGGATAACTAATAAGGAAGTTATGAATTTTTGTTTAAAGTATTAAAAACTATGGAACTTAGAAAATCACTACACAAATTGTAAATTTGGTTATCGGTTTGTGACGTCAGTGCCTCACTATTTATCAATTGCTTTATATATTTTTACCCCAAAAAACTTGATTTCCCCATGCCTTTGCCCAGGTTATATGATTTGTATTATATTGCGTGCATGACATTTCACAAAATCTTTTATGAACTTTGAAGAATTGATACTATTTTCTGAATATTGTCTATTCATAATCATTGATTTTTATATACTGTACACCCTGTAAATAGTTTATCAAAATTCACATTTTTCATGATTTACATGTAACTGAAATAAAATAACTGTATATTAGTGCATCCACACAAAAACATATTACTATCAATATATCTTGGATGCTGGTGTGAGGAAATAAGATTTTTAGGGGGAAAATTCAAAATTTACATTATCAATGTAAAGAAAACAATTGCTGGATAGTTAGGCAATGACGTCACAGACTCATGATTGAGTTGCCAATTTGTCTTGTGATTTTCAAAGTCTTTCATGTCATTAAAAATTCATAACTTTCCTATTAGTTATCCAATTTTGCAATAACTTTTTTTGATTCGTTTGTCTGAATTGTCAATTTTTGGAGTGGTCTTACCCTTTAAAGTTAAAGGTCAAAGGTCATTGGGTCATACAACTGTTAAAAACTGCCAGAAAATAGATCGTTATCACAATAACTTGAAAAATAATAAGGCAATCAAGCTTTGATAAAGTATGTATGAACATGCAAGGATGAATTGATTAGATTTTCTGTGGAGAAGGTCAAAGGTCACAGGGTCATGAAAGTGTTAACAATTTTTTTTCTTCTACCTTTCCTCTTTTTTTTTTACAGATCCATGCAGGGATTGAAAGAGCTGCTCCAGAGGTCTAGAAGACACAGTGTCTTGGAACAGCATTTTGTATCTCAGAGGAGGAAAGCTTTGGTAATAACTATTCCAGTTCACAATTTTCTTAAGGTCTATTAAATAAATCACCTTTTTATCCTCAACTTGGCACCAATTATTCTTATTTTCCACAGAATGGAGGGAGAAAGGCATTCACTCTGTGTAAATTATTATGATCTAACGCCATTCGGACTCCAAATGGACAATATTTACTGGGGATAATGCAAATCAGTCTTCTGTCATATGAATATGTTTTTGAATAATTTAATCTGTCACTAAATTAAAATAAAATGTATAATATGATATAATTGTTTTATCAGTGTAATTTAGGGACATATTAAATTATTCAAAAAATACATTCATATGGACGCTTGGCATTCCATACTTAGTCGGTGGATTAAACCATGGACTAAAGTTAGTCCGCTATCGAGAATACCACCCTAATGTTTATTTAGAATTGGTTTTAGTATCAAGCCATATATGCACCTAGCTCCAACTTAATTGCAATAATTGTACTGATAATATTCTTTCCTCAATTCAGTTGGAAGTGTACTTCAGGAAGTGGAAGGATAGGCAAAGTCACATGACAGACCTTCATGTCACAGCCGCAAAGGTCAAAGTTGAATTGGCAGACAAGTCAGTCGGTGTCGCATTTCTCATGTGGCGTCTACGCTATCGAGAGAGACAGACTGAGCATAGCTTCAAGCATAAGCTCATGTTGAAGGTATGGACAATGTGTGAACATCAAAGTTGTGTGGAAGTACACGTAGGAGGTACCGTTGAAGCTTAAAGGGCAAGTCCACTCAAAAAAAAAAAATTACTTTCAATAGAAGCAGAAAAATCAGACAAACTATTAAAAAAAAGTTTGAGCAAAATCAGATAACTAATAAGAAAGTTATGAATTTAAAAAAAAAAATAAAAAAAAAATACATATTACTATCAATCTAACTTGTATGCTGGTGTGAAAAAATAAGATTCTTAGGGGGGAAATAGGAAATTTATATTATGAATATATAGAAAATAATTAGTGGATAGTGACGACATGACGTCATAGACTGATGAGTGAGTTCCCAATTTGTCTTGTGATTTTCATCCACATAGTTTTACATACTTTTTCAAAAATTCATAACTCTCTTATTAGTTATTCGATTTTTGTTAAAACTTTTGGTTTGTCCAATTTTTCTGCTTCTATTGAAAGTAAGTTATTTTTGGAGTGGACTTGTCCTTTAAGGGAACCCTACCCCAAAGTATAGGTGTAGACATTCTGGAAAAAAAGATGTATTCCTTAAAAAAATGTACAAGAGATTTATAAATTAAGATATTCTTGGCATGACTGTGATGCCTTTTAGCATGACATGGGCACAGCCATTTTCTTGCAAATGCAATTTACCAGGTGAAGCTGTACATGTATCACGCACCAAGCTTTAGTTGGAAAGACTTTTAAAATCAATAACAAAATCTTCAATTTTCAATGAGAAAAACTCATCGCTGAGAAGGTGAAAAATGTATAACAGGGGAACAGTTGTAACTAATTCATTTAAAGATACTAAAATAAAGCAGTTGACAAATCTATTTCATTTATGAGAAACATTCACCCCAGAATAGCACCAACTTATGTATGCAATATGCGTTCTGGCAATTGTAGTACAAAGGACAATAGCGGGTGAATGAAATGCTTCATCACCACACACACCAGGAAGGAAACATCCATAAATTTGAATACAATTACTTGATAAAACGATTTCAAATAGTATGTCGCGTTATAAAGAAAATGGCGATGCCCATGTCATGCTGAGAAGCTGTACATTATTCTTGCTTTAGGCCTCTCCCAAACAATTTGGTGGGGAGTCTTGTAGATTAATGGGCAAGAATATGATAAATCTCTCAGAATAAGTAAAGTTATTTCTTGGGGTGAGGTTTCCTTCAAATAAAAAAATAAAGAACTAATAATTGGGTCTTATTCAACCAGGGTAGCCGCATCAGTATGAATACTGCTCTAGTCTTCATGCAGGCCTTGTCATTTTTATTACCCCAGGGGGGTGTTTCACAAAGATCCTGAGTTGAACTTATCTCTAAGTTGGACTTAACAATTATGGAAAGCCGTTAGCATATTTCAAAATAGTTGGTAAAAGTTATTTTAATAAAAGGCATAAAATGTGGATTCAAATCATTCATATTTTTCTATTATCAATGAGATTTCGTGTTCTCTCTCTCTCTCGCTCTTTTCTATCACAGGCCTGGCAAACATGGAGAGGATCACAAGCCAATTATCAGAAAGCTGAAAGCATGAGAGGAGAAAGAGAGAAGTCCCTACTGAGGCAGTCTTTCAATGCCCTACGGAACTGGGCAAGAGGTTGGCATATCGGCTTTGTCCTTGTCTTCTCTTTCTTTGCTTGTTTGTATATATCTCTCTCTCTCTCTTTCTCTCTCTATCTCTCTGTCTTACTTTGTCTCTTTGTCTTTCCATGTCTGACTCGGCCTATATATACCCATTGTTGCTATTGTTTTTTAATGTATCTGTATGTGTATGTATCTACAGTATTTCTTTCCTCTTCAAATTATCTTAGCCCTAAACCTATATCTTAGATGAAATCAAAATTGAGGTAAATGTCACAGGAACAAATCTTGGTTCACCCATCTAAACGCCAAGCTGCCTCAGAGTAAATTAAGGCCTGATTCATAGATTATACATCTGAACTAAATCCAGACGGACTCTAGACGTGGCCATTCGGGGTAATTTAATCTGTGTGTGTGTGTGTGTGTAATTCGGTTTTTACAGACGTGTATCAATCAGATATGACTATTTATGTCTGCGGACCGACCTTGAACGTCACCATCCGAAAGACGTGACTCGGTTTCGAACCTTCGTCCTCGGCTGAATCAGTTTGTAACTTCCATTGTTAGCTGGATTACAGGTGCATGCCACAACGCCCAGTCTTTTTGTTTGGTCTGTAGTCTAGGTTTCATGTTGGTCTCATCAGTGTGACTGGCATGTAACAGTCCAGGAGAGTGTTTCACAAAGAATAAGATTGATTTTAAGTTGGACTTAACAATGGCAGGCTGTTCATGCCACTGTTTGCTTTCACCATTCACTGGCATTTGTCTCTCAAGAGACGTACAAAACGTGGTCACCAATCTACAGAATTGACCTTTTTTGATAGTTCATTATTGAAGGAAAAAATATTATCTAAAAGATCATAATTGAGAGACCAATGGTGAGAGCAACCAGTGGCATGAGCGGCCTGCCATAGTCAAGTCCAACTTAAAGTCGATCTTGGTCTTTGTTAACCACCCCCCTGCATCTGTCCCCATTTTTACGTTGTTAGATCACTCGGGAAGGAGAATCGTTCTGCAATGTGTACAGACCAGGAAGAACCATTTCACCCTCAAGATGACATTTGCAGTATGGCGAGACGAGAGCCGATTGAGACAGCTGGCCAAAGATCATCATAACATGTGCATCCAGAGGAGGTATGGCACATTTTCTAAAAGTCTGGAGGGGGGGGGGGGGGGTGTTTCACAAAGATTTGAAGTCAAACTTAACTCTAAGTTGGACTTAAAAATTAGGGACAGCCATTGGAGCCTTAAAATGAAATATATTCAAAAGCAGAAATTCAAGTATTTTAGACTTTTTATAAATTCCACATCCAGAACATGAAATCTCCTTGATGATAGAAAATATGAATGATTCGAATAAACAATTAATGCCTTTCAAAATAACTTTTACAAAATATTTTCAAGGATGCTAATGACTTTCCATAATTGTTAAAGGAAACCAAAACCTTCATACTAAGTTACTTTTATTGTAAAGTTTAAAAGATTTGAATAAAATCAGTGAAAATTTGAACAAAATCGGGCAAGGAATAAGAAAGTTAGAGCATTTTTAAATGACTAGTCACTAGAGGGCGGTATTCAATTTGATGACATCATCTGTGAACAACTCTCCATGCCTTTTGTACATAAAATTTCACAATTTTTTTGTTTTCTTCGTATTTATTTGTGTTCTTGATCCGACTTCATAATATGTGAAGTAGAATATCATTTTGCATTCTATATCTTGCTTTCAGGGGAGTACATTATCTCAATCACAAGAAAGAAGGAAAAACATGAAATTTGATGTACAAAAGGCATGGAGAGTTGTCCACAGATGATGTCATCAAATTGAATACCGCCCTCTAGTGACTAGTCATTTCAAAAAGCTCTTACTTCCTTATTCCTTTCCCGATTTTGTTCAAATTTTCACTGATATTTTTCAAATATCTTAAACTTTACAATAAAAGTAACTTAGTATAAAGGTTTTGGTTTCCTTTAAGTCCAACTTAGAGATAAGTTCAACTTAGGATCTCTGTGAAACACCCCCTATATGAATCAGCTTTTCCTCTCATTGGCTTCACATTAGTTATTGGTATTTTCCCCACGTAGGTTTGAACAGTTTGAATTAAAATTTCATTGAAAAGTGCAGATTGTACAAATAGTAGTGATTTAACTTTGCGTTGCCAATTTAGAGACGGCCCTATGTATTGAAACAGAAAGGTCACTTAAATTTTCCAGCAATATTTTTTTCTCTCTCTCTCTATCTTTCTGCTCATGTAAAATTTGTAATTGAGAGCATTCTAGATCAAAAGATTAAAATGGAAAAAGTCAGTGTGGAGCCCTGCACATATTCATTGGCTGCTATCGACTCAAGCATTCTTGCTTATGATAGTTGGCCTCTGCATTTTTCTTGGCTTTCAATTATATATATATATATATATATACATATATATATATATATATATGTATATGTGCATTTTTATGTGTGTGTAGTTAAGTTGTCACTCTTTATGTAAATCAATTATATTATATACTATTATTGTTATATGAATGTTTTATATTTGATTTTATCAATAAATACAGAAACATCTGCTTTAAAAAAATGTTTATTTGAAACCTCATTTTTGTTTGTTGTTGCTTCTTCTATGTGCTTTATGCAGGGTTCTAATCGCTTGGAGGAGTTTCAGTCAGAAACAGAAGGTCTTAAATGCTCTCCGCCAGAAGGTCGCATGTCGAGTGAGTGAGAGAAGGCAACATGAAGCTTTCAGAGTGTGGAGAGGCGCCTACCTTGCAACTCGGGAAGCAGAAGCTAAGAGGAAAGAGGAAGCAGCACTTCTTACTAGGTATGTGTGGATTATTACTTCATATCGTCCTATTCATATTCAAACTCATGTTTACTTTTGTGTTTGTGTTCAAGGCGCTATACAAATGTTCATTATTATTATTATTATATGTGTGTTTGTTTTCTTTTTTTTGTTGTGTTCATGTATGTCTGTTTGTGTTCATATGTGTGTTTGTGTTCATATGCGCGTGTGTGTTTGTGTTGGTGGGTGTGTGTGTGTGTGTTTTTGTGTTCATGTTCATATTCATTGCCATAATCATAGTCTTATTCACATCTTAATTCATATTTATAATTCATATACACATTCGCATTCAAATTCACATTCATATTCAAAGTTCTTGGTCATGCACAAAATATTGTACATCTAGCATAAAGGTCATTTTCTGGCTTTTTCCAGTAGATGAGGGGGGGGGGGTTGTGTGTCTGGACACTTAAACAAAAGTTCTCTCTGTCCATCTCTCTCCAGCTCCAAAATAATGTTTGATTTGATGTTCTTGCAGGTGCTTTAGTGACTGGCGTAATGAGGTACACGAGGTCCAGGCTCAGCGACTGAGGGAGAGGAGGAGGAGGATGAGATGGGCGGTGGCAAGATGGAGGAAGAGCATGGAAAGAAAGAAATTGATAAGACAGTATGAGAGCGATCTAGAGGAGCTAGCAGTGCTTCACTGGGACCATGGTGTGAGGTAAGCAGGTTTAAGTCATTGGAGATGGGTTGTTGATGATGGTAGTGGTAGTGATGGTGATGGTGATGAAGATGGTGGTGGTGGTGGTGGTGATGATGATGATGGTAGTGGTAGTGGTAGTGGTGGTGGTGAGGATGGTGGCATGGTGATGATGATGATGGTAGTGGTGGTGATGGTGATGGTGACGAAGATGGTGGTGGTGGTGGTGGTGATGATGATGATAGTAGTGGTAGTGATGGTGAGGATGATGGCGATGAGGGTGGTGGTGGTGGTGGTGATGGTGGGAATGGTGGTGGTGGTGATGGTGAGGATGATGGTGATAGTGATACTGATATGAATGGTTATGGTGATGTTGATGATGATGTAAAGTAAGAGGAGGAGGAGGAGGATAATGATGGTGATAATGGTAATGATGATGATGAGGATGGTGGTGATGATGGTGGAGATGGTGCAGATGGCAATCGGTGTGGTGGTGGTAGCAGTAAGGAGGATGATAAACCTGAATGAAATTAGATGTGGTGATGAAAATACTGTGAAGTCAAATGAAAGCACAAAGACATTTTCTTCACAAATACTTTTACCTTTGTTCCCATTGTGATACCTACAGACGAGGATATTTCAACAAATGGAGGTCAACTCTTCAAGCAGTCAGACATCAAAGAAGACAGTGCTTTCTGGAACAGAAATATGGCCTCCTGTGGAAGCAGCATGTCACTCAGATGCTGATGGCCCGAGCCATGGTGAGCCCTCTGCAGCCCCATTCACATTTGCCTAGGGAAACCGCTTCGATAAGCAAAATAAGCATAATGTGTTCACATTTCTCAATCTTATTATGTGTAGCACGCTCATTGCATGTAGCTTTTACATTTTTCCATCCCCACTTGCACTTCGCGTACATTGTACATGTTAAAAAATAAACAAGCAAGAAGTGCACTTGCCAGAGGACTCTAGCGCCATGCCAGTGTGTGAACCCATGACCTTTGCATCGCCAGTCAAGTATTTTTTTGGATTTCTGCAAGAAGTCTGTAACTGCCATTGACACGACGTATCTCTTACGCTTTCATGCATGCAGCAGACGGTTTAGACCACTCGACTTAAAGAGAAGGTTGAGTTCTGGTCAAGCGATTGCATTGTGAAAGAAATGTTGTGGAATCGATCAGAAAAGATTGATCATCTAGCATATAAGTATTTATGTGTATTGCAAGGTTCTGAAATCATCAAAATGATAAGAAATTTGGCCCAGTCTTGGTATAGTTACAAGCACTGTATACAGAAAGATGTATATGGGACTACACGAACACGTGGCGAAAAAATTCGTCCCGACTTTTATGATATAACATGCCATATTTAGAATATTAAGGCATTTGAAGAGCTATGCTTTTCAGGGAACATTTTTTATCTGATGTTCTTCCACACTTGCATAATACAATGATAACGCTCACAAATTATTTTTCACCACTTCCCAGAACTCAACCTTCTCTTCAACACCTCATGTCGATGGCGTGGCAAGCAAACTGCAATCATTGTGGAATGCTACATTTCTTATCATTCTGTTCTTTCTTTCTTCTTTCTTTTCTTTTTTGTTACAGGCAAGGTACTTGAGGCTTGAGAGATGTTGGAAAACTTGGAGGAAACACTTCATAATGGATCGTGTCTCAAGAGAGATGTTGGAACAGGATCAACGTATGCTTCTCACCAAGGTTGGTATGAAATCGTGTAGTCACCTATGAAGGCCTGCTCACATATGTCTCAGTAAATCACGGCAGTTTACAGGGATCCCAGTTTTCAGGCCCTGGCGAGTTATTTTCAGACCATATTTTAGGCTTTTTTGTGTACAAAATAGCCCATTCTCTGTGATTTTCAGGCCCTCTGATCAATTCTAACTGGCATCCCTGAGTTTACCCAGGAAGGTTTGTTCAGTTTACTGCGCTTCATTTTGTGTACCTTCTTGTGCGTAGCTACTATTTTCATCCCCAATTGCCATTCATTTAGCACACAGAAAAATGCTGTGGGAAGGCGTGGCAGTTTACCCCGACGTATGCAAACGAGCCTTCAGACAAGATTTTTATATAATTAGGTCGAGTTCTAGTAAAAAAAAGAAAACCAATTTGTGAGCTCTCTCTCTCTCTCTTGATGTTAACTTTAAAAGATTATCATAGTGGAAATGTCCCCATGTTAGAAATATTTTGAAACTTTGAGCACCAAATTTAGATGCACGTGTGTCTGTGATCTCAAGTACCCAAGTCTGTGTGCCATGCTGTTCTTTGTAATTTATAAGCAAGATTCAGCCAATTTATAAGTGTAATGATTACAAAACCTAGTAATTCTAGATTTGGCTTCAGTTGTGTACTACTTTATCCACCATTCCAAAAAACTATTATACTGTTTCTTTTAAAATGCAGTCACATAACCTTACTCAAATGTTACTTTTATACTAAGATACTTATCATATTTATTTTGGATAAAATAAAAAACAGGTTAAGATTACTATTGGTATTAGTGAGTCATAAATCCGATTCTGTTACTTAAACTTATATTTCATGTAAATACTGGTATGTGTAGATGCTGGTTAAATACAAGTCGCTTTGGTACTGAAGATAGCACAAAACAAAATGAAGCAAAACTTATACTAATGTTAAAGACTATATGCCTTATTATTTTGCTAGAAAATAGTAACATAGATGAGCATTGACTAAAGTAAGATATCAAAAGAAAATCAAGCAAGTAGTTTTGACTCTGTGAATTACAAATGATCTCATACATGTTTGTGCTGTTGTATAATTGTGCTTTTCAGTGATTTAAATTTCCAGGAATTGTTTTTCTTTATTTTCTTCACTATGATTTTGCTGGTCCAAACACCCATTATTTACTGCACGATAATTCATTCAGTATTGAATAATAGCAATGAATACTGACATACTAAAGCTTTTTTGTCTTGCACTAATCAGATTATCTCGCAAGAATGAACAGAAAGCCAAAATCAGACAAAACAAAATTTGCTTAAAGCTAATTTCATCGTCAGTACTCAAGTCTAGGTTAACGGTGAGTAGGTCCTTCATCCCTTTTATCCCTCTGTTTTTTAACCCTTGCAGGTTTTCCACCGATGGCGCCAACTTGCTACTCTACAGAGAATGGAACTAGGCTCTAAAGAATGACTGCTCTTGGTCCTCGAACTCATAATGGACATCTCAATATGTTGATGGAGTTTCGTGCAGTGGAAAATTGTTATGAAACACTCTTGGGTCGTAATCTAAAAATGATGTTATGTAAGGAAAAATGATGTTTTGAAAAGTGATGGAAAATCACTGAAATTGATCGTGGGTGCGGGCTGTTTGTGGCTATGGTAGCCTTCCAATTTGAACTGACAATTCGTACGCTGCATGGATCCCGCACCCATACCAAAAATGGTTCTTATCTGGTCATGGAAAAGGGAAAAAAAATACTAGGTCATGAAAAGTCATTGAATTTGGTTCTCAAATTTATGTGGTAACCCTGAATAAGGTATTACTATTCCAACGCTGCTTAGATTCTGCATCCATACCAAAATGGTACTTATCAGGTCATGGAATGACATTGAACTTGGTTCTAAATTACTGCCCTATTAGTAACTCTGCTGATTCGAGCTCTTCATATTCTTTTGTATTTCAAACATGATACAATGAGATACCTGATAAAGCAAGGTAATTTCTATAGCCCCAATTTTCTTTTTATAACGAGTTTACACTGTACTTTCCAGTACTTAAAGTTGTTTTGATTAACATTAGAAAACAAACACAAGCACGAACAAAACTATGTACAAAGCTTAGTCTTCCAACATGTAAATTGCAATGATATAAAGATAGATGAAATATAATTTAAGTAAAGAAATGCACATGAATATAAGCCTGTAAAGTTGAACAAATTACACAGGAGAAAGTTGAACGAATCGTATATCACTTTGTATGTGCAATAAATATCTTTATTATGTCTGAAGCATTTATTCTGTATTGTGTTGTATTATTTATGAATAATATCATTCCTATTTTTATCTCCAGGTATGTTATGTAATAGCAGACTTGATGTGTAATTTACATTGTGTTTATTTGTGTTATAGATTATATTTTTGAGAACATGTAAATGTTATTAGAAAGCTTAATGTAGTCGAGTTTTAATGATAGTGTCGTCTATATAAAAAAAAAATCCTCAAAAGGCTCATTCACATATAATGCGGTAAACAGCAGTAAAACAACTTGTTGTGTAGACCAGTTGGTGTACACGCTCGCATAGAATAGGCCGTGCATGAAACCGAAGTTGGAGTTGGGTTGCGTACGTGGCGTGTTATGTTATCCTTTCTTCACACTGGATTAAAGTGTTATGAGGTTGAATTTATACAATCAAGCTACATAGGAATTTTTTGTTGTTGAGGTGATTGGCACAATGCCATGCACTTAATTTGCATCAGCGGTTTACTGTGTATTAAGCGCTTTATAAATGTAATTTATTATTATTATTATTATTACTGTGACATATGAGAATGAGGCTAAAATAGTAGCAATTTAGTTCAAATTTTATAGTCTTTTGGGATATTTTGGAGTAATCAAATAACTTTTATCATTTACAATCAAGAATTTGAACAATCAAGAAAAAAAAGGCGGTAGAATTTTCAATGAAACATGTGTCCATGTACAGTTTTGCTTCCAATGACTTTCTTCTTGCCAAATTGACTACTTACAAAAAGAGAAGAGGAGAGAGAGAGAGAGAGAAAGGCTTTTTTATTAGTGGTCCAATTTATTTATTTATTTAAAACTTCACAAGCTGTTGATCTTATTTTTCTGCTTTCATACACATGAACTTATTACAAGGGTTGGATTGCCCTTTAGTACAGTTAGATGTGTTCAACAACATATTGGACTAAGCATTGTGGATGATAAGAGCTAGTAACAACAATAAATCTTTGCCATCGGGAAGTTTCTTGCTTTGCAAATGGAAGCCCTTAAATATTTTAATTCACAAGTACACAGTATGCAGACTTTGCTCATATGTTTTTTTTTGTAATTTGTGAGTCTTCTGTAATTACACAATTATCACTGCTGTTTTATTCTCTGCATGTATGTCTATTTCTATTTGTGTTTACCTATTTTAATTTCTGAAATGGTTATCCAGGGTGTATGTATTTTAGGTTATGCAGTGCTATCTTATGTAGGCTTAAATGTATGTATACATCGGGCTATATTATGTATTTATATTCCACATACTAAGAAATTTGCTTTATGATTGGTCAAAAGTAAATCATGTGATGAAAGATAGTTCGCCCATCATTGATGGGAGAAAAATGTTTGTTACACTGTGTAGATAGTAGTACAATCTACACAGTGCAACATACTTTCTTGTATACGTGAATACACGTACGGACATACGTATTGCTACATGCACTATACGTATCGCACACAGTTTGCTAGCTATTAACTGATGATTTGTTGCTCTAAAATGACGGAAGAAGTGAAATGTTTCCGATAAGGAATATATACCAAATAATCACCTCTTGGTTTCAGGCAATGGCAAACTATCAAATCGGGTAATTATCAGGCCTGATATATATATAATTTTTTTGAAATTTAGTTTTGTGTTTGTGTAGTTGTACATATCGATTTTAAAAGACAGTTTTGTACCAATGAAAGTTGTGTACATGGTTTACATGTAGACTCCTCTGTTGGAGTACTTTTTTTTTCCTTCTTCATTTGTATTATCACATGCTACTAAATACTAATTTTAACTTGTCATCATCATCAATACTATCACCATTATCATCAGCATCATCACTAGCATCACGATCCTCGGCAGCAGCATTATTGTATCCTCATTGTTATCATTATCATCTTCATATTTATTACCATTATCATGTTCTCGATCTTCATCATCATCATCATCAAAATAATGATCTTTATCCTCCTCCTCCTACTCCTTATCATCATCACCACTATCAATATCTGTATCATTAGCATCATCATCAACATCATCATCACTTGTATCATCATCCTCCTACTCATTATCATCATCATCACTATCAATATCTGTATAATTAGCATCATCATCAAAATAATGATCTTTATCCTCCTCCTCCTACTCATTATCATCATCACCACTATCAATATCTGTATCACTAGCATCGTCATCAACATCATCATCACTATCAATATCTGTATCATTAGCATCGTCATCAAAATAATGATCTTTATCCTCCTCCTCCTACTCCTTATCATCATCACCACTATCAATATCTGTATCATTAGCATCATCATCAACATCATCATCACTTGTATCATCATCCTCCTACTCATTATCATCATCATCACTATCAATATCTGTATCATTAGCATCGTCATCAAAATAATGATCTTTATCCTCCTCCTCCTACTCCTTATCATCATCACCACTATCAATATCTGTATCACTAGCATCGTCATCAACATCATCATCACTTGTATCATCATCCTCCTTATCATACTCATCATCATATTTATCATACTCATCATCATATTTATTCTTTCCATCCTCATAACCATTATCATTAGCATCAATAGCATAGAATCAAAACAATCATCATCGGCCACCACCACCACTAATAATATCCCACCACACAATTTTTTTCTTTTTTAATTTTATCTTCATTTATTTTAGATTACTGTTATCATCACCATTTCATACTTGAATATACATAAATGTTTCAATAATAATTTTTCAATCATCACCTCACAAGGAAACACATCTTCGTACTTGAATTCATGGCATGTTTTCAGTTTTCTAAATTTCATATTGATGTACCACTCATTAAAAGCATATTGTGCAATTGTAAATGACAATCTTTGATTCACATCTGCCAAAATGTTGATTTTTTTTTTTGTATCAACATGCAGGAGGTTCTTAAAACAATAAATTATTTGTAAATTTTCAAAAGCAAATAAGTTCTTTCTTTTTTGTATTTTTGTGAGTGTGCGTGGGTGTGTTCAAGAAATGGGTGACTTCAGCCCCTACTTTCAAAGTCTCAAAAAAAAAATATCGTTATTTCATGATTTAGAATTTACATGGGTAACCTATCACTAAAAACATCTGTTGAAAGTTGAAGAAAAAAAAAGTAAGTTAGAAAACATCAGCAGCATCTAAATTACAATGTACATTCACATGTACAGTACAGTATACATGTAATTTTAAAACACACAAAACAGATGTGTATAACCAAAGAGATATCTCCTTGGTATAACAAACATTTGCCCGGTTATTAGTTTAACATTTTGTACAGCATATCAATAATAAAATATTCATAAACTTTGTCAACTTTCAATATCAAATAATACTAATTTTTTTAATAAAGATTCCCGAGATATCCAGTGAAAAAAATTTGTCAACAGGGGCATTGACTGTGATGGCATTTGAAGGGGGAAGGAGGGAAGATGGGCATCCAAAATTCTTCAACAACCAAAACATAATTTGCTATCAAGGGGAAAAGATTCCTCATATTTTTCAAAAGAAAAACATTGTTAGTTTAAACATATTTGTGGCTTACACCCAGTAAATAAGATTGATTGATCGATCTGTAATTGAAAATCAACCGAACAAAAAAAGTTTACCCGGATTTCTAAGGGCTTATGGATAACGAGCGTGAAGAAAATGGAGAATAACATAAAACGTTGCGTTTACGGAACCATGCCCTGTTCATTGCAATCATGTAAGGGTGCGTTTTGAATATACAGTAGTATTACGACATGGAATTACCAACATACAAAACAAATCTTTATGTTGATTTGTTCACTTTAACATATTTCATTTGCTAATTGATCAAGAACTTTGACTATTTGCATGCAAAATAGTTTACATACATGCATATGCATTAATTGACTGATCCTTTTGTGATGATCCTTTCACAATTTGTGGTTTGACTCAATAACTTTTGATCCAGAGCCATAAAAAATATGAAGGACGCATGAGTAGAGAGGGCAATTTTTTTTGCAGACACTGCATCCATTTTTGTTTCATTACAATACGGCATTTTGATGCCTGGAATTGGAGAAAGAAAAATCTTTGAATTGGCGACACGCTGAAAGAGTCAAAATCATTACTTTTCAATAAAAAATATTTTAAAAATTCAACTTTCCAACTACATTCCCACACATGTACATGTATACTGTTTGCAGAGCCATTATGGTTTATTTCAACAATGTGGCCCAAAAAAAGAAAAATATTATTGCTGCCAACTTGAAGAACAATAATGTGATTGATTTAACCTTAAAAATAACCCTGTCCTAAAAGGGAAAAAACAATTGTACATTGTGAGATGTGATGTGGTCTAGCAGTACCATCATTCTCTATCTTCGCTTACAACTGACCCTGATGGACCTCGGTTCAAACCTGGGTCACATCTTTGGGCTGGTGAACAGTTGAAGGTATAGACCAGTTTTGGAAACGCCCCCCTCTCAAAAAATAAAATGGAAGCTCTTATTACCAATCGTGTGAAAGAATATGTTTTGACTAATATGTGATGATAAAAATCTTGCCTGGAAACCGCCTACTAATTGATATATTTGATAAGTTATTACATCTATCCGGACTGGACAGATATCCCGTAGTCCCATATACATCTTTCTGTGTACAGTGCTTGTAACTTTACCAAGACTGGGCCAAATTTCTGATCATTTTGATGATTCCAGTACTTTCTGATTGATTCCACAACGTTTGTTTCACAATGCAATCGCATGACCAGAACTGGTCTATACCTTTAAAGGTCACTACCCAGAAATAAATAATCATATCTGAATAATACATGTCTGAACAAACCCAAGTACACACACATATATGGAGATGATAAATGCTTTTAATGATAATGGTCTTCTAAAACAGCTAGCAGTCGCAATATATAGGAAAAGGTGACACACATGTACAAGCAATGGCCATTAACACAAAGCTGTGCAAATGACTGTATGATCGATCAATGAATTGATGACATAGTCTAGTGATTAATAGCGAAATAGCAGTTAATTATTAAGATCGCTAACACATCTTTGTGTTATTGAGCTAAGGATTGTGCCTACGTTAATGCATGGATTTTGTGATAAAATATAGAGCTCAATCCTCTTCGTTGTTTCTCATTCTTTGTTTTACAGATGCACATGATCATTAATATTTGAATGGCCACTTGCTCAATTTTGCAACTTTCTTAATCGGACCTTCTAATGGTTGAATTAATTTTCCCATCCAAGTTTTAAAGTTCAAAACTTGACCTTGATAAACTTGATGTTGGTAGACTATTAATCCATCTTTGATTTGATGTATATCTTATATTTTATAGACAATTTGTATGAACATTTTGAATAATGAGTGTCCACTTTCTTTTTTTGCTGAATACCGTATATATATATATATATATATATATAATCAGAGATACTGCTAAGATAAGTCTGTATTACTGTGTATTACTATAATAATAATACATTCAAGAAAATAAAATAGCTAGAAAATGGTGACTTTTCTAATTTGTCTAAATTATCATTGGTTTGTTATTTAGTGCTTGAAAAGGATAATATAGTCAACGTGTCTATAAAGGCCACCGATGGGACACAGGAAAACTGGCCACTGCAGACAGGTGGCCTTTCTAGACAGGTTCTACAAGTTTCCTCCCAGAGGGAGACAATATAGGTGACCACCATAAACAAGTGGCCTTTACAAACAGGTGATCACTAAGACAGTTTTGACTATATGTCAATACTATTACTAGTCAAATGGCTTCTTCACATATGAAGCGGGAAACCACATGGCTTTTTTTCTTATCGTGTCCCGGTAAATGAAAGGCAGGTTGGAATAAAAATGAGTAGCTGCTCGCAATAAAGTTTCTACGCGTACTCGCCATCTTTGGGATACATAATAAGCCAGTTCACGGTTGCAGTCTGAGCATGAGCAGATAAAGGTCATTGCAGACCAAATTTTGAAATACACGGAGACGAAATACTGGTTACGTGCTGATGAAAGCTATGTAATCACTATTCATTCATGAACAAGCAGTGCACTCCATGATACACAGGTGGAAGTATTCTTTGAAAAGGGGAAACAAAGGCTATTTATATAGCACCTCCATTGCTGTAGGAGTGATAATTTCAAAATGTACAAAGTGCGACTTCTTCATGTTTTGAAGATCTGTGCATATTCGGGGTCATTGCCGTAATGTGCTAACCGTGAACTGGTCTATTGTGAAGCGTTTCACACTCACATCATTAATGTAGAATGCTGCCTTTCACTTCATCATATGTAAACAAGCCCTCAACAAATTATCCCCAAACTTTCAGACCAAAATACTCTGCGGTTTTTCTCGATATAAGTGAAAATTAAACCACAATTGTGGTATGGAGGTTAAACGCTATGAATTTTCCTGAATAACTTGGAGAACACAATCCGAGCAACGCTCCCCTTCCGGCTAACACAAGCACATATCCTCACGAGACCGTCAGCAAGCATCTGTCAAAACTTTCTTCCTGCGGATACCCAGACGCTCGTCTATGAGATCATATCCGGTTTCCATGGCAGTTCCGCACAACAGTTGAGTTATTACCGCTGCCGATTGCTAAGCCAGTTCCGTCTTTGACAAAACGCAGAGGTGAATCACAATACTTTCAGGCCCTTGCCTATGTTGTACCTGACCAATCGTACTCTGGTTTGCCATTTAAAGACACGGTTCGACTGCTGTGCAATCGCTTGAAATACATGTACGACTTCGGTAAAACATGCACGGGCCTGCAATTGTGTGGTCAAAAATTTTCTCCTTCCACCTATCTGGACTCTGGAGTCGCCATGACAGCATGATGGCCTCGCTACCTCTTGGTTGTGCCTAGACTTGCGGCCGGCCGAGAACTGTCTTTGGACCTGCAAATTGAATGACATGAAGGAAAGATATATCATCAAACATAACAAAAGGCAAAAAGAGAGCGAGAGAGGAGGAGAAGAGGAAGAGAAAGTGGAAAGAGAGGAAGTGAGCAAGAGAGATGGTCATATGATCAGACAGAGAATGCTCCACAGCGAAAAAAAGAAAAAATTGAAAAAAAATATTATATGAGACATAAAATACAAAGATGCATCATCCACTTGTAGTTTGATTTTGATTTTGATTTGATTTTCTTCTGCATTCATGTAAGTTTACATTGTACAGTAACCGACACAAAAGGAAAAGAAAAAGAGAGAGAAGCAGGAGAAAATAGAGGAAGAGAGAAAGTGAGTAAGAGAGACGATAAAAAGATCAGAGAGGGGGAGGGCATGAGAGGGAGGAGGAGGAAAAGGAGGAGGAAAAGGAGGAGGAGGAGGAGGAGAGAGAAAGAGGGAGAGAAAGAGAGAGGAAGAGAGGAAGGGAGAGAGAGAGACAAAGAGAGAGAGAAATACATACCTAGGAGCCGGTTCAGAAAAGTCAGTTTCGGCTGATCCAAGGATCCTTAATCTGGCTTGCTTGTACTCTTCTTCTCTCTCCGCTAAAGTCTTTTGCTTGGTCTTCAAGAGAAATCAATTTGGAAAAAAGTTGTGTTTCAAATATGAATCCCTATAATTCCTGCCATTGAATCATGTCAAAAAGAATATCATTACCATATTTGCCGGCGTAAAGACCGCAGTATTTTTGGAAGAGAAAATATCAAAAAGTCGGGGTGCGGCATTTATGACGAAAGAGTAAAAAAAAAAAAAAAAATGAAAGTCAAAACCAGCACGAATTTGCACATATGGGACTAGAAACGGTAAAATAACTATACCACTATGGTACAGGACATTTCCACACATCTTAACGACAATTTTACCTTGCATTGTTGACATGAAGACGAAAATAAACGTCCTAACACAACATTTGCCGATAGACCTTGATCTAAGTTCGTGCCAATGCATTGCAAAAGTAAATAAGGGACCCTTTTAACGGAGCTGCCGCGAACATCCATCTGAAGTCGCCATTTTGTTTTTCCATTTTATGCAGTTTCGCATTACACCGTACAATGTGGCAGGGGTATATATCAGACACCAAATCTGCCTGTGATCACTTTTTTAGCTAAACTTCCGGTAAATTATAAGAATATTCGTGAATTTGGTATCAGTTTGTAAAAAAAAAAAGTGTTTTCGAGAAAATTATGATTATTTTGTTTTGTCCATGTGTTTTTTTTTTTTTTTAAATGTCAAAATCGGGGGTGCAGCCTATGCGGCGGTGCGGCCTATGCGCAGTGCAGCCTTATCGCCGGCAAATACGGTAGTAGAATTCATGTAGAGAATTGCGGTAATCTTCTGGACATGTTTTGTTTATGCTCCATTCTGGTTTGGTAAAAAAACAAAGTGTGATTTCAAAGGCTAAATGAATATTCACTTCTTCAGAACGGACCATGTCGAAACATTAATTGATTAAATATGTGTATACTCTTCTCCAGCATGGGCCGTATCAAAAATGTAAAAGTTATTCAATGTGAATATTTTTTCTTCAGAATGGCGTATGAAATTTATTGCATACCGTATTACAAAATGCGTAACGGTAGGTGCCAGATAGAATTTATGAAAATCATCCACCATGAGCTATTGTGTACCCTACAAAAGCCTGAAATATGGCATGACAAAATTTAAAGGGCCTGCATTAACGCTTTGCCTGATAATGTGACATGTGCTTTAGGCCAAATTAAAAAAAAAAAATTGTTTAGTATCCTGCCTTTTTGAAAAATAGGGAGGAGGCCCTTTTTATTTATTTATTTTCTTCAAAATGGCCACTCTGTACATTTTTCCTGACAGTCGGGCTATTTTTCACGATGGCCGCCTGTATTTTTTTTTTTTTTTTTTTAAATCAGAATTAGATCATTTTAGCAGTATGTTTTTTCATGTTTTAATTCATTCAGTTCAGTTTATTTTATTTTTGCACGGCAAAGAAAAAACATTGCTCCTCTCCACCCAGGTTTTAAAAGGTTACCTGGTAGGATGCGAACATCATTGTGGTTGGATTAGCATGTGCACGCCTGTTAAAAAGTGACTAGCTGGAACACTCACCAGGGAATGGAGAAACGTAATTGAATACAGTGACAGGGGTAATAATAATGATGTGAATGATTTGGCCATATAAAGGTACTATGCCCTATTTGCAGGCCAAACAAAATGAAAAGGTTAATTCAAACGGCCTTGAAAGAAAATACAAATTTAGAACTTCCCTCAAAACAAAAGGGCTTGAAAAAGGCTTTTAGTGGGAAAATAACTTAGGTGATTGCAATCACCTTAGTAATAGTATTGATTTTCAGACCCTTTTACCGAATGGTCATATGTTTTGTGCTGCACAAAGATTCAGTCAGTTTAATTTGGGCCATTACAAGTAGTGGGTTATTGATGTAGACAAATGCTCATGTACATGTACCTGTTACACTTACAGCTTATTTTATGTACCAGGGTACGTTATTACCAAAGAAAAAAAGATGTCACTCAGTCACTCAATAGTGTCTGACAGTGAAGTCTAGAGGTAAACGGTTTCCTTGCATAATTTGAGTACTAGGACACTGCTAATGTTTAAATTTCAGATAGGACATAAATGACATATTCATAATTCCTGCAAAGTTCTACAGAATTTGATGTTGGCTGCAAAAGGGACATAGTATCTTTAATGGTAATGCGCTTTATAAGTAACAGGTATTATCATTTATCAAAATCGCTATTATCATTACAATGTGGGAGAAAGTCATAAATGAAGTGTCATACCTTGTTGACATCCTTGTTCTCTGTTGCATTCTGGTCTCCTCCAGCCTCTGTTGGTCGCTTGAGGATTCTAAGCTGTGGCTGGTAGGATGTCCTTTGGGTGTCTTCCTGGAGTAGAACCACAGCCGGTGTCGCATCCTTCTTTCTACACCAATATAAAACAACAATAATAATGTTTATGTTCTGGATGTATATGGCACTTGATGCATTGGCGATATCGCTTGGTGCTTTAGACTTTAGATACCCTGGTCATATCAAGATGTTAAAGAAGAAGAAAAAGAAGAAGTAGAAGAAGAAGAAGAAGTAGAAGAAGAAGAAGAAGGAAAAGAAGAAGAAGAAGAAGTAGCAGAAGTAGAAGAAGAAGAAGTAGCAGAAGTAGAAGAAGAAGAAGTAGCAGAAGTAGAAGAAGAAGAAGTAGCAGAAGTAGAAGAAGAAGAAGTAGCAGAAGTAGAAGAAGAAGAAGTAGCAGAATAAGTAGAAGCAGAAGAAAGAGAAAAGAAGGAAAAGAAAAAGAACAAAAATAGGAAGAAGAAGTAGTAGAATAGGAAGAAAAAGATAAGAAAAACAAAATAAGAAGGAGAAAAAGAAGAAGAAAGAAGGAAAAGGAGAAGAACAATGAGAAAAAGAGGAGAAAATGGAGGAGAAAAAGATGAAGAGTTAGTGAAGGAGGGGGGAAATGGATTGATAATACTATACTTAGGCTCTTTCTATTTTAACAAAGATTAGATAGGGAAACTCATGACCCACTTTTCCTCTTAATACTCAATATTTAAACTTTTATAGGAACTTACTCTTGAGTAGCCCGATCACGCTGCTTCTGTGCCTCCTTTAATTTCTTTTCGAGAACCTACAATTACAAAAAATGAGAGAAAAAAAAGGAAAAATGTAATTTACTAGTCCCATATGCATGCATTACAGCTTCCTCTTCTTATTCAGGTGCAGTACATGCCACCGTCAGGTGTATTGTCGTACTGTTGAGGTGCAGTGCAGATGTGTGGAGTTGTACAATGTCTGAAAAAAGGTACAGTTAATTGAGTGCAAGTAAAAACAACTACCACGTTAGCGGAGTTGGGTTTTTTTGTACCTCTTGCTTAAAGTTGTTAACAGAGGTACAATGAACGGTGTTCTGAGGGAGGGAGTTTCAGAGTCTTATTGCATCCGGGAAAAGGAACTATGATCTTCTTGGAATGCCCTCTGTGCAGGGATGTAAATGGAGTGAGGAAAGTGTGTGGGATGTCTATCAGCGAGCTGGTGATGCGATAGATCATCATCACCTTAGCCTGTGGCAGTGCCCTTCATTCTTGTAATGTTGACTACTTGAGCTGGTTCAGCATGGCTGCTACGCTGCTTGTTCTGCGCTGGTCATTGAAGATGATGCGTACATAGCACCGTTGAACCATTTCAAGCTTCTTGATGTTTGCTTGCGTGTGAGGGTCCCATATGATGCTGGCATACTCCATGATTGGTTCTTTAGCCTTTCTACGACATAGTTGGATATTCCTTTGAAGAAACTAGAAAGGCATTGGTGTAATTGGCCTTTTTGGTGACAGTGTTGGTTCCAGCTGAGATTCTTCTGCAACTCAACACCTAGATACTTTGCTGTATTTTTTGTCAGCTAGGGTCCGTCCGTGGATAGAGTAGGATTTGATGAAGGGTTTGCGTTCATTGGTGTCTTGGAGAACCTGCTCCCAGCATTGGAGCTAGTAAAGATCCTCTTGGAAACGTAGGGCATCTTCCTCTGTCTTGATGTTGCTGTATAGCATACAATCATCACCGAATTTGTCGCAACAATTTCGCGCATAGTGGCAATTTTTCATGGGGCTATGCCCCAGCCCCCCCCCCCCCCATTCAGTGTTTATTTAGGGTATCTTTCTTCATCTTCCTTCCTTTTGAAAAAAAAACCCTAAGTCCGGTGTGTAAAGTCAATAAGGGCCGTATTTTGGGGTACTACGAGCTGGACTTTGGTGCATGAAAACCGCTGCACAATTACAAGTGCATACCAAGGGCGGGTTGCGGGCGGGTTGCAGGCGGGCGCGCGCATGTGTGAAGTTATCTCCTGAATTACAGTAGATAACTTCACAAGTACATAGTGCGCACACCCGCCCGCAACCCACCATCGGTATGCACTTTGTGTCAAGGCTTGACATTATTTTCCCGTATTTGTTACGCCGCAGAATAATTACCTTTTGTACCTGAACTGAGACTATCAGCACTTTCGCTACAGCGCAAAATAAGACCGTACGAAGGTACTTCAACCATGTTGGTTGATCCTAGTTTTTTCTTCATTTATATGCAAAACTGAAGGTATGTTTAATTCCGTGCTATTATTCTTATAAGTACATGTTATGCTACGATTGTACGTGTATCTTTAATGTTTTTGAGATTTGTAGGACAAATTTGGGCCTCTTTTGAAGTGTGGATAGTGGTAAAAGTCCGTAATGGTATTGACTGTGCTTACGGTACTTGTGAAAGTGATTGATAATTTGTAAAATAATTCTTGGTTATATACTTCAAGGAAGTGTAAGAGATGCTGAAATGTCTCATGATAGTGTATAAGTTATCTGGAGACGTTCATTATTGTTTTTGTTGTCATATTTCATAAATTCGGGATGACACGTGAGACCTATTTTTCTTATGCTATTTTAGGACTTCATTTAATTGTAGTACCTGTACGTACAGATTATATAGCGGAGGGATATTTTTCGACGCCATTTTTAGTAAGGCTGTGCACAACAGTGTAATGAGGTACCCGAGTACACTCCCATGCTTACAAGCGAATACTCGAGTATTCGGACGCCATGTTTTTTTGTTTTTTTTTGAATTTTTTTGAATTTTTTTTTTTGTTGTTGATTTGTTGATTTTTTTTTTTTGTTGCCACTACCATACATACCACTGGAGCAGCTGCAGTGTCCCAGTTCTGTCGCCGAAAACGCATGCAATTTTACTTTGAGTTGCAGTTGAAGGCGCCGATTTAATAATAATAATAACAGTGAACAATGCTGTTTTAAAAACCAAAGATGGCAGAATAATCCATTTTCCTCCAAGTCCAAGCAGAAATCCAGACATTTGGTCCCAGTTTCTGAGTGGTGAGTTTGACAGTGCTTGAGTTGGCAAAAACATTTTTACCGACGGCACCATGCCAGCGGCCGCCGCTCACCCAGGCACGGCTAAGCGTCGGCCTGGACATTTTTTTTTTTTTTTTTTTTTTAATTTAAATTTTTTTTTTTTTTTTTTTTTTTGCGGCCGAATATTCGTACCCGAGTAGTTGTCAACCGTGCGGGTACTCGAGCATTCGACTACCCTTCACAGCCTTAATTTTTAGTGATTCGACTTACGGTTAGTTTTGTTTATGTCGCCCTAGGTAAAATCGCGTTATTCGTTTTAATACTTGAAAAGGAGTTTTTTTGTAATGTGATTTATAGTATGCAGAATGGATTTTTTTAATGTAATTCAGAAACGAGAAAAAACAACATATTTTATTTTGCTTAAAGAAGACAATATTTTTTAGAGTATAGAAGTGAAATGAATAATTATTTGATAAGAGTTTGAATGTGAATCTTTACTTCTAGTTGCTTTACGCTATAGTCTTAAACTTAAATACACCCTTGAAGGTCATGTATTTACTCTAGTTTGCATACAAATAATGTAATATAAGGAAAAGGGAACAATTTGGGTATTTTGAATCAATAGTCATTCTTTGTTTATCTTTGTTTCTTTACAGGATTCACACGATTGTTGAATGTGCTTTACAGCGCCACAACTATTAAAGGGAAGCTAATTCAAGTTCACGCCTCCTGTGTGGTTATTATTACAACGTGGAAGTTTAGACACGGTCTTATAACACTTTGTATTGTGCAGCGGTTTGCCGTGAAACCTGTGAAAAAGTGTATACTAATATCGTTTTCCCCGAAAAATAATCCAAAAATAACAAGAAAACTGACACGAAACAGGTAATCAACATAACAACTTTTAACTCATGATCTTTATTTGGACATTTAATGAATATTTACTTCATTTTGGGTATGTTTTGGTAGGGTATCTCCAGGCCAGAGTTACGGGTCAAATTTTTGATAGGTTTCTGAGCAAGCGCCCATATCAACTTTTATCCGAAAAATACTCCAAAAATAACAAGAAAATTGACACGAAACAGGTAGGGTAGAGTGCCCAGTATTCGGTCAGTTAAGGGGAAATCACTAATATTTTGAATTCTTACCTCTTTTATTTTACAATCTACCCATCAAAAGAAAAGAAAATTATTCCTCTAAAAGGATTTTATAGTCACTTAAAATAAAGAATGATAAGAAAAATATTTCCGAAAGAAGACAGAGCATTTTTCTGCCCAGAATTCGGTCGCGCCGATTAAAATTCGGTCACGCGATTTGTGCGTGGTATCTCCGTTGCCAAGGAGCGAAGCGTATTTGCGCACTATTTTCACACAATCGCGCGAAAAAGCACTGATTGTCAATGCGTTGACCGAATACTGGACGAGTGATACCGCATGGCAAGGGTATCGTATAAATACCTCTTGCACATCGGCAAGTGCGTCATTTGCAAATTCGCTGCGATGGAGCAAACACGGAAGTGATTCTCTACACACACATACTAAATTCATTGCTATAGCACACGTAGTTGTTTCGCAATAGACTTCTACATATGGCTATGCATGTTAGCGCATGTGCTAAGAGAACGCGGAAGTGCAGAAAGTTGTGGAACACTGACCAATTTCAAGCTAAGTTGGAGATCTTTCCGGGGCCCTATATCTGATTTAATTTTCAAAGTTAAGAAAGTTATTCAGCTGCCTGATTTGTGCAAGTTTCGCGGCTCATTAATTATTTTTTAAATTGTTACAGCTGTTGAAACGGCTGTCTGACCGAATACTGGGTATGGACCGAATACTGGGCGCGCTACTCTAATTAACATCACCGATCACAACTTTTATTTAACTCATGATCTTTATTTGGACATTTAATGAATATTTACTTCATTTTGGGTATGTTTTAGTAGGGTATGTTTTAGTAGGGTATCTCCACGCCGGAGTTACGGGTCAAATTTTGGATAGGTTTCTGAACAAGCGCAAGGTAAGGTTAGGTTTTTTTAAAAGACGCGGCCTGCGCCTGGTCATGGCATGAGCGGCTAGCGGCAGGCCGGGCCTAAGTACTGCTGCATAGCTGCATGCATAATCTGAGTGATATTTATGCAGCTGCAGCTCATGAGCTGCAGTCATGCCATGCTTAAACTGTTAGATCTAGTAAAACTCAGTAAAAAAAAAATCGAATTGAATTTTGTCAACTTACTCCACTGTCTGCCATATCTTCCCAGCTGTCCCATACTTCTTCCGATTCATCCATTTTCGCAAAAACAATGCCTTTTCTTCAATTTTCAAAAAAGGAAAGAAAGTCTACGCGACAACGTAGGTAGTCAATAAATAGTCTTGACTCAGAGTAGTTGTCTGGGCTAATTTTCTTAATCTTCTTCACCGCATGTAATTATATAATTTTCCAACTACAACTTCATTCTAGATCTAGTTCACTTTTATGTAGATTCTAGGCTATATGCTGTTATAACTAAAAGTTATATAACATGGTTTTATTTACTCTACTATTTTATATATTCCGTGAAACAGATGTTAGCCTATTATTCAAAACAGCAGGAGTTGAGACTAGAAATGTCCGCCTCTCTGTTTCCGGCTTCCCCATCCCCCCCCCCCCCCCTCCTCCTTCTTCTCCTTCATTAACGGTACCGTACCCTGCCCGGTTTCCGCCCGATGGGCAGTTTTTCTCAGATAACTTCTCTGAAAATGAATTATACAGGCGCAAATGTATACCAATTTGTTGCCGAAATTCTAGCAAATCTAGCTATGCCATTCTTACGCCCGAAATCATAAGCGATTGTCCGTAGCGCGCCGTCTGCGTGAGGCATTTTCCTTGCCTAATTCCGCCTAGACCCGCCCTAATTCCGCCCGATGGTGGGCGCGCATCAAAAGTATAGAAAAAGGAAACATCTCGGGTACACGTTAGGCCAAATCAAATTGCTTCCCAGTAGAATTCGATCTACATGTTATTTTGATAATTGATATTTCTTTCTTTATTTCTTCCCTTGCCTCTGTAGGCCTAATGCAAGTGCACTGTTATTTATCAGTTTCTGATCTGGAAAAAAATTTTTGTACTGCCTTTGGAAAATCCTGCGACTTGTCTATGATGTTTTAATAATGTGTTCAGTCAAATCTTCAGTGTTCTATCGCTAATCGGGAGAGGGGAAAAAAAAAATCCACAATAACAACATTTTGTCAAAAAAAACTACCACTATTAAAGTAAACACTTTGGAAAGAGAGTAATGGCACTTCATTTTTTTAATTTTTTTTTTAAACTGCAAATTATTCTCGACATCTCTCAAATCTTGATTAAAAAATAAATTAGCGTATATTTTTAGGATATTGGTTGGAAAAGCATAGCATTTTCGTCATAGGAATTATCATCATCGCCGATCATCATCATTACAATTTTAGGGTAGGCCTATATGTGACGCAAATGTGGTTTCCTGTTTGATTATTTGTTCAAGACTTCAAGTTGTTGTGTTTTTTGTTTTCTAGTTGTTCTAAATTATGCAGTATTTTATGCATTCAATAATAATATTTCAACTTGAAAGACAAAACTTTCCGAAATGATCTTGAAAACGAAGTCGTCGATTCACTTCCATGGCAAGTCAGTTTTTGCAAAGAATGTAGTAATAAACGGCAAAAAGGGGGTGGTGGGGGGGGGGGCACCACCTTCACGTTTTGGCCACTTCAACAACCAAAGAGGGTTGAAAGCTAGTCTCTAAGTATTTTGCTGACATTACCGAGAACAACTAAATTCCTGCAATTTCTGCATTTTAGTGGCATCAACGTACGTAAAGGAGACCTCAGTTAAAAAAAAAGTTTTGGATTGAAAGTAAAAGTAACATCCGAAAATTGTCCTTCTCTAAATTTGGCACTATACCCCCACCCCCCCCCCCCCCCCCACATTTTCTACATAATGCTACATGTTAAATTCATCCATTCATCTATTTATTTATTCAATATTCATTCATTTTATTGCCGAGAGATATTTATGTTATGGATAGAGATGAAAAATGTTCACCTTTTATTCGCCATAAAACTTTCGCAAAACTAACAACGTAAGAATCACCTTAGCAATTTGAAAGGCCTGACAGGCGTATGCCCTTAATGTATTATTTATACTACTCTTTCGATAGCCATTCATATAGGTTTATTTCACATGAAACAACAGACTGGGATTTTAGTTTCTACCCCTATATTTATTTTATTCACAGTCAACTGAGGGAAATTTATGGCAGCGAAAATGTCATGGTTCATGTTGGTCATGTTGGTAAAATTAGATAACACACAAACAATTGAAAAAAAATTGAAAAATAATTATAGCCTAAAGCATAGAAGTATTAAGAAAGAAGGATATAAAATTGAAGAGGGAGACTAAAAGAAAAATGGGTAAAAGGAGGGATGTAATCGAAGAAACTTGAGGGAATAAATTAAAAAAGACTATAATAAACTCGGTATATAATATAAAACAAAACCTAATCAATCCTATGCATCCATCCTGTATCGTATTATAAACAAGCACTCTTTTCGTTACAAAGCCACGACGCTGGATTAAAAGGCGACACAACATGAATACAAACTTTTTGCAAATCTATACCAACCCTGGCAACTTTTTTAAAAGCCGGACCTATTTTTTGTCATTGGGATCACTGTCGGAGAACCGAACTTCAAGCATTTCTTAATATCAATCATATCTAATTTTGTCACAAAATTTAACTTCATGACTAGTAGGCCTACATTAAATTACAAATCAATAGACCACATCGTTACCCGAAATTGTCGGTTGCTCGAACGAACGGCCAAACATCATTGCAACATTCTTCGGGGGGAGGGGGGGGGGGGCTTCAATCCCGGCCTCCCACCTTATTCGCCTATCATAATAAGGACAATTACACCCCAGAAAACTACTCCCAAGGATAATTACCCAAAGGACAATTACCCCTCGACGACTCAAACTACGCCCAGAAAATTACCCCCGATGACAATTACCCCCATCTCTGAAATTTAACCCCTATATAGGACATTGACCCCCCCCCCCCCCGGGACAACCAAGAACAATACCCCCTGTCAGGCGCGTACGCAGGATTTTTTCAAGGGGGGGGGGGGGTTTTAACATTTATAAATCGGTCCGAAAATTTCGCAACGACTCAGCCAGCCGCTGAATAAGCGGGTGGGAATAAATTTTTTTTTTTTTTTTTTTTTTTTTTTTTTTAATAATTAAAAAAAAAAAAAAAAAAAAAAAAAAAAAAAAAAAAAAAAAAAAAAAAATCCAAAGGGGGGGGGGGGGGGGGGGGGGGGGGGGGGGGGGGGTTTTAGGTTTTTTTTTAGGGGGGTTTACACACACAAAATTTCCAAAGGGGGGGGTTTAACCCCCCAAACCCCCCCCCCCCCCCCCCCCCCCCCCCCCTGCGTACGCGCCTGCCCCCTGTTCATTAAAGGGGAAGTCAACCCCGATAATAAGTTGGGTAATTTTTAGGGGGAGATCATTTTCAGGGTGGGGGGGGGGGGTAAAATTATTATCTATCCCAACATCGTATAAACGATGTTCACACAGGGAAAATTTTTCTATAAACATGTTTAAAACTGTTGAGTTAAAACACGTTTATACTAATCATCTCTAGATACGATGAATTTTAGCTGTGTGTGAAAAGGCTGCATGTTATTGCAATGACGACCTTCGTCATTGCCTTGTTTTCGTTCACATTCTGCCCCATAAATATTCTTCTTATCTTCGTCAGAAAATCGCATTCGTTGTGCTTGCTATTCCTAGTTAGGTGCTTTTCTCATGTCCATTTCCTTTCAAATTTCGTATGATCAAGGGTGAGTTTATGTTACCCCTGGGGGCAATATGTCTTTCTACACAGCCATTCTCAATGTTTTCAAAGTAGTGGGCGTCATGATTCTCAGTATCATTATATGGCTGTGTTCCTCTTTTCTTATGTACATAACAAAAGAGGAATACACCCTTGACCATTTTATTATTGTTTTGGTTTCGGCCAGGAATACAGACTGGTCAAATGGCCTAATCCATCAAAGAGACTTTTTTTGTTTTGCTTGCTCGCTATGCTCGCTCGCCAAAATGGAGTTGCCACCGCTAACGTGTCCGCCCCAACCTGCAACAACCAGTTAATAATTATGTACCATACGTTATTCAAAGAAGTTTTGGTGTGCTCGTGCTCGCCAAAACGGAATTAACATCACCTTAGACATGGTTGTGTAAGCCCTGCCCTGCAAAACAAAACAAACAAAAAACAAAAAAATCTGAAATTTATGAACCAATTATCATTACAAAAATTTTGCTCGCTCGCCAAAATAGAAATAACACCGCTTTTAATAATCACGTCCCTGACATGGAACAATGAACCCAAGTTTATATACCATATTTTCCCTATAAAAGAGAAGTGATTTTTTTTACTTGCTCGCTACGCTCGCTCGCAAAAATAGAAATAACACCGCTTTTAATAATCACGTCCCTGACATGGAACAATGAACCCAAGTTTTATGTACCATATTTTCCCTATAAAAGAGAAGTGATTTTTTTTTAGCTCGCTACGCTCGCTAGCTCGTGGAATTATGTGCCCACCACTAACCTGCTACAATATCATTAAAAAGAGAAATGTAGGGGGTTGCCTGCCCGCCAAAATGGGATTGACATTGCCTTAAACATGATTGTGCCCGCCCCCTACCTGCAACAATGAAACAAATTTTATATAGCAATTCATTGAGAGAAAGATGTATTTTCGCTCGCTAGCTAAAATGGGTATAAAATCACCCTAAACACAATATTGTTCCCGCGCACTGCATGGGACAATTGAACCAAGTTTAAGTGGCAATTATTAAAAAAGAAGTGATTTTTTTCTTGCTCGCTACACTCGTTTGCAAAGAAATGAAATTAACGTCGCTAACAAGTGAATGTTCCCACCCCCAACTTGCAACAATACCAGTTTATATACCAAACGTTACTTAAAGATTTTTTTTTTGCTCGCTCGCTCGCCAGAAGTGAAAATTAGCATCGCCTTTTTTGTTTGTTTCGGTCGCTTGCCCCCCCCCCCCCCCCCCCCCTGACGGAGTACCCCAGGTACGCCACTGCTGTTGTCCAATAACATTTTAGGAAAGTCCTACACTGGTCCATGTATTGTAAATGTGGTATAAGTGCGTGTAAGGAGGAGAGCTCCTCAGAAGAATGATCGGCGAAGAATAATCGACGGAGAAGAGTTGACAAGAATAATTGTTAGAGTCGGGTTGAGAATCGAAATGTAGAACTCAGACTTTTAGAAGAATTGAGAAGAACATATCAGTCAGATTGAGAATCAATACCGAGAATAGTGACAGAGCCCAGAACTAAGAACTCAGATTCCGAAGCGGAATCAGAATGGGAACATTGTGATTACTGAGCAACACTAAGACTCTAAATCAGAATACAACTACAAAGCATCGTTCTTCGCTAGTCGATATAAAGGGGTGTTGACGGCCACAGAATGCTGAACGAAACTTCAAAAGTCAATGACAGAACTTCATTGATTCAACAAGTTGCAGTGACGGTGTTAATTCGTGGTGATTGCCTAATCATCTGAAGCATGACTGACGTAGCTAGGGAGTTGCAACTGGACATCCAGAGGACGACAACCACGATCGCACTTCGAATCGGATCCAGTTCGTTGTTGAACTTTTAGAGAGCTCTCGCGCGCACCCCCTCGCTTGATTTAAGTAGCGGTACCGTGAGTAGATTTAAAATGAGATTGATATTTTGCTGTTTGATTTGTTGTTGATGATGATGAATGTCAGGCGCGGATCTACGGGGGGGGGGGTTTAGGGGGTTTAAACCCCCCCCCCCCCTTGGGCGGCCCCCCCCCAAAAAAAAAGGGAAAAAAAAGAAAAAAAAGAAAAAAAGAAAGAAAGAAGAACGCACGCTGGAGAGAAACCCTTTCAAGTGCAAATATTGTGAGAAGATATTCAACTCATCTGGTAACTTAACCAAACACATAATAAATCTGGATATAACTGTGTATTAAACTGTTACTTGATTTAAAAAGACGTTATCATGCACTGCTTTTTATGGTCTCCATTGTGTTAATAGATGCCAGGAAAACATCGCTTACGGGGTTCAAATAAACACCCCCAAAAAAATCGGCTCGCCGCTTCGCGGCTCGTGGACGATGCTCTGCATCGTCATTATTTTGGTCAAACCCCCCCCCCCTTAGCAAAAAGCTAGATCCGCCCCTGAATGTTATACTTATATATTTTTTAAAGGACCATGTATTAAGTAAATATAATTATACTTCCTATCGACCATTTTTTAAAAGTCTACTTACCTCAACATAAGATGTGAGAATGTGTGGTGGTCTATGTGAGTAAAGCCAGTCAATCCTTTGATAATTATTATTACCTGAACCCTGGCATAATAATTTAAAAGTGGTTTCCCCTGCCACTATGCCACGGGTTACATATCAATAATATAGTATTAATGACTGCTTTGAGAGAAATAGTTGTTTTATTACGCTCCGAAGGGAAGGTTAGAATTGTGCTATTCCCCGAGGCTTGCCGAGGGGAATAGCCCAATTCTAACCTTCCCGAGAGCGTATGAAAACAACTATTTCTCGAATATTAAAGCAGTCATTCATACTTTTATATGCCGAAAAAAAATAGACTAAAAAATGAAAAATTAAAAATATTTATCATTATTGTCGAAGACGGGATTCGAACTCTTGCGTACAACATGAGGTGTACCGAAAACCAACGCTTAGACCACTCGGCTATGGCCCGCCGTTCATGCTTGGCAGTTTTTTCCAATATATACATTAAAATGGATTGAAACCGGCTTCGCGTGTGATGAATGCTTCGCAAAAGCTCCATTATACGGACTCTTCTTTTACTTTTGCAATGCATATATGATATTGGCACGAACTTAGATCAAGATCTATCGGCAGATGTTGTTTTTTTGTTTTTGGAAGTTTATTTTCGTCTTCATGTCAACAATGCAAGATAAAATTGTCGGTAAGATCGATCGAGATTCAATTGTATTGAAATTACCGACCAATCCTTCGCACACATACGGCATCCTCCATCGCTCAAACCATTTTTTAACATGTAAACCTATGGGGTAACCATGGAGGCTGACCAACTTTTTTTAATAACCATGGTTATTAAAAGTATTGAAATGTTTTATGCATGGTTACCGAGAATTTTACAGGAACAGTTGAAGTTTATGAATGCAATTCGACCAATCAGATGGCTGGATTTCTCAAGTGAGGTCATATCTATCATTAATTCTATAAATTCAAATTATGAAGTCATTGACAGTTCCATATTATCTTTTGGATATATAGGCTTGTGCAATGCTGGATTAAGAACAATGACTAAACTTCTAGACAAGGAAACATATTTCAGTAAATACATAGGACTGCTACAAAGCTACTGAACCGCAGTGCAGTGCACAGCGCAAGTTGAGCAATGCAGATGACGTATCATGACGTCATATAATCATGTTTATTCATGTTCATACGCTACCATAGAGATATATACTTAGTAGCAGGGGGGTTCAACTCCGCTTCTGCATCCGTCTAGCCATGGGGAGATTTTGGAGGGTCAAAAGTGCACACTGCTTCCACTTTTCATGTATTAGCCTATGAAGACGACAAATTGTTAGTGCACCAGCGAAATGGGGATTTTGGACTGCGCGTAGCGCGCAAAATATTTAAATTAAAATTTGAATATTCATGACTCTTTTCCACTTATTAGCATATTATCGCAATGAAAAAAAGACAATGCGCATGCGTTACTATATCGACATATGTTGTTGTTGTTGTTGTTTTAATTTATAGGCGTTTTTCATTCAGAAGTGAATATTTACGCCTCTTCTCTCAGGATTTTTATTCCTTTAAAATTAGATTTACTTTTTTTGATATATAGATTTGAATAAATTGGATTTTCAAAAGCTAAACTTTTATTTAATGATGAAGAATTCAGTGGCTGGCGAGCAAAAGGCTTATCGACGCCCAAGGACCAACTCGGACACGGTACGTAGTGACAAGCTTCTCAACTCAGCCTAATGCTGAGCCTAGGCCCTCCGACGTCCACCAATATGTCTAGTCGTCTCCATCGTGTTTCTTCAAAATTTTGACCGAAAACCAAAAAATAAAAACAGATCATGATACATGAAGATTTTAAACGTTAATATAGACAGTTCTCTCTTCTAATTTTTTTTTTTTTTTTTTTTTTCTTCTTTCTCACTTTTCTTCTTCATGTACATGTATACTCACTATAAAAAGCGAAACATATTGGGCTCAAATAATTATGTGCGGTGCAAGGCGGTTAGTAGGGGTACAGGTGTACCCTTTTAGATCTAACTACGAAGTTAACCAGAGCCTGTTGGTGATTAATATCTGTTGATTTCAGGAGTATTGGGATT